TCTAGTAGAGTATTAAGGCTACTATTATTTATATATCTTATATTACTTATATTTTCTAAATAAGACATAAATCTATTTAGAAAGATAGAGGTATTTCTGAATATTAATACCATTAAGCTAAGATAATTTAATAATTATATATAAGCGCTTTATGTACGGCAAAACCGTACTAGTAGGATATACTAAAATCAGATTAGTTTGATTTTAAACTATATTATTATTCACTTATCTTATTCCTAGGTTTATAGCCTTACTATTTATATTAATATAATCCCATAATAGTACGATACGTTCTATATACCCTACGATAAAAAGTCTAAGCTTATTCTAATATAAGGTAATTAAGATATAATAGGATTCGACTTTTCTTATACTTCAGTAAGTAAAAAGGCTATAACTAATCTTGAATACCTTTTACTTATAGTATATATAGTCTTATTTTATATTAAGCTAAGGGTAATAAAGGTAGATTAAATATCTACTTTTATTCTTAACCTATTTTTTTAGGCTTATACGTCTTAAGGACTAAAGACTTAAGTATTTATTTATCTCGTGTTTATTATATATAATCGCCTTTTTAATTACCTCGAGAGATTAATTATAATCCTTAGGTAAAAGAATGTTCTTTATAATTATCTTATATTATCTACTCTTAAGACTATTAATAAACTAACCTTTTAAAATACTATAAGAATATAGATAGCATTAATATCTTTACACTATTAGCGCTATTTTTTCTCTATTATAAAAGCTCTAACCCTTCTCGTTAAAAGAATAATGGTTAGATAAATTAGAAGAGATAAGCTAAAAGGATATCACCCTTAACTCTCGAAGTCGATGTCTCGCTAAGGTAGAAGAAGCTATTCGTAAAATAGTACGCGTAGGATTTACCGACCGGACTTATCGATCTATTACTTCTCGATATACTCGAGAAGCTCTACGAAGACGGACGCATTATAATAGCTATAGAAATATAGCCACTACTCTCTTATATAACGCTCTATATTAGCAAGGACGACCCGATTCTATCGCTATAGCATCTTATCCTAGAAGGCATTAACGTACGTGTTATACTCCGTATTCTCGATATCACCGGCCCTAATCAATGCTTTTACGTGTCGGTCGATTAGCGGTATCGCCTTCGCCTTAATATTCGCATTAACGTGCTATAGATAGATCATCGAGCCCGTCGTCGGGAAGACGACCGCGAGGGCATTTAGAAGGGCCTTCTCTTATTAGTGAATACCGTTAGAGGCTTTCTAAGGCTATAGTCTTCGTAGATAGCCTATATACACCGTGAAGCCTAGCTAAAACCGTCCTATCTCTTACTCGGTATAAAGACGAATACGACGTAGAATAACCTCCCGACCGAGTTAACGCCCACGATATCAAACGGCGGCATATTAAAGTAGTTAGTCTTATACGTATAGTCTATCTATAGCACGTAAGGAGCCTCTCGAAGCTACGCCAGCCCCGTCCGATATATAGCAAAGACGCCTAGCCTAATACGGTGCGACCATCGGATTACGTTATATGGCGGAGGATCTAGTCTCTATGCTTCGGAAGCTCTTCGAAGAGAGCATATATTAGCGAGCGACCGGCGAGAAACTCGGCATTAAACTAGCGGGTATAATTATAGATATCACTCGGTGTTAACTTAGCGCCCTAGTGAGTTAGAATCGATAGGATCTACCGCGTAGGGACGCTATAGCGAATAAGACGGTCGAGGGCTTAACGATCACACTAGAGAGTACGCCGACGGATAATAGAATAAGTTAAGATCGACTCCGATACGTGGTTATGCTCCCTATAATCGACTTAAAGCTTCTAAGAACCTAACGGCTATAGAGAGAGCCGTAGGCTATACTCGCATCCCGTTATCGACGAGGATGTCTCCCGGGTACGCCGTCGCGGCGCCGTAGGAGCATTAGGACCGGCCTCGGGTGTCTCTTAACGAGCATCTAGGCGTCTACTATAGTCGCAACGAATAGCCGATAAGGTATACGGTCTTATTAGCGCGAGCCTTGGTCCGGCGCTTCGCGGCCGCAAAGCCCTTAGTGCTAAGTAGGTCATTAATAGTCTCGATACCGTCCTAGTTAGTAGCGAAGAGCCGACCGTCCTCGATCTCGAAAGGCTCGCCCTTAGTTATAGATTCCTCCGCCGGTTCGGGGTCGATTTCAATAGGTTCAGGGGTGACAAAGCGACTCGATAACGCCGGTGATCCTACGAGACTCGAGTCCTAGTCAGTTCCATTGAATTTAGGGGTGCGAGAGCCGATTCTAGGTGCTGTTTCGACGTTTTAGTAGTAGGGGGATGTTAACAAATAGTACTGATAGTTGTAATGCCCTCATGTAACGGCGTGGCTGATCCACGGGTTCAATTGTGCGTACTGAGTAGTATATGTATCGGTCCCAGGCATGTCAGCCTGACGGCTGACATAGTGGTCTTTTTGGCCTAGTTGGTGAGACGTGTATTGACCTGGGTGCACTCCATTACAGCAGGTTTCCAGGCTACTTAATAGATATATACTAGATAAGAACTAGCTATTGTTTTAATGATATAAATTTAAAATAAAAGCATATATTATAACTTCTTATTAATATAGCCTTACGCTAACTGCTAATTACACTATCTATATGTAAAGAAGTAGGGTTCTAGTGTTTACAGGATAGAGCCTGTCAACTAGGTAAGATGAAGATGCCTGGAAGCGAACAATATATTGGAGGAATACAGAGACTGATTCTTGGAGAACCGCTGGGTTCTCCGGGGCAGACTATTTAACATGGGGGATCAGCGTTACGGTGAGCCAACGCTGACGTGTCGACACCTATATGGTGTCGATCCTCTGGGAGTGCGAGAGATCTGTGCATGGCTTCTGAGGATTCCGTTACACTATATTTCTAATACTATATATAAAGGGCATTCTTAAGAGGACCCCTCAGGACGCTATTGGGACCCCCTCTCCAATCTCTAAACCTAATTGCCTCCTGCGGTAATTGTATTCCAATGCATTAGTTCTTGGCAATGCTTCCCGGAGTATCGGCGGTCATGAACGCTAGGTACATCTACTTGTATGTAGCCCCCTAACAGAATTAAGCCACCACTTTTCCAGGAATTACGAACCACTAGCTACCCTTAGTAGCTTCTTATCCACGAGATAGTCAATTTCATTGTATTTAGGGGTGTGAGAGCCGATTTTTATATTTTATTAGGGGATGTCAACAAATAGTATAGTGACAGTTATAACGCCCTCACGGGGCCAGCATCGCTAATTGTGGGCTAAATTTTTCAATATAGACCGATTAGCCGTTTTTCAGCAATGAAATAATTATAGAAATTTGCAGTGAGTATATTGGTGATGTTGTGATGTGTTGAAATTGGCGAGATGCGTGAAGCAAGAAGACATACAGTTGAGATACCCTAATTACGGATTACGGCTAGTACCTATTTAGGAATAATAGGTGTAGCTGGCATGCTTAGTGACCGGCACAAAGTTGGCGAACGATCGGTACTTAATTTTACCAGGGTGCTGCTGCATAGTAAATAGAAGTACCCAAGGTTTAGGACCGCCGATTCGCGGGCTATAAGCATTGCCAAGAAATAATGCATTTTTACTAAATTATTGCATTGGAAATACAATTACTGCAGGAGGCCTAATTAGGTTTAGAGATTGGAGAGGGGGTCCTTTAAAGATTGCCCTAGATAAAATACTTGAAAATATAGGATAATTCTATATAACGTAGTGGGGGAACCGCCGACTAGTGAAGTAGCGGTCTATCGGATGACTCGGCATTTTGTGATATATAAGACTTTCTACGCGCAGCATAGCAAGATAGACACACCTTCTACTCTACAAACCACCCCTATGTGTTCTCCCCTCCTATAGTCCCACTACCCCTAGTGGCCGACCTGTTCGCAGACAGACAGGCAGAGGCAGGTCTCCCTACGGGTTCCCCTTTTCAATAACTTATATAAGTCACGAGATTAAGCCAATTGTCTTATTTAAGGACACTTAGGGTCGTAGTGTTAGACCCGGACCCGCCTAAAGTGAGGTTCGGTCCGAGGGCCGTGAGGGTGACGCGCGGGTCACAGCCATGTAATCTCACGCACACGTTAGGCCGCTACACCTAACGGATTACATAGGACCCATTTTCACTGGGCCAAAAGATCATAACAACAATCGGGACGCCCGATTATAAGGTATTCGGCAAGCGAGTGGTCCAGCTGGAACATCACCTAAATTGCGATAAATTACAATCTTTTGAATCCCACATCTAAGGTGGTGTTCTAGCTGGACCGCTCGCTTCCCGAATACGTTACGTTGGAGCGGTATATACACTAGGCCCTAGCATCCGCCCGGGACCACAGCCAGGTCTAGTCATACATCCGTGGTACTTATATTTACCATGCATCCCCCAGTAAAACTAAGTCACTACCATCTCTTATAACGAGTAACTGGCTTCCTGGCCCCGATCGGCTAGGTAGTATTAGACATCTACCTACCTATCACCTTTAGAGACCTACAACGGGGTTTCATATAATTACTGGTATAAATCCTACACGCTTCGTTAGGTTCCTAACAAATACTTAGGAAGGCATTAGGAAATTGGGCTGGTCAGGAACACGTCAGCTATAACATTATTTACTACTCTCTCAAGGTGGCTGTCTTACGGAACAATTACTAGTCATTAAGTGGACTACCGTTTAGTCTTTTATCATATATTACTTAATATTCTATACCCGTTAGCCGTACACTCGCAGACCTAATTAAGCGGGCCCAAACTAGCACCTAGGCTATAGTCATCATTCTATGTCAGAGGCCGGACAACAGTTACAATGCTCTTCCCATATTATACTTCCTTATCCCCCCAACCTTCTTACAATAATAGCCACCGAAACAACCATGAAAACAGCCAAGAATATTAGAAGCAATAGCCCGCTCACACCCAGCGTATTTATTAAGCCTTAAAAGCCTAGACACATCTCACACCAATCAAGTATCACACATAAACGTAACAAAAAGGTCCCATAGTAGTACTCATGAGCTCACCCATGGCAATAGGGCCACCGTTAGCATGTCCAATATCAATGACTGTCTCGAGTGTGACGTTAGGAGAGGCGGGTTGGTCTAGAAATGTGCTAGTTCCAGAGATCGCGTACTGTCTCGTTTCCAAATCTAAGCCCTGCCATATCCACCACACACGATCGATCATGCCATGATGAAGCCAGAAGCCCGGATCACCAGGACTGTTGTCAGCGTCGCGGCCAGGGTCACCGCCCATAGCGTAGTGACCAACACCATGAACACCTAGCGAGCGACTCCCCGGCATGCCCTGAGGTCGGACTGAAAGTCCCATACGCCATGATTGCCTAGGATAAGCCGCACAATCGACGTATAGTCAGCATATTCCTGTAGGACCACCGAAGCAAGGTCTCGTGTAAAGCAGCGGTGGTTATAGTCGAGGGGATTGGACACGCCCGTTATATTACCCCCGGGAAGAGATAGGAATGACGGACCCATGTTGACTGTATAGGAAGCAAATGGACCGCTAGTGACGCAGCCTCCACCAGTTCCAGGTGGGAGGACTGTAGGTGTATAATTGCCCAGAGGTACCTTGATATCCAATTGGTTTGGGATTGAGGCGCCATTTCCGGACAGGGAAGTATCGCTGCCATCAAACACTGGAGACTTCTCCATGGCATCAGCATCTGCGCCCCAGTCCCAGTAGCTAGATGCACACATTAAGAACAACATAGAAAACGGTAGAGTCAAAACGGGAGACTCACGGATAGTCACCAGCACAACCACAATCATCACGTAGGGCTTGCTCAAACTCATGGATAAAGAACCGATGCCAGCCTAGAAAGGTACCCTGTGGCGTATCAGCTAAGCCGTACTAGAAAGGAGAAGATAATCCTACCGTGCGATGAATAAAGAGTGTTTGGTTGAGGTGGGTGGCCACAAAATCGTCATACCGGGTTTTGGCCCCGGGGCCTTGATATGAAGGAGTACGTGAAGGTAACGCCTGTAGGCAAATCACGGCTTTGATGTATATCCTTTTCTCACTCACAGAGAAGGCTCTCCAATTGCGACGGACTTTGAGCTTTTCTAGAGTACAGCCTCGGTTGGAACGCTGACGAGCGTCTTTTTTGACATATAGAGGGCAAACTGGGCTAGCTCATCCAGTTGGATGGATGCAGTGACCGAAGATGAAGCAGTGTCAGCAAGTCCAGTACGCTGAATAGCGGCAATCAGGATGAGAAAAAGGAATATGCCCTTGGGAAAGAAAACCATATCTTCATCTGGAGAGAAGGACAGGAACACGTACAATATCTATAATAATGCGTCCTTTCCCCATAAATCCTGGATATTCACCTAAGCCATCTGTATGCCGTACAACCTGAAATGACTTGCTAGCTTGGGGAGTTTCGAGGATCATATCCCACGTAAGAGACGTGGGAGCATGAGACCAACTACTTAACTTAGCGCCAGCTGAAAGCATGTTACACTTATCCCCTTCCAGAAGACAGGGAAGTGGGAGGGAGAGAAAGAGAATAAAATATATGAATTTTTCCACTCCACCTTATGCAACCAACTCACGCCACACATGAAAAGAAAACGAAAATCTAATTTCCTAGACCCGTTTGAAGAAATACAGATATGCCGTTCTCTTCATCGCCTCAATGTCTTCAGATTGGACCACCTTTTCGTCATTGAACATAACCCATGACAGGTGGCTTTGACCGGGTAACGTTTTGCGAACGAAGGCAACATAATGTCTAGCGATAGTTAGTAAACCCACAATATAGAGAATGGAATGGATCGCTCACCCTGCATGGACAGAAGTGCCCTTGTGGCATACAATCGACCGTAATTCATAACGAGCAGGTAAGCTGACGAGTCCAACCTGGCCATCATGAGCTTGTGTATCATCACTTGTACCGGCACCTTCCTCGTCTACTGGCTCGTCAGGGTGACTGAAAACCCAATCAAGGGCCCGATTGACATCGCCATCGGTTGCAGCCAACGCTTGTCGAGCGCGGGGCGCCTCGATGCCCATATCGCCCAGCTGAGCAATTTTTGTCACGTCATGTTCAGCACCTTCGGATCCACCGCTTTGTTGACCCAGGGCCACCGGTTCATCGATGTCTGAATCTTCCATGTGGGCAAACAGCCAATTCATGGCAGCTTCTGGATCCGAGTTACCAGTGGCATGGAGGGCTTTCTCACACCTGACGGCAGGGAAGCCCATGCTTAAGAGTTGATCAAGTAGCTGTGGATTCGGTTCAAATGCCGTGGATTCCTCCACTTCTGGAAGTAGCTCCTCACTAGCATCATGCTCAGCAGCCATGTAGGAGCTGAAATCCAGTGGCTTGTCATCCACAAGGACAGGGATGTCGAGCTTTGTAGGGACCCAGTTGACTAATTCAAATCGACGAGCATTGACTGCTAATTCGTAAGGCAGCGTCTTGAATGTCGACCGTTTCATGAAGCCACCCTGGCTGGCACAGGCAGGGCATGTAAGCTCAACAACTTCACCCGAAGTAAAGATGTCCAGACACTCTGACAGAGTAATTGACTCATACTGACTTCCGGTCTCGTCCGAGGTAGTGGTGCGACGTGCGGGAACTGCAACAGAGATGTTGTCTTGCTCATCCACTCGATAGCGGACTTTCTTACAATGCAAACACTGGAGACGCTGCTCAACTAGGAAACGGAATTGCTGCACTGGATTCCGCCCACCAGAGTGCTTGGACAGGCTGATTAACTTGAACAGGTGGAGAAGGAATTCAAATGCGTCCTGCTGTCTCATGGTTGCAAATTCTTCGTGGCCCTGCCCTACCAGGTACTTGAACATGGTCGGCGCTAAACCCTTTTGATGGGCAGCTTCTGCATCCGGAGACGAAAGAAGGCGGGAATCGGGTCGGGAGTACCGTCCAGAGAGGATTCCATCCGCGAGTTTTCGTAATTGAGTCTCTAGGTCTTGCGCTGGTGCTTGACAAAGTGGTGGTTCTTCAGACGGCTGATAGTATCGCTCACAAAATCCGGCCACGGAGAAGATGCATTGCACGACGCTGGACAGATAACAGCTGTTCCCAAGGTTGGCCAGACCTGTAAAGCCGGGCCCAAAAACAGGGGTCAGCTCCCGGCCGTCCTCAGTCTTCATTGAGAATTCCCATAGTAGGTTGTGTTCAACCTGCATCTCCATCAGGCTCTTCTCAGTCTTTTCACGCCCGGCCAGATAAATTCCCCAATGCGCAAGATGCGTGGCCAGCTCTGGGTCCACTCTTTCCTCATTGCACTTATAGCAGTAGACGTCAGCCGAGCCCTCTGCTGTGATCGAGCCTAGCTTGACGGCAACCGCATGTGATGTTGAGTCGGCGTGAGTAAGACCATGTGAATTTCCCCGACTGCCACCGAACTGACTTCGTCCACAAGCTGTATTCCCGCATTCCAAACACAGCCAGAGGTTCTCGGACAGATCGCACTCTGTACAATGGCTTGAATCTAGCGACCAATTAGTACCGTAGTCAAAGTACTGGTGTGAGTCGTAAATACCTTTGGATGCGGCTTGTTCAGACTCTTGTTGAACTAGACAGAGGGTATGCTCGCAAGGAACAAATTCTTGCTCCCAGGCCTTGATTTCTTCTCTCTTGGCAAAGGTCATTGCGGTCATAATACCTTCAATTACCACAGGTAGATTGCCAATGCTCTTATCGACATCGTGCTGAGAGCATTCATAGCATACCACCGAGGTAGCAATATCATACCTATCCTCTTCTGTCTCGGCGGCGATGGCAAGCTTGGAAATTTTCGGCGGAGGCTCGTCACGCTATCATTTTGAGGCATTAGCATCATTGATCTCGAACCAGAAATGTGATTGGAGGTCTTACCTGGATCTTTTTGGGAGTTCTCCGGATATTAAGAGCTAGGGAGTGACCGAACCGCTTGTAATGGAGGAGAGCATGGTCCCTATCACCGGAACATCCACCATTAAAACAATGCAGACAGACGTTGAGACCGCTTTCGTCATCCTTTTGAGTTGAGAGTCAGACCAACTGTGGGGTACACAGAGCAGGAAGCAAAACCACATACGATAGAATCAAAGCACTGGGTGCAATCATCTCGATAAACAGCCTGAGAAGGCCCCGGTGGAATGAGATCTGCGGCACAAGATAAACTGTCAGTTTAGTGCGTTATGATTCATATATAGTATGGTCACAAACCCGCGGCACTGGCATGGAAGCAAGAGGCCATATTCAGAAGGTAAATCTGTAGTTCAGACTCTGAAAGCACCTGTTAGAAATTGAGTAGGCAGGGATGACGAGAAAAGGATTCCCGATGCGGCAGATCAAGGCAGTTCCGGGATGCGTGGGGTAAGCTGGGAGCTGGGCCTGAGGCACCGAGGGTCATGTGGTGGGGTTCAGCCACTTAACGCGTTATTTTTCTCAACACGCGTCGTGCGTCGTGCACCTTTCACCCAAGCCAACCCCAACTTGCTCTACAAGTTTGCACGTCCTTTCTTCCATAATCGATTATTTCCCACTCTCTCATAGTCTATCGGATTCCATTTCTTTCGAACCGTGTTTTTACCTCCATCGCAAGTCATAACATCATGGCTTCTGATGCAGCATCCCAGGTCACTGTTGGGGCTCTCAGGTTTGATTTCCAACAAGCTCCTTAACAAACTATATTCTAATCATACCATACACAGTGCCATCTTCGATGAGACTAAACCCCAGGTCCGGGAACCCATTGTTCAGTGCGTCCAAATCAAGGCGTTGCCACCTCAGCCAAACCATCCAGACCGATACCGGGCTGTTTTCAGCGACATTGCGAATTATGTCCAGACAATGCTTGCAACCCGTATGTTAACTTGATCTTCGACTTTATTTGCACACTTGGGGTAACTGACCGACCTGAAAGAAGCGAACCATGTGGTGACAGATGGTTCCCTCAAAAGGGTTCTTTTGTACGACTGAAGTCATTCCAATCAAACTCTGTCAAGGGAAAAAAGTGAGTTTATTTGAGATGTTTCACTGGACCATACTTATCAATTGCAGAATTCTCATCATCTTGGACCTTGAAGTTCTGAAGGAACTGGGCGAGGCTGATAAAATCGGTGAACCCAAGCCCCTCGAGGTGAAAGGCGAGGAAGAAGAAGCCAACCAACCGACAACAATCTCCAGCAATGGATTTTATGGCTCCAAGATGGAGGGCGCACAGGCTCAAGCCGCCAGCCGGGCCCAGCCCACGCGACCCTCTGCGGCTGCCTCTGCCCATGCCACAATCTATCCCATCGAAGCTATCTCTCCGTATTCCAACAAATGGACGATGAAAGCGCGATGCACTAGCAAGTCCAATATCAAGACATGGCACAACAAGAATGGCGAGGGCAAACTGTTTAGTGTCAATTTATTGGACGACAGTGGTGAAATCCGTGCCACTGGATTCAACGATCAGTGTGATGCCCTTTATGATCTCTTCCAGGAGGGAAGTGTTTATTACATCTCGAGTCCTTGCCGTGTACAAATTGCCAAGAAGCAATTCACAAATCTCAACAACGACTATGAGCTTACTTTTGAGAGAGATACCCTCGTCGAGAAGGTAAGTATCCTGTTCGCTTCGCTAATTCCTATGCCACCTCTCCTTACCTTTCTGTTTTACTGTGCCGCTAACCCTCATGCCTTGTAATAGGCAGAGGAACAAAATGATGTCCCCCAAATTCGGTTCAACTTCACCACTGTTGCTGATCTGCAGACCGTCGAAAAGGACACGACCACGGATGTCATTGGCGTGCTAAAGGATGTCGGTGAAACATCTCAGATTGTGTCAAAGAGCACCGGCAAGCCATACGACAAGCGCGAGCTTACGCTGGTAGATAACACAGGATTTTCTGTTCGCTTGACAATCTGGGGCGCAACCGCGAATAATTTTGGTGTGGCGCCCGAGTCGATTGTCGCGTTCAAGGGAGTCAAGGTTTCAGACTTTGGTGGAAGGAGCCTGAGTCTTTTGAGTTCGGGCTCAATGACTGTCGACCCTGACATTGGTGAGGCTCATCGGCTCCGAGGCTGGTACGACGCCCAAGGCAGGTCGGAAAACTTTACTTCCCATGCTTCATTGTCCAATGCTACAAATTCATCCACGAAGACCGACAAATTCAAAACCGTTGCACAGGTTCGGGAGGAACAATTGGGCATGTCTGAACAGCCGGATTACTTCTCCCTGAAAGCCACTGTGATCTACATCAAGCAGGACTCTACCTGGTGCTACCCTGCCTGCCCCTCTGAGAACTGCAACAAGAAGGTAACAGAACTTGACCCCGGCCAATGGCGCTGTGAAATGTGTGACAAAACCTACCCTAAGCCCGAGTATCGTTTCATTATGCCTATTAGTGTCAGCGATCACACTGGCCAGCTTTGGCTCAGTTGTTTTGATGACACTGGAAGAAAGATTATGGGAACCTCGGCCGATGAATTGATGCAGCTTAGTGAAAATGACCCTGTCGCCTGTGGTGAAGTTTTCCAAAATGCCAATTGCCAGACATGGAGCTTCAGGTGTCGAGCGAAGATTGACAACTTCGGTGAACAGCAACGGTAAGAACAACCATGAATATTTGGACTTGCGCGGACCTTCTGCTAATTGTGTCTCTAGTGTTCGATACCAGGTTTCATCTTCCCAGGCAATCAATTACTCTGAAGAAGCCTCTCGCCTTGCCAATATCATCAACTCCTACAGCATTGAGTAGATGAAGATGGAAGACAGGGGCGTTACCCGATTCCCGAATATCTTTATCTGATGCTAGTATGCACTAAGAACCTCATTTGTTTAAACGTATTTCTTTTCCCCTATGCTGTTCAGAACACTCTGATCTCACTAGTAGTCTATCTTTTCTTTCTTTCTATTCCTGTGCTCTCCTCCGACCCAAGATTTCGTACCAGATAAATGTAAGAGGAAGAACCACAGTCGCGGTAACATTATAGATGCGGTGAGAAACACTTGTCCTAATTTAGAAGGCGGTATATACCCCCATTACCTATGTGGGTAGTTTGGTAGGCGGAGAATTTTGGCAATAGTCAATAACTTATTTTTTTTTCTCTCCTCCCGTCTGCCGGTTCAATCACAGCCAGAGAATTCAGATTTGCATTTGAATTGCTCTTTTTTTCGTTATTATTCTTCAAAAATTTCCACACACCAACACAGAAAATCAGTCATGGGTAAACGCCATCATGACTCAACGGAGCAGCGACCGAAGAAGAAGTCGAAGTCCGAGAAGCCCGCAAAAGCTCCTAAAGACAATGAAAACGGAGACGAGAAGGCAACAAAGAAAACATCTTATTCTGAAGCCCCCGCTCTCTCCAAGCTTCCTCAATCGGAGATTGAAACCTACATGACCGAAAAGATTATCAAAATCACTGATCCTCTAGCCGGTGCGCCCAAGTTCCGTCCACTCCTTTCGTTTGACTACTTGCCAGAATGCGACACTGCCCTGTACTCTCAACTGAAGGATTTCCCCGCACCCACGCCGATTCAATCTACCACCTGGCCGCTTCTGTTTGCTGGCCGTGATGTGATTGGCATTGCGGAGACTGGAAGTGGCAAAACCTTGGGTTTTGGCTTGCCATGTCTGAAGAAATTGATCGATTCCAAGTCAAGCAAGAAGCCCTACCACCCAAGGGCAGTGATCATCTCACCAACTCGAGAGCTTGCAATGCAGATCTATGACCAGCTCATCAAGTATGCCGGCTCCGAGAAGACCACAGTAACATGTATCTACGGAGGTGTAGGCAAGGATGAACAGCGTCACGCCCTTCAAACGGCTGCCATCGTCGTTGCCACGCCTGGTCGTTTAAAGGATCTGCAGAACGACGGCTCTGTGAACCTTGGCAAGGTCAATTACCTCGTCTTGGATGAGGCAGATCGCATGCTTGACAAGGGTTTCGAGCAGGACATCAAGGATATCATCCAGCCAATGCCCGTCTCTAGGAGACAGACAGTCATGTTCACAGCAACATGGCCCCGATCAATTCAGAACCTTGCAGCAACATTCATGAACTCCCCCGTGACTGTTACCATTGGAGGAGACCCGTCCGCTGATCCTCGTGCCAACACGAGAATCAAGCAAGTCGTTGAGGTTGTTGATCCCCGAGAAAAGGAAGGCCGACTTATTCAGCTACTCAGCCGGTCTCAAAAGGGCCAATCGCCCGAGAAGGTCTTGGTGTTCTGTCTCTACAAGAAGGAGGCCATGCGAGTGGAGAACCTTATCAGAAACAAAGGATTCAAAGTCGCTGGTATCCACGGTGATTTGAACCAGTCTGACAGATTCCGCAACCTTGATGCTTTCAAGAAGGGCACTGCCACTGTTCTTGTGGCAACCGATGTGGCGGCGCGTGGTCTTGATATCCCAGCCGTAAAGCTGGTCATTAACGTCACCTTCCCCTGACTGTTGAAGACTACGTGCACCGGATTGGAAGAACTGGTCGTGCTGGGGCCGAGGGTCATGCTATTACCATGTTTACTGAAACTGACAAGGGACTGTCTGGCGGGTACGTTACTCACATCTCCATTAAAATCGAAACATCTTTCCAGTGCTGTGCTAATTTTGAGCAGATTGATCAATGTTCTTAAGGCCGCCAAGCAAGACGTTCCAGAAGATCTGCTGAAGTTTGGAACCACAGTCAAGAAGAAGCAGCACGATTCATACGGCGCTTTCTATAAGGACATTGGTACAGACAAAGCGGCGACGAAGATCACTTTTGACGATTGATTGCTCTACTGCCTCTTGTCTTTCCCGCGTGAGGATACTCTGTCACGAATTCTTGTCAACTGGCTCATCAAATATTCCTTTTCAATGTAGAATCTATCATTTTAGTCAGGCGTTAGGAACAAGAACAAATAGAAGCGATATATCTGAAACAGTATCACTTACATCACAAGAACATAGGTGCCACTAAAGCCACACGCTCGGAAAAATCCCAGTCTTGAGTTTTCTAGTGTTTGTTGGGTCATGATCACACTAGCTAAAGCTCCGATGATGAAGCTAGCAGGTCGGATTGCTACTTCGCTTGCGGGGAGATGTTCTCCATGCCGATGGAGGTACGACGTGATGAAGTTGAAACTCCAAAGAGTCCGAACAGCCATGTTCACGATGTTAGCCAGGACCAACCCGTAAGCGCCCAGATTTCCTAGCTCAAGGAACATGTAGGCCGCTACAGCATAACAGGCGGAAAAGACACCCATCCACCCCGTTTGTCGCCGTATCTCGCGAGGATTGGCTGCAGATGATACAAACGCTTCGGTGATTCCATTGAGTGCCAGAAATGGAATATAGTAGCAGTAGACGGAAAGCAGATCGCCAACTTTCGGGGAAGCCCACTGGCGACCTCCTAAGATATGCAGCAACTGTGGGACCATCATGGGCCCCAACGGGAAAATGAGGACTGAAAGCAGCTGGTAGGCGTGCAGAATATCTACAAGATGATTTTTGGCAGTGCGGATATGCATGCCACTCAGCTTCCCGCTCTCATTTGGGCTCATGAGGGTTGAAAATAGGTTCCGGCTGCTCTCTTCCAGTGGTTGGAAGATGATACGTGCAACAAGGCCACCGTAATTTGATGCAAGAGAGTATATGCCTTGGTCTTCTAGCCCTGAAAGGGCTGCGAGAAGCATGGTGTCGCCTTGTGTGAGCAAATGTTTCACCAGAGATTGGAAAAATACATTAGCAGCAAGTGACGTTAATTGGCGTGAGAAGAGTCCCAGGATGTAGTTTGACTGATCACTGTTGCTCATTAACAAACTGCTCAAAGTGTGATTTTGGACGAGGCGAATTTTGCCTTACCTGGATTGCACGCGTGTTAACAAGAAAGAGAATTGCTTATTGTCTGGTCCCTTCAGTAAAAGCAAGGAATAGCCAGAAAGAAGCGCAAACGAGTATACAAGGTGGCCTAGAGCAAACGGGATCACACCGAGGTTATAGTTGGCCCGAGAGCCATATATAAAGGCAGCAGATGTTACAGCACTCCTAAGAAATGCTGCTGGCATCTCCGCGGCAGCACGCTTCTCATACAGCATATGTTGCTGCACCACCGCAAAAAACGGCTCGGTGCTGAGCTCTATGAGAGCTGCAAGGCCGGTGATTGCCACGCTGAGGCGGAAAAAAGCGATATTTGAAGCTTCATCTGACACAAAGCACTGATATAGTATGGTGAAAAAGAGAGTTGCGGGAACACCAAGGGCAAGACTCAAATAAGACACATTCACCACTGCCTGAGATGCCATACACTGCGTGGCTAATGATGCATCTTTTGCTTGACCGTGATTGTTGCTCTTGGATGAAGATGACGCAGGCTGTCTCTGAATGGCCATTCGAATGCTCTCTCTTGAAAAATACAGGATTGAAACTTGAAAGAGCTCGAGCTGGGCTGCTATCCCCAGTACAGCCGGTGAAAGAGTGCGCAGAATCAGCTGGTTTGAGGCAAAGGTGAAGATCCTGGATGTTAATTGAATCATGATTAAGAATGTTGTGCCTGTCGCGGACGAAGCCAGGATCTTGCCCATACGGGCATCACCGGGTTTAGCCATGTATCTGGCGAGACCCAGTCTAACTAGGAAGATGAAATTTATCAGAAAGATGTGGGAAAAGCAGTGTTCGTAAGGGATGAAAAGCTGTGAAAGCGGAGTGGGGGTTCCGCGGCACTGCAGGAGTGCAGGAGCTCGTCTCCATACTATTTATTGGCTTCTAGGCATTTCAGCTACAATCAGGTTCTACAAATGTACAGCTGGATTATTTTGAGGGACAAGTATATTGTAGATCTATTCTCATGGATATTGCTTTAACTCATGGGTAAAAAGCCCTATGGCAAAAGAAAACCTGTCCATGGGCCAGTCCGTGCAACAAATCACCATTTTCTTCCACGAGGTGACTGGAGCCACTGGCCACAACAGTCAACATAGGAACAGGTTGAAATACATTGGGATGTCAGCAATCAACCCAATAATGATATGTTTTCAGGAGTCACCATCCTGCACTATTGATCGAGTTGGCTCTAGAATGGAGGCAGATAGAATGGATAACCGCCATTCTTAGCCTTGAAAACACTCAGAAGGAAGCTGTATGTTCCAAAAAGGACGGCTGCCCAGATCAAGACGGCTAGCTGTTGACCTTTGACATCTTCCATGCGAGGAACCTTCAGGGCAAGTGCGATTGTAGCGAAGGATAGAACAGCATCTGGAGAAGCGGTTAGAATCAATGAAGCTGCACACGCGGAAGAGGCCAAATTGAAGACAGAACAAGCCCCTTAAATTCACACTTACAGATAGCAGCCACAATTTGGGTCTCCATCCCGAACTGATTCTGGAAACCGCCGGCAAAGTAGCTAATGCCACCTCGTCCATCACCTGCAACATATGGAACCTTCCGAATGTGATTGAACATTTGACCACTTGTAAACAGCAGAATGGCGATCAGACTGATTGCAGCCCACAGGTTCCGGTTCTGCACAATTGGTAGCACATATGGGTAAAGTACCGCAGAGAGGGTGACAGAAGCCATGAGGATGGTAATAGTTGTCACAATGCGCATGTAGTTAATAGGTCGAACGAGAGGGGGCTTGGGGCCGTCGGGAAGTTGACGTTCAATCCAGGAATAGATCTGGTCGGCTGAGATCGGGCTGTTGAAGTTGGACACGTTAGTGGGAAAAGATTCCAGGGACCTAGAGTTTAAAGACATACCCGGTGAAATCAAATCGAAGAGGATCTCCTTCCACCTTGGCAAATGGACCGATGGTTGGAGGGAACACAAGCAACACAGGCGCAGTTTGGAGCATGAGCTGCTTGGGTCAGTCACTGTTGCACGATCCATGGGTTCCAGTCAAATTGCCTACCTTTTGGAAGACTGCCTTTCCATTATCAAAGTCAAGTGTTCCATAGACCACCTTGAGATCATCGGGCTTGGTACCCTTATTCCAGCTTCGGGCGATCAAATCCCATTCTGGCTCAAAGTCACGGCACAGAAGACAGCCAAAACGGGCATCTGTGGCAGTTAAAATAACCACAGCAAAATAATCTCGAGGTTCTGAGGTCAATTCCTCATACGATGCGCTGTCCAGATCGACAGGCCCCGAGCGAGACAGGGATTGATATCTTGCAAACTTGTCCGGGGTTGACTTTGCGGACAGTACGCATGACACGACCGAAAGAAGCAGGAAAAGGGCCGTCCAGAGCTTCATGTTGACATGACAAGGAGCTGGACAGCTTTATATAAGGTGATTCTATACTGCAATTGAGAATTTCTCAGTTGTAATTCACGATGATTGAACACGTCGAGCAGTTAAGTCCAGGTGTCCACTATCAACCTGTTACGGGGTACAGCTTACATAAGACAAATCGGGGTAATCGCCCCAAAACACCGACGCGTCTACCCTTGCGTGGACATCGTTACTTTTGGTATAGCACCACACATAACTTATTCAGCTTTATTGGGCTTAATTGGCCGTATTCTTCTTATTTCAGTCTTCTTTTTTCAGTCTTACCCTGGTATTCTCATCATGGCAATGGCTCAAGGAGCAGCTGTCGATGTATGGTGGATGCCATAAACTCAAAGAGGACATTCAGGAAATGCTAACTTGTTTATGTAGTGCGAGATGTCCATGAGGACTGTGCATCTGGAGAAGGAGTATGAGAAAAGCCTGTCAGACTCTGCGCGTCTTCTGGAAGGCGAGAGAGATCGTGTGCGACGCATGGAGCACTTGTTCTTGGAATTCGAAAACGAAGCTCTCCGATCACAGTTGGATGAAGCGAACGAACACCTCCTGCGGTTCACCAACGCTGATTCCGAGGCCTGTGTTCAACTTCAGGAAGCCTGCCGGGAAATTGATCGCTTGGAACGTCACGCGCAAAGTTCGTCGAGCGAGATAGACCGACTCAGAGTAAGCTCCAACCCTCTTGCTGGATAGTCTCGTGGAATTTGTCCCATTGACAGTAACAGGAAGAACTCGCCAGCCGGAAGCATACTTCGACCAGCTACAACGCAATCTTTGCTGAGAAGGTTCGCCTTTCCAAAGATCTTGCAGGCCTACAAACAGAAATGGAACGGCTCAAGGCCCAAAGTTCATCACATCAGGCTATGGTTGCCGAGAAAAATGAGATGGAACGGCAGCTGAATTCTCTGGAGATTCAACTTGATAACGAAAAACATGCCCACGAACGCACTCAGGCTAAGGGATCGCAGCAAACAGCGGAGATAACCAAACTATCTGCACGAGTGGATGAGTTACGAAATGAACTAGCGGGGGAATCGCGAACAAAACAACAGCAAGAACTGGACAAACGGCGACAGAGGTCAGAATTTGACAGCCAGCGCGCAGTGCTTGAGGGGAAGATTGATTCGCTAAAACAGCAATTACGATCGACCAAGGACAAGCTACAGGAAGCTCAGAATGAATTATTGCAGCGACACAACGGCAAAGTGGACAGAGGAGATGATTCGGAACCACGCTCTCGAACTATCCCACTCCAGCGCCCTGGACCCAGTGGTCATGTTGGGGTCACGATTGCAACTCCTGGCGCAGTTCGAGTTCAAGAGAAGATGAAAAGAGACTCGGCCTTGCCTGGTGACAAATCGGCGTTCTCTATTACTCCCTTCTTGAACCGCACAGGTGCACCGGCAGATTCCCCGTTGAGTTCAGTGGCAGACGAAGATGACATGCGTGAAGATGCCGATACCACACATGAACTACTTCGCACAGGAAACCCCATTGGCCAGCCCAGGCGCATTGGTTCTGCCTTGCGGCGCCAATTGTCTCCAACCCAAGATCGCAACCCCATCAGTAAACCAGCGAAATCGAGGGCGCGTGATGTCTCGGCAACAAAAAATGATTTCAAGAAGCCAGCCAACCGCCTGGATCGCCAGATGCTACCCATTGATACTGATGATGAACAGCTTAGTGAACACGAGCAGGTCAAGCCGAAAAAACGCAAACTAGGTGGTCCACGAGACCGAAGTTTGATGGAGGAAGAGGATGATGATGATGATGGAGAGCCTCGCCAGAACAAGAAAGTTGGGCGCAAACTTGCACTAGGGGCTGGCCGTACGTCAAAGTTAGGTGGTATGCAGCAACCAAGCACGTCTAATGGCGAGCGACTGCAACGAGGTCTTGGATTCGGTGCACCTATGGGATTTTCTCCGTTGAAACGGGACCGCAAACAACTCTGATGACAGTTAGACTTAGAATAATTATTTTCTGTCAATTCCTATGCCAGCGTAATCACATATTAGCGCTTAATCCACCATCTCTTGAATCAATGGAACGGTATTTACAGATATATCCCGTGTATATAAATAAACTCATGCCGGGGACATCGGCGGTCCACTTTATTTTGCCGGCAGAAAGCAAAAGCTCCTTGTGAATCTCGGACCCCAGAGGACTTCTCTCCCCACCTTCACGCCATGTTTGCATTATTGCCAATCACATGGCGACACGCTTGTCGCCATGGCGCATTATACCAGGCAAGACAGGCCTCGTCGAAGCGCTGGCAGGCTCGACAGCAAAAGGATCAGTTCACGAGAGAAGCAGCAGTGCAAGGGCTGAAAAGCAGAGCCGCTTTTAAATTATTGCAGGTAAACGGCGCTTATCTTATTCTCTTTTCTCAAAGCATATGAACCTGACATGGACTCTGCGGTTAGATCGACGAGAAATATAGAATTTTCAAGGGTGGGCAGACAGTTGTTGACTTGGTATGCTAATCGTTTGTCTCCCGGTTCGGACTGGCAATTGATCTCATTGGATTGTATAGGGCTATGCGCCAGGCTCATGGTCTCAGGTATGTTATGCCCCATTTTGAATAGTGGCTGTCGACATTCGAAATTAATCCCAGAAGGTGGCTGCAAACCGCACCCAACCGTACGGTCGAGTCCTCGGTGTCGACATCATCCCAGCCCAGCCACCGAAAGGAGTGTCTACAATCCAGGGCAATTTCCTCGCACCCGAAATTCAAACATATATTCGAGACTTTCTCCGCAGTCCCGACCGAGGCAGACCGCGCCAGCCCGGCCTTCAGGGCGATTCTAGTGCCAGTCTTTTGGAACCGACTTTAGATTCTGAACACCCTGACGAAAAATCTCGTGGAAGTGATAAAATACTTGAAAGAACGGTGGATGTGGTTCTAAGCGATATGTCTGCTCCCTGGTACCAGACGTCCGGATTCTGGAAACGAAGTCTAAGTGCTCCCTATAACAGGATGATGAACACCAGCGGTCTCAATTTCAGGGATCATGCTGGCAGTATGGTATGAACCCCCCTACTACACCTTGAGGTTGGATGTTTCTGACTCTAAGCAGGATCTCTGCCACGCGGCTTTACGCTTCAGCACAGAGGTTTTGAAAACAGGCGGTCATTTTGTCTGCAAATTCTACCAAGGCGCCGAGGACAAAGAGTTGGAGCAGCAATTGAGAGATCTATTCAAAAAGGTCCATCGGCTAAAACCCGAATCATCTCGCAGCGTAAGGTTTGCCTTGTCCAATCTGAACATGCTCAGCTAAAGCAATCGGCAGGAATCCAAAGAAGCATTTTTTGTTGGTCTGGAGCGGAAACCATGAATTAAGTATGGGGTATCAGGGTCTTATAATGTGCAAATCACCTTCGAAACACTTTCCTTAGAGGGTCTCGATCTCTTCATTGTCAGATGCCTCATCCCACTCAATATCCGCCAGTGCTGCTTCCGCCTTCTCGTGAACCTTTTCTATATGTCAGTCTCCAAGTGTGTTTTTCAATGGTAATTTTGCTGACCTTTTTTAGTCCACTCAATTCCTCAACGTAGCCGGGTTCATTTAGGGCTTTTCGCACGAAATCCCAACCATGCTCGCGATATGCACTAATCACTCTCTCCGAACATGCACTACAGCTTTGGTAACTCTGGCCAGTGACGGATAAGTTCTCAAATGTGGATAGGAATCCTCGAATTTGATGGGGCACAATGCCCAGAGGATGGTCATCCCTCTCGGTGCTTTTAGCCACCGGAGCTGGTGCTGCGGCGCCTTGGGGGTGCTGAAGAAGCGACACTAAAAGCTCCACGAGGAGTGCAGATGCTATGGGGGCTACTCCAGGACGGGTCACTGTACACTGTTGGTCGAGAGTTTGGTCCTTGATCGACTAAGTAGATTATGGTCAGCTCAGTACCAACTTGCTCTCCCCTTCGGTCTTACGTTGGCTGGTGCAACAACATCGTTGCAGAAATAGCATCCAAGTTCAAATGATGTGCTATCGCCATTCATGCCATGCCGCATGACGACGAAGGTATCAAACCCTAAGGCAGCATTCATGACGATCTTCCCTGCGGCTTTGCCCATCACGGTTGGTAGCCATCGTGATTCCCGTGTGTCCATGAGAAGAAAAATAGCATCATGCTCATCGATCAACTTTCTAAGTGTTTCAAACTCGTCCCTTGTAGCTTTTTCGTCCACAATGGGGTGACCCGCCATAGGTACCGACATTGCATGGCCTTCGGATTCCACTCCGGGATAAATTTCGGCTAGGGCTGCGGATGCTCTATGTGCTTTTTGGGCCCCGCCATTCAAGCAATCCGTGAAATTGAATAGAGGCTGCCGAACAGGGTTAGAAAATGAAACGGACCCATTGTCGACAAATGTGATTTTCTTCACACCCCAACCCTAAACAAGCGATAGTTAGGACAAGTACTTCCAAGCACGACCGTTCAGATCCACATACCAGCAAGTTCCGAGACACATAACTACCTAGGGTGCCAGCTCCGAGCAAAAGACATTTGGTGTGTTTGATTTTCTCAAGATTGAGCGTCGGGCTAATTCGCCACTTGATGAGTTTGAGGTTAAGATCGACCGACTGGTCTGCCAATCTATAAGCGTGATAATTCTCATTAGCTGAGTACGAGGTGAGAAACATCGTGAGAGTGGTCTACCTTTTAGGATCCATGTAATCCGTGAGGTTAACATTTCTCCCTGACAACTTTCCTGCTGGGTTGCGCTCCCATCCGGTTACCTTTGGTAACGGCGAAAGTTCTTTGATCGGTGCTTTCGGTGGTTGAACTTCTTGTTTTTCGCTTGATCTCAGTTGAATGACCATGCTGCGGCCCTGTTCACGTTTTGAGTGCACGTCACGATACCGTAGGATCTGTACTCGGTTGAGGCCCCATCGCTGCCTGACCAAAACCAGTAAATTCCGTAACATCCACCCCGGTGCCTGTTCGTAATTCGATGGGTCTGCAAAACATACATAACGGTCTCCAGCGGCGGTGTCGTTGAAGAACCCATTTTCGTATTCTGAAAGTGACGCTATTTGCCAGTTGCTGTCCAGCTCGGTGTCTTCGATATCAGTATTTTCTGGAGGGGGATGGCCATTGTCCTTTTTGGTCTTCCGAGCTAGAAAGAACCCTCTTTGCCGATGATCCACAGCATAGGACCAAGTCTCCACGGCTTCCACGAGGGTAGTGCTTTCACGCGGGAATAGGTACCTCCCGTTGAGAGAATCAATATTTTGGCTTTGGGGTGGCTGGGACACTTGACTAGCTGTTTCCACTGGTATCCATGAGGGGTCGGAGTGGATTGCCGGAAAAGCAAACCAGTAATGAAATTTGTATTTCTTGAGGTCGGCAAAAGACACGATAATGAAGCTGGCCAGCAATGACGGACATGAGAAGATTGTTCCGTCATGGATTGCATCCCAAACCTTGAAATCCCTATCAGTAAGTTAACAAGAGGCTGGTAAGTGGTATCCTTACCGTCTGTCCAGCTTGGTGAAGCAGCTGGGGCCTGTCAATGTTTCGATATTCTTCGACTGTGTTGACATTTTTGATCATGCCTTCGGCTCTGTAGTAGCCAGCGGGTCCTCTAGGTGACTTGTCAATGATGGGAAAGTTGAGATACACCTTTCATCCGATCTTACTCGCTGCCAGTGAGGGCATTTCCGTGTATTTGAATCCGACATGATGCGGGATCGGGATCAGAGGGGCGGATCTCATATAGGCCCAGCACGGCCCGGGCGGAGTCATCTAGCTTGTCATGGTTGATCTTGTGGGAAGCCAGGGATGTATAAAAGGGCAGTTCAATATCGGAAGCAAATGGCGTGTACTGCATCTTGAGCAAGAGTGAGGAAAAAGGTTATGGGTGATGTCAACGCGGGCGGGGAAGGTCTATAAATCTTATATCTATACATACCCGTGGACCATGACCTTGTCAGCTGACTCTATCCCATGCCCAGGTGACTACTGCCCAATATGTCCTTGGATTTATCATGGATCCTTGATATTCTTTGTAGATACCCAATGTTTCTCCTATCAGGCTCGATAAGATCACGGCTTGAACGGCCCCACTACTTTCGCGTTTCTTTCTTTTCTTTCCCCTCTACTTTCTACTTTCTACTTTCTACTCTATTTTCTCTACTCCCTCTACCTGAAAGAAGAAGAAGAAGAAGAAGAAGAAGAAAAAGAAGAAATAAAAAATGCTCGTTGGATTATGTGGAGGTCAGAAGATACACCCTGGAACTCACCGTGCGAAGAACTAACAAATCATCAGGCATATGTGCTGGCAAGCATGCGATTGCCGAGTACCTAATTCAACACCAAGGGTTCCAGCTTCTTGAACTTACCAGCAAACCGCCCCACATCACCGAGCCAGAGAATGACCTGCGACTACAAGCTTCAGAAATCAGAAAGAAAGGGGACGCCCAACCAGAGCATATGTTTGAGAACGCTGATATTCTCCTCGACTTTGCTACCAAAAGATGGCAAGAACGTTGGATCACTACAGATATTGCAGATGCAAATACTCTAGATCGGTTCCTGTTGCGCCCATTCTTCTTACTCGTGAGCGTTGATGCCCCGGTCAGCCTTCGATGGAAACGATTTGCGGACAGGTTCGTGGAAATACAGTTCATGATCTCAGCCTAGGGACTGACTGGGTCGCTCAAAAGGTGCTGGAGAAGACAGCTAGATCCGCCCGATCTCGAAAAGTTTGTTCTCTGGAACGACCATAACTTGTACGACAAGGATGTTGGGCGGGTTTACTTGACCGACAAAGCACAAGTACGCTTGTTCAACTCATCGTCATCCCTTGAAGAGCTACACTCGGCCCTACAAACTCTCGACCTGGCCGATGAAGAGCGGTTGCGACCAAATTGGGATCAATATTTCATGCAGCTGGCCTCTCTGGCTGCCCAAAGAAGCAATTGCATGAAAAGAAGAGTAGGATGTGTGCTGGTCCGAGAACGCCGTGTCATTAGTACTGGGTACAATGGAACTCCGCGCCATCTCCAAAACTGCAACCAAGGTGGATGTATGATCGAGGCTAGAGCCAAGTGACTTTGATGATTTTATGTTCACCACACTGACTTGAACACGCTATTCAGGCCCTCGGTGCAACCGCGGAGATGGAGGCGGAGTTGGTCTCTCAACATGCCTTTGCCTACACGCCGAAGAAAACGCGTTGTTGGAAGCAGGCAGAGAGCGCATTCGAGAGGGAGCTATCCTTTACTGTGATACGTACGTTCAATTTACGCTTGGTACGCGCCCTACGAGGAAAATCTCACTGTTGATCACAGATGCCCCTGCTTGACATGTACTGTTAAGATAGCCCAAGTTGGCATATCTGAAGTTGTTTACTCGCAAGGATACAACATGGACAAAGATGTAAGCATTTTATCTGCCAGTGTTGCACTTTAGTTACTAAGACCATCCAGAGTGCTGCCATCTTGCAAGAGGCAGGTGTTCGCCTACGGCAATTCCACCCGGTAGCTAATCCTAAAACCCAGTCTCTAGTTAATTTATGTGGTATAGCTGACCCCATCACAGCCCTCGAATGGTCTTGTTTATTTACAGGAGTTTGACAGACCAGCCACAGATGGAAACTGACCCCAGACGTGGCGGGAGACTCGCACAGCTCAAGCAAAGATAGACAAAGATTTGCTTCAAAAGTACACATAACGTAAAGAAATACCCAAACAAATGAACTTATTGATTGAGAGTGGATCTGTATCGGCCCGGGACATAAAAAGTACCTAAGTTTACCTGCGATAGGTGATAGATAGGAAGAGTGGGGAGGTACCGGGATGTACCTTTAATCGCATTAGTTTAGCCGGCAGAAAAAAAGAAAACTATGACTCAGCGCGCGAATTTTGGCGGGGCCCTCGAGCAGCCCCTCGAAGGAGTCATGTTCTTCCATTCTTTGTTCCGGGAGTTGATCCTTTTCAATCCTCCGTTCTACCTGCAGCTTATCCTCAGCCTTGTGGTTTGAGACATTGAAGCCATGCCTACTGTGCACCTCCTGGACTACGTTGCGGGAAACATCCGTTCCTTGGTCAATGCGATCAACCAAGTTGGATACGATGTTGAATGGGTCAGATCACCAGAGGATGTGAGAAATGCAGATGTTAGTCAATTGGCCAATGGCGATTCTACCCATGCCTTAGCCATAACATGAGGTTGCTAACAAGATCACGCTCAAGAAACTGATCCTCCCCGGTGTTGGCCACTTTGGCCACTGTCTCTCTCAATTGGACAAGGGTGGATTTTTAGAGCCCATCCGACGGCATATTGAAGCTGGGAAGCCCTTCATGGGAATCTGTGTTGGTCTGCAAGCCCTTTTCCAGGGCTCCGAGGAAGACAGCGACGTCCCGGGACTTGGCGTGATTCCCACTCGCATTCAAAAGTTTAACGATAGTTCCAAGAGTGTTCCGCACATTGGATGGAATTCGGCGATGAATACTGGGTCTGATACCGCGAAGGTGCAAAGCTTTTATGGCCTGAGGCCAACTAGCAAGTACTACTACGTCCACTCTTACGCGGCTCCTTACAAGCCGGGTGCCCTGGAAAGTGAAGGCTGGTCCGTGGCCACGGCCACCTATGGAGAAGAGGAGTTTATTGGAGCTATCAGCCGTGGCAACATCTTTGGCACACAGTTCCACCCGGAGAAGAGTGGTTTGGCCGGCCTCCGCGCCATTCGCTCATTTTTGAATGGCGACCAATTTCAGTCCCTCTCACGGGATCTGGTTGCTGGCAAAGAAAATGGGCTCACTCGTCGGGTTATTGCCTGTCTTGATGTTCGAACGAACGATGCTGGCGACTTGGTTGTCACCAAGGGCGATCAGTACGATGTACGCGAAAAAGATGGAGCAGATGCCAGTGGTCACGTGCGAAACCTCGGAAAGCCTGTCGACATGGCTAAGAAATATTACGAGCAGGGAGCAGACGAAGTTACCTTTTTGAACATTACCTCTTTCCGGAACTGTCCCATCGCTGACACGCCTATGCTTGAAATTCTGCGACGGACATCGGAAACTGTTTTTGTGCCTCTGACCATTGGCGGAGGAATTAAAGATACCGTTGACACCGATGGAACACGAGTCCCTGCCTTGGACGTGGCAACGATGTATTTCAAGTCTGGTGCCGACAAAGTCAGCGTCGGATCTGATGCTGTCTTTGCTGCGGAAGACTATTACAACGCTGGTGAGAGGCTGAGTGGTGAAACTGCCATTGAGACGATATCCAACGCCTACGGCAAGCAAGCTGTTGTAGTGAGCGTCGATCCAAAGAGGGTTTATGTTGATAAGCCAGAGGACACCCACCACCACACACTTAAGACTAAATTTCCTAACTCATCGGGACAAAGCTACTGTTGGTACCAGTGCACTGTCAAAGGTGGCAGGGAAACTCGTGACATGGATGTTCGACAACTTGTCAGGGCTGTTGAGGCCATGGGCGCGGGCGAAATTCTCTTGAACTGCATAGATAAGGATGGAAGCAACAGTGGATTTGATTTGGAATTGATCAATGACGTTAAAGCTGCGATCAAGATCCCTGTCATCGCTTCGAGCGGTGCTGGGGTACCTGCACACTTCGCCGAGGTTTTCAAAAAAACCACCACTGATGCAGCACTAGGAGCTGGAATGGTAAGTTTGCATCTATATGTCGCTTTGTGATGGAGTTTCTAACCAGGTCCTAGTTCCACCGAGGTGAATTTACCGTGACTCAAGTGAAAGACCACCTCCAAACGGAGGGGTTCTTAGTTCGCCAATTTGAGGCTGACATTTGAAGAGTCGATACCGTGCTAGTTATCGTGTTTTATTTCCTCCTGAGCATACTTTCAGATTGTAAAGTGTTTTTCTTCACTTTTGTTACGACAATAGAGATCATGAGGGCCAAGCCCATCAACTTGAGATGTATAGTAAAAATGAAGAGAAAATGATCCCATATATACCTAGTACTAGGCTCCATACAGTTGTATGAAAAAAGCGAAGAAACTGTGGGCACAAGAATATAGCCATTATACTGCAATTTCCTAAACAGGCAAGCCCCTCTGACTCTCATTGCATAATCAAGGCGGCGTGGAAGGCGGTGAATACGGACTTGATCATCTGACTTTTCCTCACTTGCCACTTCATCTCTTCCTTATCCGTCGACGCCAGCCGTTGTCACCGAACTTCTTTCTTGCACCATCTCTGCCCTTTATTTCCAGTTTCAAAGACTCAGTATCGGGTGTTGTTCCCGCTCCTTTCTTTCCTTTGGATCTTTGATTTACCATCCCCGTATTTCCGACTTGCCCGAAACCCGTGATCGAAACCACGAACCCGCAATATCCCGATTTCGGTTGTCTAACATTCACGACGCTTATCGCTCATAAACAGGTATTCCTTTGATAGGAGAAGGTGTCTGCAAGGATCTCCAGCGAGCTGGTCTGATAACAGGTCAAGGTGTTGGGGTGGCTCTGCGAATCACTTGAAGGACGGGACAGACCATCAAATCTCTCTTGAATGCACCTTTTTTCTTCAGCGCCAGTGTCCCTTCGACAATTGTATTCCTCAATTTCTTGATCTCCATTTGTATGCAGTGACCTGAACACTCACTATTCAGCATTCAAGAAGATTCATTCACAATCCATTGTCTCCAGCATCCCCAATCGATAGATACAGGTCTATCGGTTTCTGATTTCGTTTCCCTAAAACTTGTGCTTTGTCTGCTATTAAGCAGATATCTTTTCTTCCCTGCTTTTTTCCTTGCGACTGGTGGTCCCCCACACTCCGATAGCACAAACGCTTTCTCTTTATCGGCCCCTCTTGCTCAGTATACAAGCTGGTGGTACTCTAAACTCGGGGATTAATACAACAGTCATCTTTGTCGCACCCCTCAAAATTGAATACAATGTCATCGTCCGTTCATTTCAAGTTCAAGTCCCAGAAAGAACCCTCACGGGTCACCTTCGATGGCACTGGTATTTCGGTCTTTGAACTCAAAAGAGAGATTATCAGCCAAAGTAGATTGGGTGACGGAAGTGACTTTGAGCTGTCAATTTACAACGAGGACACCAGAGAGGGTACGTTGCTCCTTCACCATCTGCCCTCCCTTCTGACCCTTTTCAACAGAATATGATGACGACACGACAATCATCCCTCGGTCCACATCGGTGATTGCTCGCAGACTACCTGCAGCACGCCCTGGTAAGGGCGGTGCTGCTCGTTATGTCTCCGGAAAGATGCCAGTCAATGCTCGCAGTGCCCCCCGCAACGAACCTTCGACAAACAGAGCGACACCTGGGATGGGACAATCCGTGAACAACAATGTCTTGGAACTCAATAATGCTCAAACCGAAGAAGAGAAGATCAATGCGCTTTTCAATTTACAAGCTAGTCAATGGCAGGAACAACAGCAGGAAATGGCCAAGTGAGAGCTCGCATATTCGTTTGATTAGGATTGACACTGACATTTTTCCAGCGCGACACCCGTATTCGGCCGTGGCAGAGGCAAGCCTGTCAACGTACCAGACCACCCTCCTCCGCCGGGGTATCTTTGCTACCGTTGCAGAGAGAAAGGTAAACATTTCACTACTCAGGTGCCACGATTACAGACTGCTGACACCACCATGCAGGTCATTGGATCCAAGCGTGCCCGACCAACAACGATCCGAAATTCGACGGTAAATACCGAGTCAAGCGATCAACCGGCATCCCACGTTCACTCCAAACCAAAGTTGAGAAACCGGAATCTCTGGCCCCTGATGGCTCCACCGAAGATGCGAGGAATACAGGGGTGATGGTGAATGCTGATGGTGACTTTGTGATTGCAAAACCGGATAAGGCAGCCTGGGAGTTGTATCAAGAAAAGGCCAAGGCCTCGGCGGCGGCGGCAGCTGAGGCAGCAGCAGTCGAGGAGAGCAAGGCTTTGCAAGCTCGTGGCCTGGAATGCCCAATTGACAAGAGAATGTTCTTAGAGCCAACAAAGACCCCATGTTGTCAAAGAACATATTGCAATGACTGTATCTCAAATGCCTTGATTGAAAGTGACTTTGTTTGCCCTGGTTGTTCCACGGAAGGGGTCTTACTTGACAACCTCACCCCGGATGATGAATCTGCATCCAAAATTAAGATCTATGAAGCAGAGAAGGCTGATGCAAAGAAGGAGAAGGAAAAACTTCCTGCAGGCCCAGATGGAACCCCTCTCTCAGAGGCAGCCACAACCGAATCCAAGGCCCCTTCAGTCGACAAAGAGCAAAGCCCACCCAATCAAGCCCAAGACCCTGCATACACCCAGTCAAAGAAGAGACCAGCGGAGGATGAACCCACTAATGCTGCTGAAACGGCACTTTCTGAGCCGGGTAATGCTGCTAAGAAACAAAAGGCCGAAGATCACCAATCAGATGCCCAAGGTCCGGATAATAGCAACAAAGAGGGCGTGGCAGGTGTTCCTCCTGCCCCTTTCAACCAAGAGATGCCCTTCAACGGCTTTGGACCAATGGCAGGCATGCCGATGATGCCATTATCCGGTCCAGGATTTGGAGCCGATGCCATGGGATTCATGAACCCGATGGCGATGGCGTCCGCTACTGGCTTTCCAAACGGCATGGGTCCCGGTTGGAACCCAATGAACATGCAATTCAATCCCAGTATGTTCGGCGACCAGAACAATGGTGGAATGCCCAACGGGTTTCCCAATATGTTCAACGGAGATCCCTCATTGTCTATGTTCCCCATGGGCCAGAACGGATTTCAAGGGCCAGGTCCTGGCATGAACAATTTCTCCAACCAGCAACGGACAGCTTTTAGTACTCCGTACTCCAGAGAAGAGGACTCACCGTATTTCCGTCAGCCTGTGAATCCGCAACGTCACCAAGCTAGAAACCGGAGAGTTCGGCCTAGTGATTACCGGGAGCTTTAGAGTGTTGCCGACTACGACTTGTCACTTGGCGTTGTGGCCTTCGCTGGTGCACTGTGTATATGCATATTTAGAGCGGCCTCATTTTTTCTTCATTTCTGTCCCTTCATTTCTTTTCTTTACGTGTCATTCTGGAGGCGTTCTTTCATTTCCTGGCATTTGTATCTCCCCTCCATACTTTCTGTGTATGCGATGACTTTAGGGTAGAGATGACGGACAACTGGAGTGTGTACTTTAACATAGTTTCAATACAATTTTAACAATAAATGCCCATTGCAAATTATTATTAACCACAGAAATACCACAAGGCAACCAGAGACTTGTACTCTGAGAGTCTGGTGCCAAATGTAGAGATATCGGGTGTTATGGAGATCATATGTATGAGGAGTGGAGTCAGGTGACCGAATTGGAAAAGACGCTCGTCCCCCCGTCCACACCGTCTGATCTCTTCGCTCAGTCATATCCTCGACTTCTTTTCATCAAACCAACCGTCTTCACCGTGTCTTCTCTACTCATTCTGCATCATTACTCTTCCCGATCAGTCTCAATACCCTGACCGACCTTTGTCTTCCTACACCGTTTATCAAATCCCCAGAGACCCACAACGATCGGAATCATCGACTATCATGGCGAAATACATGAGTAACCACAGTAGTAATTGCAATCAAATGCAGCGGTTTCTGGGCCAAGAATCCCAGAGCACTGTCCTCGCCAGTTGCTACAGTGTTGAGTCGTCGACCTCCAAGGTTCACGGCTTCCACTACTGCACTACGCTGGGCGCCGGTAAGGGCCTCCAACTTGTTTTTCATCCAGCCAATATCTAACCCTTGAATCTAGGAGTACAGTGGTATCCCTGAGGTCCCCTCAGGGTCTAAACCAGCTCTTTTAAGTCCTCCCCTCGATATCCCCGCTTCCAGCGCGGAAAGAACCTGGCCCGGCAATGGCTGGCCAGAGTTCAGAGGGGAGGCGACACATACCATCCCGGAAGAGTGTGAGAGACTCTTCTGTGACAAACTGTCTACGACATTCCTTGGTGAGGGGAGTTTCGTGCGACAGGAGTCGCTGGGGATGGATGTGTTCCAAAACATCCAAAATGAAATCGAACAAAGGCATGATCGAATCCAGCGATGGATTGAGGTTTGGGACTACTCTGGCGATGCGATATATCGAGGATTTGTGGCCGAAAACAACGGGGAGCGCACCCTGTTCGTCTTTTTCGAAGACCGTGTACTTGACCAAGGCCTCAAATCAGGGTATGTACCTTGAGAACTCTAGTTGCTCATGCTTCAGAGATGTGAGATTGTCCGCTAACCTTCATCTCACAGACTAATTGCTCTTTTCGAGCTCGCCGATATGACTACATTTGGGTGCTCACAAATAGTCGCGTGTGTTGGTCGCTCCGAACGCACAGATGCAATGGAGCTCGTCCGAAGTCTAGGGTGGTGTGGATTCAGCCTTACGACCTTAGAACCCTGGATGTCAAGTGGTGACCAGGGAGTCCCCATCAGCGACAAGTGGCTCTTCTTGGTCGCTGAAGTCTAACCATAGCATGGTTTCTGTAGTATGATATGTTGAAGGATAGTTCTTAGTTGTAATGCGAACGGACATTTTCCCCGCGTTTCCAACCGGATAAGATAAGATAAGACATGACCTCAGCTTCTCTCCCTTCCAAGGTAGACTCTTGACTCTTGACTCTTGACTACACTCCTCCCCCTCAATATGTCCAAGGAGAGCAAACTCCACTTTCCTAAGTTCCTTCTCCCATCGACCGTACTTCCTACCCATGGGCTTCCTCCAGACTTCAAATCCCGCAAGCCTGAGAAGTACCTGGAGGGACATGTTCCCTACCTACGCTGTGCGGGGTGCGCGTCACACCTTTGTTTTGCCTCCCAGATTATTAGCAAAGGATTTACGGGTCGCCATGGCCGTGCATATCTCGTCTCAGCGGAGCCTGTAGCTACGGCCGTGTCGGTCAGCGCGTCATCTTCGCCCACAACTTCACTCCCCAACACGATATTACAGCGCCCAGTTCCTCGCCAGCTAGTCACAGGTGCCCATACAGTCAGCGATGTGAGCTGCGCCTTCTGTGACAGTGTTTTGGGCTGGAAGTATGTTGCAGCCGAGGAAGAATCACAAAGATACAAGGTTGGCAAGTTTATTCTGGAAACCAAGAAAATCACAACCTCTGCCTGCTGGGAGTCCCCGCCCGGTCTTGATGCGTCCATGCGATCAGAACACCAACCGGAAGGGCTCGAATCTGCTCCCACAGACGCCGAGTTCGACAGCCAGGATGAGGATGAGTGTGAGGACTTGTTCGCTGGCATCTGGAGTCCTGGACTCGCTACACGTCGACGAAGTCGTAAGATCGAACGTCGACCTGCCATGTTCGGAATGTCATGAGGCGGAGAGAAGAAATCACCGAGAGCTTATGGTACGATGTGGTCATTGCACAATGTGATATGATACCCTTGAATATTTGCATATCTTAATATAGCTTGGAAGGCCGCATTTGTTTTTCATTGAATATTCATTAACTCCTAGATAATTGAAGTAGTTGCTAGGATGTATAAAAGCACAGGAAATTTTGTGCCTAGAGATGCAATTCCAGAGGCAAATCAATTCAAGAAGAGGCATCATCGACGCGGGACCGTTTCGAGCCATTATCGGCCGCAGGCTCTTCAGCAGGCCTCTTTGTGGCAGAATCAGACCCCTGAGTTGGCTGTTTTGCGGGCTTTCGTTTGACCAAGGCGGACAAATCTGTCGCTCCCTTGCTCGCCGCTTCAAGCTGCGCCTTCTGATCGGTTGCTGACTGGCCGACAATCTGGCCCAGAATACCTTTCAGCATAGCTTCATTGGCTTGATCGTTTTGTTCGACAGACACAGGCGGCCGAAGCAGATCAACAAGCTGCATTATTCGTCAGTTGACACTTCAAATAAGATGGTCAAGGGAGCGGCATAATTACCCGTTGCTCCATATCAGCAATGATCTCTTTAACATTGGCGATCTTCCTCTTTGTCGCAGTTGCTTTGTCCTCATCCACGTCTGTGTCGGCCCCAAGCTTCTTTTCTTCTTGGGCCATTCTGACCTTGCAACTTTGGATCGCAAGCTCCATCTGGGTGGCAGCCTCCTTTCTCATCTCTTTATCAATCTTGTTGTTCTCGTTTTCACCGCTTTCTTCCTCACCTCCTTGTTGAACAGACGCGAACTCTAGAGCGAGAGAGAGCTTGTAGTGGCACTCTGCGACTGAAGGATCTTCAAGTGAATATAGCGAATTCCTCAGTTCGAGAACAGTTCTCAGATCGGCAACTGCGTCACTAAATCTTTCGGCTTCCAAGGAGATTTCGGCCTGAAGATCGTGTGTATCGGCAAGTCGTTCCTTGATATGCTTGGTATCCGTAGAAATAGCTGTAGATTTGCCTTTGCCTTCGTCGTTTTCCTCGGCAGCACTCAGCTTTTTGAGGTACAGAACACGAGCCAGATCGAGAACTTCAAAGGCGTTGGCAAAATCGTCGTCATCCTCCTCGTCGGCTTGCTCGCCATCTTCCCCATCCTCCGAATCGGAGTCAACAAAGTTTTCGTCTCCGGTAAATTGGAAAAGCGGCTTGGATCCAGCGGGTTCCAACTCTTTGCTTGTGGCCTTGTTTGATGGCGAGCCCTGAGCTTTCGAATTGGTAATCGCATCTTTGACGATACGTTCACCAGTGGATTTAGACCCAGCACAAGACGAAGCTTTTGTTGGTGGGCTGCTAGGTAGCGGCTGAGGATCGCCAGCTACCTTGGATCCCAGCACATCACTTTTGCTCACTGCCACGTTGTACAGTGATTTTCCGTAGGCATAGAGCAAGTCGGCATTTTCTGGGGATAGTTCGCCGTTGAGTTCGGCCTGCAGCTCGGTAGCTTGAGAGTACAGCTCGGAAGCTGCGTTGTGATCTTTAGTCGCATCTTTCGCGGCGGCTCGTGCGATCAAGTCCTCGAGTTGGGCTCGCTGCTCTTGCGCAGAGAGCTCGGGCTGGTCTTGCATAGTAGGTTGGTGGGTATCAGTCATGGCGCAGAATGTAGAGACAACCAGGTATATGATAAAGGAAGTAAATGAGAGAAAGGAAGAAAGGAGTCAAGTAAGGATTGTCCCCCGACAAAGAGAAGTAAACCGAGGAAGTGGGCAAAAAGAGTGAAGGGAGAGCTTTGCTCGGGCGCGGCGCGTTTGTCACGCGTCTCAATTTAATTGAATTCTGGCGATCTTCTTCCTCACACTTCCCCCAGTCTATGACTTCAAACCCTGCCAAACAATCTAACCGTTTCTTCCTGTCTAAAAATCAAGGTTTCTTTCTTCGCCACCCGTTTATCATAAGATCCCACTGCATTCTTTGTTAGTCCGCCATTAAGATGGATGCATCTACGCCGCGACATCCTGATCGTTTCAAAATGGTTGACCCAATTCCTTCATCTTCACCTGCGTTTGGGACACCGGCACGTCCATTTCGAATGAACAAAGCAAATGTGCCGCCTACCAAAACGTCAATCTTGCCAATCCTACTCCCGCCTTCGACTCTGCGCCCAGTGGCTTTTCGAACATTTACTCGCAAACACAATTTAACAATTTCGTCTTCCGCACTTCAAACCTTGGCAGTGTTTGTGGGAAAGAACTGCGGCTCAGGATGGCGCGAAGAGGGACTGGCGGAGCGCGTTCTGGACGAGGTTGCGAAGATATGGAAAAGAGCCGGAGGAGGCGTGATTGTCGAAGAGGGCAAAGGAGCCTCACTAAAATCTATACTCCAGACCCTAGAGGGCAGTATGAGTGGTGGCAGAGTCGTTGCTGGGAAATCTACGCATGACAGTTCAAAGGCATCCACGCTTGGTATGGATGATGGGCGGATGGAGACCACTGGAGATAACTCCCAGGGAGCAAATGACGAAGATGATTCGCAATTGTCACCCCATCCAAGACATTGGCTCAAAGTGATTGACGCCTTCGATCTTCCGCGCTTGACGTATAATGTGGACAAGAAATATTTCGAAACTATCAAGTCGAAACCGTCTTTGTTTCCATCACCTTCTCACAAAACTGCGCTTTTCCGAGACAGATACAACCTTGTATATCAGCGACTGCTCCGAAATGAATCATTTCAAAGCTCCTTGGGTGTTGCCAGCGTCCCTTCACTAAGACGCGCACCATCTAATATCGCCCGACGGCAATCCTACAAACTAACGCCAATTGCGAACTTGCTGGGCAGAAGTGGAACCTCGCATCTGATTCTAGGGCTGCTTTCCATTTCTCCAACAGGAGATCTATCACTAGTCGACCTGACTGGAAGCTTGGCACTGGATCTGAGCCATGCACGGATGATACCTGAAGATGGGGCTTGGTTTGCGCCTGGCATGATTGTACTTGTAGATGGCATCTACGAAGAGGAGGAGATGGTCAAAGGCGCGGCGTTGGGCGGAAACACGGGGATTGGAGGTGCGATTGGTGGCCAGTTTGTTGGCATGTCAATCTGCGGGCCCCCGTGCGAGCGACGGGATATCTCGCTAGGAACGAGTAACCGCCACGATAGTGGACAGTTGGGTTCCAGTGGCGGCTTCGGATGGGTCGATTTCCTCGGCCTAGGGAGTGAACGCGCACAAGGTGCACGTATGAGGAGAATCCAAGAAAAATGCCTACGGAGCGAACTGGAAGCCACGGAAACTACTACTCGCCTGAAAGTCGCAGTCATGAGCGAGGTTAATCTCGACAATATGAAGACTCTGGATGCTTTGAAGAAGGTCTTTAGTACCTACAATGACTTGTCTCTCTCTGAACGCCCACAGGCTTTCGTCTTGATTGGCAACTTTGTGCAAAGAGCTATCATTAGTGGAGGGGGCCGAGCCGGAAGCATCGAATACAAGGAGTATTTCGACTCACTGGCGCTGGTTTTATCCGACTTCCCAGCATTGCTACAGCACTCAACCTTTGTCTTTGTACCAGGTGATAACGACCCCTGGGCATCGGCATTCTCTGCTGGTGCGGCCTCAACAGTACCGCGCCAACCTATTCCAGACCTGTTTACCTCCCGAGTCCGACGTGCATTCGCAACAGCGAACTCAGAGCTGGACAGAGCACAAAATGTTGAGCCTATGGGTGATGCAATCTGGACCTCCAACCCGGCCCGCCTCACATGGTTCGGGCCAGTGCATGATATCGCCATCTTTCGTGATGACATCTCAGGAAGACTCAGACGCAGCGCCGTGAACACATCACTCGACAATGAAGAATCTGATGTTGCCATGGATGAGCCCTCAAGCAGTGTTACCGGCGATGCAGGCTTCATTCCGCCAGAGAATCCCAACGACATGGACCAGCAAGACAGTGCCAAAACCACGACCGCTTCGCCTGGGACGTCGGTGGCCCGCAGGCTCGTCAAGACAATCTTGGACCAGGGGACAGTTTCTCCGTTCCCACTACCACTGCGCCCCGTCTTATGGGACCATGCCTCCGCCCTGCAGCTATATCCATTGCCAACAGCATTGGTATTGGCCGATCCCGAGGCTGCACCATTTTGCATGACCTACGAGGGCTGCCATGTCATGAATCCGGGACGATTGGTACCTGAAGGCGGTGTTTCGATGGCCCGGTGGGTCGAGTATGATGTGCTGCGGAATCGAGGGAAGGTTAGAGAAGAGCGTTATTAACCTATGTTTGAAGCCCTTGTTTTGCACGACCCAACCGATATTTAACGGAAGCAACATTAATTACACATGAACAGAGATGAATTTAGATGGCGTGTCATATTGAAGTCTAGGAATACATCGTGAAGAGAACATCCAAGTTGCTCTCACGTTAAGTTAAAATCGGAAAAAAGACCGAATTGGTATCAAACTCCGAGAAGATATCATTGTGCCTAGTCAATGGTGATGATGTCGGTATTTCCCAGGCCACTGGCTTGGTTTGAAGCAGTCTTGTCTGGTAAAGCAGAGACCGGACCTTTGGTAAGTAGCGGTTCTGGCATCGCTGCCTTTCCTTCGGCTTCTTTGTCGAGCTCAAGATGGGGAGCACTGAGACACTGGTGCAACTCGACCAGGAGATTTCCGACTTTGTCAGGCATCCCTACCGCTCCATCCCCAAGTCCGTTCCAACCATCGCCCTTTGATTGATAAAGCTTTTCTCGTATCGCAGTTGCGATCTGACCACGACCAGACTGGTTGTCTCTGTTTGCATCCCTTAACATCCAGACCTGCTCATCCTGGTGCAATATTCTGTTGAGCCTGAACCGCGTGTTCAATCGAGGGTAATAAATATGATAATCGGTTGGCTTCCGCACAGTGATGTAGACTATAGACGAGTCCGTCTGATTTGATAGGTTCGTGATTTGATCAAATGACCGCAACAGGGGGAATGTGAAAGACATGAGGTGGAGAACGGATTTCACACCCGTCTCGGTAAAACGGTGGTTCAGAGCCACTGCGAGGGCCTCTTGAATTCGGCGGTGAGGACTGGAGCTTTCGAATTTAATACCCAATTGGAGGCGGAAGAGAGGCTGGGATTTCGAAATAGCTGCCATGTCGACGTAGTCGGACACAGTAGGCCCCGAGACTCCGATATCAAATGAGGCCGAGGATTTAGTCTCTGTGCCGTACGCAAAGGCAATCTGGGACAAGGACAAAGAGCGAGGTTCCATTCCATTCAGTATAAGGGACTGGAGGATGGATAGAACACACTCGAGCCGCTGTAAGCGTTCGAAAAGGCCAACGATAACAGAATTCCCAGCTGGCACAAGCAAACGAAGTGCGAATCCAGCACCCTTGTCTTCAGTAATTAGTGAAGGGTCTGTCTTTGAAATGAGAGGAACAAGGGATTTGATGCGATTTCTCAATGTGCCATGTGCTACCATGATTATGGAACGGCTCTTGCTGTCAATTCCATGGAATGCGAGCCGAACCATTTCTTTTAATTGTGATTGCCTGTTCACTCCTGAAGGCAGCGCAATTCGCAAAGCAGGAGGAAGCGTGGACGGATTGTAGCTGAAAAGAAGATCCGGTACCGTCAGATCGGATTCCATTTGCAGTTCTTTCAGCGGTGGCCAGAACCGCAAAGCAGGAAGCTCAGCCAAATAACATGCATTGGCATGGATGGCCAAGATCCCAGTTAGGCCATGAACCAGCTCTGCGCACGTTGTGTAGTCGAGTAGTCTCTGTGCAGAAACAAGACTTTCACTGATAACGTGGGCGTAAGGAAGAGTAATGCCATTCTCACCAAGACTATAAGGCGGGGTTGCCCTTGTTGTCCCCGTTGGCCGAAGTTGGACAAGCCACCAGCGGTCACCATCCATGCTGCTGGTCGCTGCTGCAACCCATTGCCGGTTCCAAAGTTGATGAAAGAAGAAAGCGGACCGCATCACACCCGGAGGGAATAGCTTACGGGGATCAATCCCGAGTACCCTCTGACTCACAGTCTCAAGGCCGAGTGCCTTGGTACCGGACTCAATTTCTTCCACCGCAGTAGCACATCGGAGCCGGGTGACACGGGTTAATATCTCTTCGATGGATGATTTGTGGACTGTCCGATCAGTATCCAGGCGTTCGGGCACATTTGGTGTCACACAGAGAATGATGGACCCTGACATCGGTTCAATCGAGACCCGAACAGACCGTGAGGTTGTGAGCTGAACATCAAGGTGACAATCCCCAGGTTCTGTCGAGGATAGTAGAGCTTGCAGTGATAACGTGTGTTTTGCGAAAAGTAAGTGCTTCTTCAGGGCAGTGAAGGCGGCGGAGAGAAGGTGCGAGGTATGTAATGCGACAACGCTTCTGAGAATACGCTCCATGGAGAGGTCATCCGTGTCAAACTTAATGGCATCACTGATGGTCAACTGGCCCTCTCGCATCCACCGGAAGCCGAGATGTGATATCCCAGACATTGAATTGTTAGATTTGCTGCTGCGATGACCGCTGTTGACTCCTATCTCGAGCCAGCTCTTAGGCCCCGCTCTCTGGGGCCAGTATTGAACGACAAGTGTTCGGTGTAGCAATTCGATACGTAGAGCATCCGCCCACAGTCCGCGCGCAAGATCCGCGGCTTGTCTGAAAAGAATGTTGATTTTGTTGGTGAGGACCAGACCGTGTAAAAAGTTGAAGCATCCCATCAAACTGTCATTGCGGAGTGTTTCGTTAATTTTGGCATCAAGCTCATTGAGAATTCGTCCCTCTGGAATGGGTGATGATGGCGAGAAAAGGAAACGAATGTCCACGAAAAAGAATTGTGATGTTGTTGAAACTTCTGCCACTGAAAGATCAAGTTCAAATTCACCAGGAACTGTAAACGTGACCCGGCCATCATGAACCCGATAATGCCGTAGTGCGTGCGGAACTGAGTCGTGCAATGCCAGTCGCACGCTGATAATTCGGTTGAGCTTGAGCAGCTTTTTAAGCGTTGCTCGTGCTGTCAAGGGTTTGAGGGGACTGTACCCAAGCTAGAATGAGGTTAGTGGGCGAAAAATCGTAAAACGACAGAGAAGACTCACATCTGGTAGAGATGCTACCTGGCCTTTTGATAGAACAAGTAAAGCCGTTTTTAGGTCCGGATTGGCAACTTGAGCTCGAACTAAATCTCGTTTCACTTCACCAACATACTGAACAGCTGCATCGTATGATTGATGTCGCGTGCGGATGAAACCTTGTATATCAATGAGTCTGCTCACATCGGCGGCCTGCCGACTCCACTGCGAGAGGACAAGGAGCTTAATAAACTCGGCCCTCTTAGCATGAGCAAAGTCCAAGAGTCGCAATTTTTTGTGAACATTTTCTGATGACTGATTACCGGGTGCCTTTCCATTGGTTGTACCCAAGGCAGCTTGTTGAGGTACTTGAATCGCCGCCAGTTCAGTTATCAACTCTGAGAGTTCATTCCAGCATTGCTGCACGGAACGATTAACAAGTGTTCCAAACGGGAAAAACCCTTGGGTAATGTGAGTAAGTTCAAAGGGCGTCGTTGGCACCTTTCCCCCTGCCTTGCCTGCGAGCGTTGCTGAAGTTTGATTCAACGCATCAACAACGCTTGGCGCACCATTGACGTGTGCTGATCCATTCATGGAGCTGGGCATCTGTGCAGCTTTATCAACGTTTCCCAAGGAGTTGGATTCGCCGTTTCTGGCCTCATCGAGGCCTGGCGGCCGGACAGATCCATCGATGTTGACATTGTCCATGATGACACCGGGCATTTCTGGAAATTTCTGGAAATACAGCTTGGCCGTTCGGTGATTCTCCGTGAAAGCTTCAAGCTTCCCCCTCCTTGGCCCTATGCACGGCACAGAACAAGTGACCTAACACAGGCACTGTTCTGGGCTCGAACTGGTCGGCGCCGGGGTAGGAAGGGAAGCGAAGATCAAAGTAAAAGACACAGGTAGATCCTCAGTCTATTGCCATGCGTATCACGGGCTGTGTAAACGGAAGGTCACGCTCATAATCGGGGGAGCTGGGGCGCACGGCTGAGGATCTAGGTGGGCCTCTCACGGTCGGTCGAGGCTCAGACGGATATGGTAATAGGTCGCAATCGAAGCAGTAAGCCCCAGCACAGAAATTTGGATTGATTCCGGTCTGGCGGCGGGAGATGACCAGGGACACACTTTAGATCCCTGATATTTGCGTGACGATAAAGAAGCACCAGGTTGTCGCAATGCGAAGGAACCAAACAATGTAGGAAAAGAAGGGCAGAAAGGGTGAACCGAAGTATCGAAGGGAAGTTCAAGGGAAAGTATATCAAAGGAAGAAAAGAGCCCAGAGAGGACTGCGTCAAAAGGTCAACACTGATGGTTTGATGAAAGCGCGATGCGCTCTGCATGCAATGACTTACCGCCTTTAGTTTTCTGCCTTGATGCCTGATATTGGAGAAGGTACAGGTACTTTTATATCACGCTCATTTGCCCGGGTGTTTAGGTACCCAGTACTTTCCCCGTTATGTACCTAGTACAACCTAGAAGATCTGCCATCTCATGACCTCACCTCCTTTGACAACTTCCAGTTGAGACCTACTTACAATCCCGAATTGCCTTCTACTGGTTTTAATACCGAAAACGAACTGATCTCGCAACAGTCTATGTCTGAGTTTAGTCACGTCTGACCATGTGTCTGGACTGCCCCTACCAGCCATGAGTATACAAGAGAATGAGTCGAGGCATGTCCCTCAATATCCCGGTGATGATACCCGGCCGACGAGCAAGAGAGAGCTTGCTGGCTGGTACTGCTATGGCTGGGCTGCAGAGGTGTTCGTCGTCTGTGCCATGGGTACGTGTGCTTATAACCTGTTGATCCTTTGGAGCCTCACATCTGATCCGAGACAGGTTCATTTCTTCCGATAACACTGGAGCAGATGGCCCGGGATCGGGGGGTCCTTCTGTCAGACAAGACAACACCGTGCAGTGCAACCTGGAGTCCCCCTCTGCCACCACCAGGCTCAGACGCATCGGGATATCAACCCCAGGGCTCAGATGGCAGCCAATGCATCATTTATTTCCTCGGCGCTGAGATAAACACTGCAAGCTTCGCCTTGTATACCTTCTCACTAAGCGTCTTGGTTCAAGCAGTCCTGATTATCTCAATGTCAGGTGCCGCCGACCATGGAAGCTATCGCAAGACGCTCCTGATTATCTTTGCTTTCATTGGCTCAATTGCTACGATGTTATTTCTAGTTATTGTTCCCAAGGTTTACCTTCTGGGTGGGCTGCTTGCAATTATTTCCAATACTTGCTTTGGTGCGTCCTTTGTCCTCCTTAACTCATTTTTGCCTGTTCTGGTCCGACACCACCCGTCATTGTTGAAAGACGAAGACGAGGCAACGACTTCTGGTGATGCTCAGGCACCGTCTAGAGAAACCCCTCTATCTTCCTCGGCCGGAAATATCGACGGGGCACTTCCGGATGCTACCACGCCGCTACTACGCCCCAACAGGGAAGCCGAGGAAACTACTAAAACCATGACTTCCCTGGAGCTCAAACTTTCCACCAGAATCTCATCCAACGGCATTGGCATCGGATATATAGGTGCAGTTATTTTACAGATACTTTCCATATTGGTCGTGGTGGTCGTGCGCCCGCCAACTTTCTCGTTGCGTCTTGTTTTGTTCCTAATAGGATTGTGGTGGTTCGTTTTCACCATACCGGTAGCAGTATGGCTGCGCCCTCGTCCTGGTCCACCATTACTGGGAGGCGACGGCAAACCGCTCCATTCCTGGATCGGATACATGGTCTACGCCTGGAAATCTATTGGAAAAACCGCAATGCGGGCCCGTCACCTGAAAGACATCGCGATTTTCCTTGCCGCTTGGTTCCTCCTCAGCGATGGGATTGCAACTGTCAGTGGCACTGCGGTATTGTTTGCGAAAACTCAACTGGATATGAAGCCGGCTGCCCTGGGACTGATCAATGTGATCGTTATGCTTGCAGGGGTATTTGGTGCGTTTTCTTGGAGCTATGTCTCAACATTCTTCAACCTCCGGGCCTCACAAACGATCATCGCATGTATCATCCTGTTTGAGCTCATTCCGCTGTATGGCCTTCTAGGTTTCATCCCAGCCGTGAAACGCTCAGGGCTTGGTCTCCATCAGCCCTGGGAAATGTACCCACTCGGAGCAGTCTATGGCCTTGTTATGGGTGGGCTCTCATCCTACTGTCGAAGCTTTTTTGGTGAGCTCATACCCTCGGGCTACGAAGCAGCTTTCTATGCGCTTTATGCCATCACCGACAAAGGATCCAGCATTTTTGGTCCAGCCATTGTCGGCGCCATCACCGATCGTTACGGTGAGATCCGACCAGCGTTTGCATTCCTAGCCGTCCTCATTATTGTACCACTGCCGCTCATGCTTTTGGTGGATGTTGACCGCGGCAAACGAGATGCCAAGGCATTGGGGGCTGAACTAGATGGCATACCAAAATCATCTGGATATGGGTCTATATCTTCTGGCGTTTCAGTCGAGGATGATGAGATTGAGTAGGACTAGATAGATATAAGATGTATATATGCGACGGATAGGGAAACTACTTTTGCTTTTTCCCAGCTATTGCAGTATCCTGCAGAAGCAATTTAGGAATTATAGGTCTTAGCGGGGATGCTGCATGAACATTATTAATCACATCGCCAAGTCCCTCGAGGCCACTTGTCAACATCTCAGGTGTAACCCAATATAGAAAAGGATTGAGGGGATACTGGATGTCGACAGGGAGGTTCATGGGGGTTCATGGTATAGGTGTCCTGTACCCGGTGTTGCCCCATAGTTTGGTGCTGGAGTGGAGGTACCAAGTACCTAGCCGGAACACAAGGACCGCCCTTGTCACCCTGCATAGCCCAGTCACAAAGCTCCACTCTCAGCCTTAGTGAACAAACTGTCCTTTCATTCCCGCCCCTTCGTGTTGATAAATACAACATCTTCCCACTTCTTTCTTTGTCTCTTCATCCTCCCTGACGCAATATTGGTAAGCTTCATATTTACTTCCTTTCATCTCCAAGCTCTAAAATTCTCTTCAGCTTTGACCGAGCAATTGGGCTCTTGTTTTTTTCTGTTTGATTTCCATACACGATGCGGTCTTTCGCCCCCCTGGTCCTGAGCCTCCTCGGAGCTACCGCGGCTGTCCACGCAGCCGATGCTGAGACTGCTGATGCTGCTGACGCCAATGCCAATGTCATCACGCTGACAACGGACACCTTTGATGAGTTCGTCAAGGAGCACCCGCTAGTGCTTGCGGAGTTCTACGCGCCCTGGTGCGGTCACTGCAAGGCTCTCGCCCCCAAGTACGAGGAAGCTGCAACTGAGCTGAAGTCCAAGGACATTCCCCTCGTCAAGGTGGACTGCACTGAGGAGGAGGAGCTGTGCCGGACCTACGAGGTTGATGGCTACCCTACACTCAAGGTGTTCCGTGGTGCCGACTCGCACAAGCCATACGCTGGCGCCCGTAAGACCGACGCGTAAGTGATGGTGGAGCCCTGGCAATTGATGAGGAGCTGACCACGTATTTCTGCGATAGCATTGTTTCATACATGACCAAGCAATCCATGCCTGCTGTCTCCAACGTGAACGAAGACAACCTGGAGGAATTCAAGGCTCTCGACAAGATCACGATTATCGGATACGTGGCCCCCGATGATAAGACCTCCAACAAGAGCTTCACCACATTCGCCGAGTCGCAGCGCGACAACTACCTCTTCGCCGCCTCCAACGACGCTGCCCTCGCCAAAGCCGAGGGAGTCAAACAGCCCTCCATCGTCCTCTACAAGGACTTTGATGAGAAGAAGGCCGTGTACGATGGCAAGCTCGAGGATGAGGCCATTCTGGAATGGGTCAAGACTGCCAGCACTCCTCTTGTTGGCGAGCTCGGCCCCGAGACTTACTCTAAGTACATGGCGGTACGTCCACTCTCCACTGCGCAATTACTATTATAGACTATGAACTAACCTTTGACAATCATCAGGCCGGTATTCCTCTGGCTTACATCTTCGCCGAGACTGCCGAGGAGCGTGAGCAGTTCGCCGACGAGTTCCGTCCCATTGCTGAGAAGCACCGTGGTGCCATCAACATTGTCACCCTCGATGCCAAGCTGTTTGGTGCCCACGCCGGCAATCTCAACCTTGAGCCCGAGAAGTTCCCCGCCTTCGCTATCCAGGAAACCGCCAAGAACGCAAAGTACCCTTATGACCAGACCAAGAAGCTCGAGGTCAAGGAGGTTGGCAAGTTCATCAAGAACGTCCTTGACGGAAAAGTCGAGCCTAGCATCAAGTCTGAGCCCATTCCCGAGACCCAGGAGGGATCTGTCACCGTCGTCGTTGGCCGCAACTACCAGGAAGTCGTCATTGACAACGAGAAGGACGTCCTTGTCGAGTTCTACGCTCCTTGGTGCGGACACTGCAAGGCGTAAGTTATCTACATCTCTTTAGTTTGACGTGTCTAACATATAATTTCCAGTCTTGCTCCCAAGTACGAGGAGCTCGCCGCTCTGTACGCTGACGTTCCCGAGCTGAATGAGAAGGTCACCATCGCCAAGATTGATGCCACTGCCAACGATGTGCCTGACTCCATCACTGGCTTCCCCACCATCAAGATCTACCCCGCTGGTGCCAAGGACTCTCCCATTGAGTACGCTGGCTCCCGCACCGTTGAGGATCTCGTCTCCTTCATCAAGGAGAACGGCAAGTACCAGGTTGACGGTCTTGCCGAGGGCGCTAAGAAGCCCGAGCAGGGTGGAGATGTTACCTCGTCTTCCGCCAAGGCCGCTGAGACTGCTTCCGACGAGGGCCACGATGAGCTGTAAACTTGAAGCTTGAAATTGTAACTCAACTGTTGTATTCTCTATCCGAATTTGATATCTGTTCGAAAGCTTTACGCGATAATAGTTGCTAGAATTAGCCGAGCCAAATTGTAAACGAGCCGAGGCTGGCGAATATCAAACTTGACCAGTTCTGTCGATCAGCTCTTGGCATTTGAGCCTTAGTCGACGCGTTCCGCGCAACGCGTCGATCTCTTAAAGTTATCGCTCCCGCCTCACGTCTTGGCTTCTGGGGAACCTTCACCTTCATCTCTTCAACTCTTCACCCTTGATTCTAGTAATTCGTCATGGTCATTTCTGGGCTCAAACGGAAATCGGAGCATGTCTCTACCCCAGACTTGAAGAAGCCCAAGGGTGGCAGCATCACTGCTTTCTTCGGAGCTCCAAAGTCCGAACCTTCAAGCACACAGTCGACTAATGGGTCCCCGGCTCCGGCCCCACGATCAAGCACTTTCAACAAAGGCAAATGGGTAGCCTCCTTGACACCCGAACAAAAGGAGCTCCTGCAATTGGAGATCGATACCCTGGATGAAAGCTGGCTAGCTCACTTGAAGGATGAGGTGGTGACCACAGAGTTTCTTAACTTGAAGAGATTCCTCAAGAAGGAGAAGGACACCAATGTTAAGGTCTTCCCGCCAGAAGAAGACATCTATTCCTGGTAATTGTGCCCGTTGTGGCAAGTGATTACCATGTGCTGACCAGATTGCAGGTCCCGACACACACCTTTGCACACCGTTAAAGTGGTAATTATTGGCCAGGATCCCTATCACAATCATAACCAAGCCCATGGCTTGTGCTTCTCCGTCCGAGCCCCTGTCCGAGCCCCACCGTCGCTGGTCAATATCTACAAAGGAATCAAGGTTGACTATCCTGACTTCGAGGCGCCAGCTGATAAAGGTGGGCTTCTCACTCCTTGGGCCGAGCGTGGCATTTTGATGCTCAACACATGCCTCACTGTTCGTGCCCACCAGGCCAACAGCCATTCCAACAAGGGATGGGAGAAGTTCACACAAAAAGTTATCGATCTCGTTGCTCGGGTTCGAACCAAGGGGGTAGTGTTCCTTGCTTGGGGCAGACCTGCTGGAATGCGAGTCGCCAAGATCAACAGAGAGAAGCATTGCATCTTACAATCGGTGCATCCGAGCCCGCTGAGTGCGCACCATGGCTTTGTAGGTAGATCTCATTCTCGAGACTTGGGATCTGTTTGCTGATCAGGATGTGTAGTTCCAAAACGGACATTTCAAGAAGTGCAATAATTGGCTTGCAACGCGGTATGGTGCGGACGAAATCATTGACTGGAGCTTAGTACCGACCAAAAAGGTCGCCTCGGCTCCAACTTGTACTTCAGATAAGGAGAATTCCACTACTCTGATTAACAAAACCGCAGCCGAGCCTCAGTCTGCAAAGGTTGCGGAGGTCAAGGCCAAGCCAGCCAACGTTGATGAATTTGACGATGACGATGCTATAGAAGCCTTGATTGCAGCTGAATCAGAGGATCCTTCTTCAGATCCGGTTTAACTCTTTTGTCATATTCTGTTGGATTATTTCCAAATAGGCTTTTCGCGTCTCCAGTGAGGAGTACGTGGAGTTGGAAGGTTGCATAGTAGTAGGCTACAATCTCAAATTCGGTACTGCTTTTATGAATAATAGTTGAAGTGTGATCTAGTTCTCTGTATTATATTGATTTAATTGCTGTGAGAATACTCCGTACACTCGGTAGATGTAGATGTAGTGGAAGTAGAGCAGACAGGCTTGACAGCTTCTTATCGATAAACCTTATCGCAACCTCCGCATTCAACTTCTTTCTCTCTCTCCAGCTGTGTGATCTTGGCCTCATGGAACTCACCTGGCTCCCAGATATTCCCCAGTCGCGCAGCCGTACTCGAGCTTTGCGCGCCTGTCCCCAATGCCAACGATCAAAGGTGCGTGCACAACTGGGACTAGCAAATCTCGTAGCTAACGAAACAGAAACGATGTCGACACCTAAACCCGGAGGGAGAACCCTTTAATAATAATGCTTCGAGTCGCCGAAATATCTCTAAACCTAATGGTATTACCACCCGAACAACTCGCCAAGATGGCTCGAATCGCTACCGACCTTACTCGACCGCAAGCATAGACCAACCGCGGGCAGCATCGGATGGCCCAAATTTGGCGGCTCCTACTACCGAGCGATTCGTGGGGGATCTCAATCCAGAATCTGTCATTCGTGAGAGGCTGGATGAGACTGGAAATCCTCTGCGGGACCGCATCGGGCTTTGGATCAGCTCGCCCGCTGCACAAAAGTCCAAGGCCCAGAAATTAAAAGGAACAATCACTGGTGAAGACTCCACGTCTATTTCATCAACATTGAAAGGTAGCCAAGCCGCTGCAGCGTCGCTCCATGAACGATTTGCTGCGGGCCTACAGGCGTGCGAACGTCTGCCTTCGGCGACTAAAGAACCCCTGGCTGCTATCTATTTCTCCAAGGTCAATCATATCATACCGATATTAGACCATGATTCATTCCTCCGATCACAGGCCGGTGGATCTACTTCTGTATTTCTCGAGAAAGCCATCTGCCTCACCGCAGCCAAATCTCATGGAGCGAGTTCTTACTTGCGTCTTGTGCCAAATGGCCCGGTGCTTTCATCGCGTCAATTCTGTTCCGAAATCTACAAGGAGCTTGTTGTTGCCATGGATGCAGGGCTAGAGCTGGATCGATTGACCCGTATTCAGGTGCTCACATTGATGTCTTTTCACTGTGAAGGGTATGAAGGCGCCGAGGCAGCGTCTCTACACCTCTGCCAAGCCATTCACCAAGCCCAGACCGTAGGTCTGCATCTCGGCCGGCCAAACCAGACATCTACCGATTCCTTGACCAAACTTTTCTGGTGTCTTTGGACGTTGGATAAGATGCATGCAAGTATCGGTGGCCGGCCAGTTCTCCTGGCAGACCGCGATATTGGCGTCGTGAAACCCGACGTCAATGCTCAGAGATCTCGAGGAGCTTTCGAGGTCTGGCTTGCTGTGTCAGACCTGCTAGCAACTGTGATATCATACTACCGGCCTTCCGCAGATCCTTCCAGTGGGTGGGAAGAAGGGTTCCCTGCCTTTGAAGACATCGTTGGAGAGGATGCCCAGGGAGACCTGGACTATGCTACACTAGGTAAGTGTGAAATAGCATCCATGTCATCAAGGTCCACAGCTAATCCCAGACAGGATTCTTGGAACTCTACTACCACTCCGTCGCTATCCTCTCATGTCGACACAAACTAGCCGAAAACATAGACGGCACCAGACTCTCAACGGTCCGACAAGGCCTATCAGCCGTGCGCATCCACTCCATCGTCGCATCAGAGTGCGCAGACGACCTCCCACCCCTCCCAATCGTGCCATATTCAATCACCCTATCAATGGGCGTCTCCTACCGCCAACTCCGCTCAAGCCGACTAATCACACACCTCGACCGGGCCAAAGCCAGTCTAGAAGCTTGTTGCTCTCTACTAGAAACTCTCAGCCCGTATTGGTATTCAGCGGAAGCAATGGGCCGGCTTGGACATAAAGCCCTACACCAAATCGAGGGCCAGCCACAGACTTCTTCCCGAGACACCATGCACCAACAGCAACGGATAGAGTCTGTGCCCAAACAGGTCACTGCTGGCACATCAGTGGCAGAGGGATTAGACACAATGGACTTTGCGCCCAGCGGCAATGAGCACGACCAAGCCAGGGCGCTCCGCAATACCAATTACAATGTATCGGCCGATCCCTCAGCCCCGGAAACAGCATTCGATACATTCCAGCCCCCACTAGGCGAACTAGATGCAACGTCTATGCAAGACGGGTTCGCCGATATCGACATGCTATTCGGAGAATTCTTGGATCTTTCTCTGCCTACCAATTTCTGGGATCCTATCTTTATGGAGGAGCAAGGACAGATGGGAGATCCGCAATCATAATCTTCATCATTATAAATATGTACTGTATATAAAAAAGAAAAAGAAACTGTACATGATGCATCATGAATTTTGATGCCAGGCGATTCCTTCACCTTTGCAATTTCCCGCAGGTCCTGATCGAGAAACAAAACCAGTCATCGTACCGTTGTAGGTCCTTCAGATGATTCGATTTTCTTCTGAAGCTCCTGTAGCCTCAAGCTTCGAGATGGTATTCTCAGCCAGATGGGCGAAATCGACTGCTTTAGGCTCAGTATCAAAGCCCGGAATGGCGACATTATCCACGCTGAACCCGAATGTTTTCTCCTCCGGTTCATTTTGCTGCGCATCATCAGCCGCGAAGAAGTCGGTGTTGCTCGCCTCGTCAAAGTTGATCAAAGCATCAAAGTCATTCTGAGTGACCTCGGCATCATTGGCCAGATCCATCAATTCAGTAAGACTCATTTCCGACGGCATGGTGAAAGCATCCTTAGGGTTGAGATTTGGGTTGAGGTTGTTCGTGCTGCCATTCTCGCTTTCATCCGAGTGCGGTGGCGTTGAGGCGAACAGGTCGCCAGTAGACCGTCCGCCCGCGGAAGGTCCGGTGTGGTTGGGATAGGTAAGATCGGGAATCTTCTGGGCGAGTGAGTCTGGAGGTGGAGTGAGGGTGTTGAGGCGGGAGGGAGTTGAGACGAAGGGATCCGCGGTGGGGTTGGACTTGTGGGGACGGGTGCGGGAGGACTGAACGTCTTGGGGGGAGACGGTGAGCTGGATACCTGCTTTGCGGATGGCGGCTTCGAGGAAAGAGGTCGCGAAGTCGGCGGAGGCGTAGATCTCGCGCAGGCGCTGAAGGATGCGCATGCACTGGTAGAAGCGTTGGAGGCTAGTCATGCGGATGCTGGGGTCGCTGGACTTGATGTCGAGGAGGTGGATGATGACTGCGGGAAGGAGGACGGTGACTCCGGTCGTGGGGTAGTACCGGGTCAGGTCCAGGCAGTGCAGGTCCTGGGCGATGGCGGTGATCTCCACGGCGGCGGAGCGGACCTTGTTGCGGGACATATCTTGGAGTTCGGCATCTGTGGAAGGGTAAGGGAGGGCTGGGAGGACTTGTGGGCGGTGCAGAGCGCTCGATGTGGTGAGATAGACCATCTTGAGCAGGGCGCGGTGTGAGTGCAGTACTTCATCAGCCTCGGACAGCTTTGAGCTGTTGGATGCAGTGTACTGAGTTTCGATGGGGAGATTGGCCAGCCAGTCCTCCAGTTCCTGGTCACAGCGTCGAACCTCAAAAGTCTCTGCAGTGGACTTCTTCGGGACGAGCATCATGGTAGTCTCCATGGTACCGCCGAACTTGTGGCTCAAGACCGAGTACTGAGCAGACAGCACATGGCTGACGCAGAGACACAGCTTGGCCTTTTCGATGAACATCAACGCAAGCTCGCGCTGGTGGGCGACATTCTGGAGAATCTCCGAGTTGCCGACCATCGCCACGATCTCGGGAGAGAAAGGATGGAATTCAAAGTCGTCAAGGGTGAGCATGGGCACGTCACAGTCATCATCCTTGACACGCATCGGTCGGCGCATGCCCAACGCAATCAATCGATCACGAGTATAGGTACTCCACCAAATGCGTTTCCACATCTGCTGGCGGCGCACATCCATGCGAGAGTTCCCGGGGTCCCGGTGCAGACCAATGGTGTGGGCCAAAGACAGACTGACACCCATCCAATGCCAGGTGTCCTTCTGGTCATCAGGGGTCTCATACCAGTAAGTCATGAGCAAAAGCGACTGAACGAGCGAGATGCGGTCCACCTCGTAGTCAAAGTCATACAGGAGCCGGGCACGCTGGAAGAAGACCTTCCGGGCGGCCTTGCGGGTCTGGTAGCCCGCAGCCTGCAGATGCTTCATATCAATGAAGGCCACACCGGCGAACATAACTGCCTGGAAGAGCAGCAGACTGATGCGGTGGATGCCATCGTTCTGGACGATGGTCTGCAGGAACTCTTCCAGATCGAGCAAAGGCATATACGTATGCACATAGTGGATGTAACTCTTAATCAGCTCGTTGCGGAGGGTCGCGTCGGGTATGGTGAGGGCGCCTTTAATGGCCAGGTAGTCGATATCATCTTTTTGGAGTCGTCCAGGGAGCCCTCGAATGTAGTCTGGGAGGAATCCGGCTCGGGCGTTGCCAAAGTTGGGATCTAAAAGTTGTTGTATTTGGGTAGTGACATTGGCTAACGGCATCGAAGCGGGAACCGCTGGGTTGGAGGCCATGCGGCGTTGATGCCGGCCATCGGAACCGATGCGCTGGGCCTGTGTTTGATCTGGAGAATCGATTAGCCGGGGATTTCCCCAAGTCGAACTGCCAATACGAACAGAGCAGATGCGGCATATGTTGGCCTTGGTCCAAATCCACGGAAGCCTGCGAGGGCGACGTCGGGACCATATCAGCCAATCCTGAGAGATCACTGAGGCGGCCATGGAAAGGATTCTCCTCCGATGCCTCGCCTGGAGATTCAGAATGGTGGTTGTCTGCCTCAACACGAGATTTTCTAGACACCTGTCAGCCTCTGAGTTGAAGTTGTCTCCATATTCACATACCTTCTCCGTTTGCTCTCCGTCACCACACACTCGACCTGATCTAGGCGGCAATTGGTGCACGGAGAGCCATTTTCTACCACGTCACAGCGCACCTTGCGGGCACGGCAACAGCAGCAGGCCTTGGAGGCACGTCTCTTCACAGGACGATTATTTCCTGCGAGGCCAGAGGCCTTGCGTTTCCCAGATTCGGTGTCGGTCATTGTCGCAATGGCAGTTGAGTGAATTGGGGACACATTCGAATTATATAGTAGCACGTGAGAACCCAAGTATGAATATCAGAAATGAGAGAAAAGAAAAGAGAAGAGTGGAGAGGGTAAGGAAGAGTGGAGAGTGGAGAGTGTGAAATTCTATCTATAAAATCCTCAGGCGCGCAGGCCCGGGGGAAATGAACCTTTATGTAAAAAAGTCACGATGCCCCAGGTCCGAGACCAGCCAAGGTTTGGGACGATCAAAGGTTACGGGGAAATAAATTACACACCTGATTCGGGTTCCCCACAAGTCTACGCCTCCACTCTCTCTCTAACTGCGTCACTTTACTCATTTTGCCCCCCGAACTGGCTTAGTCCGGTGCCGTATACCGTCCCTCGGCCCGGTCACGTTGCAGTTCTTCTGTTGAGTCTTTTAGTGTCTCTTGTCTTTTTTTTTTTTTTTTTTTTCTTTCTTTCTGCCTGTTAATTACACGTGCGCAGGATCGTCTCCATGTGAAAATGATGTCGACTATCTCGAATGAGTCGCCTATATTCAGTCATATTCAGTTAGGGTTAAGTCGGCTATATGCTAAAGTATAAACACAAATGAAACCCTGCATATTTTATTTGATTCTATTCTATTATTTCTACAGGGTTTAATCTTTTAATGATTTATTCACTTTTTCTTTCCAGAGTGGACCGTAGGATTTCCGAAATACGCCGAATTAAAATTCGTGACGATCCTGGAAATATAGCGGGTCAGTGAATCAGGGGATTCGCAAGCCTGGGATTCTTCACTTCCACAGTCCTATTTTTCAGTTATTTAGTTACTTAGTCAGTTAGCTCTAATTACAGAGTACATATACCTACATGTAGATATAAGTCAATGACGATCATTAAATCAATTTGAGGGATATAATAGTCTCCGTATAGGGTCCATTCGGGTGCAGCCATTAATAATACGAAGTCGAGGCCTTCAGTATCCGCCCTCTAGGCTTGCTTCGACTGGTTTTGACAATATGAGGACCCAGTTAGAAGACGTGTAAATCTCTAACGGGATCCTCTCCACAGCCCCGGAATTCCGGAGTTCACCAATATCCCCTGAGTCCAGATTATATCCCGCACTTCGCACTCCACGGCCTGCCGATTTCACGTGCCTAACATCCGATATTCGGATGAATGCATAAGTTCAGTTCAGGTAGATTGAAGTCACATGTATTTACTACTCCATACTCACAGTGGAACTGAAAAAGTCATAGGCTGAAAATGGAGAATTCTTCTGGATCACGGAGTTGTGGGATCCAATCATAACCGTGGCAAAGGCGAGTGTATGGTATTCTCATTACATCCCCCGGCCTTTTCCGCCCCAGAATTCTCAGCGAATCACCAGAGTCTGGGGTAGACGGCATTCTCCCTTTGAACTTACATTGCCGAGCCTACTTCCGAGTCGGATTCAACAGACTTCGGAAACCCGGAAGACGCTTTAGGCATACTTGCACTGGACCTGAACACCTAGAAACCGGATTCTGCATATGCAAACAGAGACTGTCAATGATGTACATATTTAACCCCACTCCATTCGCACTTACATTAGCAAACCACCGGATATAAGGGACTCAAAGCCACCGATCGAGGGGCTGTAAATCACGTCTTACTTTCCCCGGCACGTTTCACCCCACGTTTTCTAAGATCGGGGTGAATGCCGAGACCCGGGGGGACAAAAGAATGGTCGCAGTATCCCCACCACGATCAAAGCTGCCATCCTGTCAGCTTATCAGGATGAAAGGAGTGGCGGTTGCACCTCTTTGGGGGGGTCATGGCGCTAAATGAGGGGCAGAGGGGCAGAGCAACAGATATCTTTCGAGTCGAAGCTGCGCGAATAAATGCGATAAACTTGCAGAAACGTTTCAACCTTTGTACATGTAGGCGCGTGACCCGGAGCATCAGGCCTAATTGGGAAGACTTGGCATGGAACTCGGCACCGGTTGCTTATCCCACGTTGACAGTTCATAGTGAACTATCTTATTGTACCTTATAATCACTTATAACTTATAACTTGAGGCTATTGTATACTACGCATGACACTCCCCACTTATCTATACAGAGTCAAACCGACAGAGATTCGTGGTCGTGTGTGGTTCTGAAACATGCCGGTGCTGATGCGCTTAACCAGCATAGATAGGGCTTTAGGTAGGAAGTCTAGAAATGCACGGTGGTCAGGTACGGATTTCAAATCCATTGAATGGAGTTGAATCGTTACATCATTCCACTCACTGTACAATAATCCAATTCATAATCTCTGACCAGAACAGACCAAATCATAGACGTAAACATAAACTTCATAAACTAATTTCCAGAACTAATCAATTTGCCGGGAGGGGGAATCAAGACCGGGAATAATCCAAGAAACAGAAAACAAGATCAACAACTAAGAATAAGTTCTAATCGAGTCTAAGCACCACCACGACCCATCCTCTCAATGGAACCCATGATTCCACGCCCCGGAGTCGGCATCGCAATGCCAGACTTGCCACCACTGTTGCCGCGAGAATGACCACCGGGGGCACCAAATCTCGGAATTCTCTTCTCTGCAGTAGCAGGGGGACGAATGCTGCCAGACACAGAGCGACTGACACTGCGATTGAACTCATCCGGGGTCACCTCGCGAGATGGTTGGCGTTGATCTTCCAACTGATCGTGATGCACAGAAGAAGAAACAGAGGCCTCGCGGCTTCGAGGCTGAGACGCAGCGGGCTGAGCCTGTTGCATGGCCAACCACTCGTCAACGGCAGCGACGAGCTCGCCCTTCTCGGCACGTTCAGTCTTCAGGTCCGAGCGAATACGCTCAGTATCCTCCTTGAGAGCAGCCATTTCCTGCTGCAGACCCTTGATCTGGGCCTCCATGACACGCTTTTCGGCCTCGTGCTCATCGTTCTCACGGGCAAATTGGCTAGTGTTAGCTGCAGCCATGGACTCGGACTGTGCATTGTCACGTTCGACCCGGAGATGCTCGTTCTCTTCGCGGGAAGCAGTAAGCTTCTTCTCTACCTCACGCAGGCGTTTCTCCCAGCGACTCTCGTAGCTCTTTTTCAGGGCTGCAACTTTGGTCTCGTGCTTGCCCTTGTAAAGCGTGTGAAGTTCTCGAGCAACCTTTTCAACGGCATCCTGGACTTCCCGAGCGGTATCTACAGCAGAGTTCGAGGATTGTCGAGAATCACTAGTTTTGGCAGAGCTAGAAAGGGAAGAAGCGCGTACAGCAGACAGTTGACTTTCGAGCTCAACGATCTTGCGCTCTAACCTCTCCTTGCTCTTTTCAGCCTCTTCGGCCTTCTTAGTTAGACGTTCCCGCTCACGCTCGCCTTCCATCAACTCAGATTGAACCGACCGCAGCACACTTTCCATCTCCTTGGCTTGACGGCCCCACTCAGCTTGCTCTATCTCGAGTGCTTCTTTGTTCGCGGCTTCATTGCGGATCTCTTCTAGAGCCTCGCCGACACGTCGTTCCGCGTCTGTCACTGCTGTCTTCAGGCTAGCGACCTCAGCCTCTTTGCCACTAAGTGTGGCTTTGAGCGAGGAAATCTCAGACATGAAACCAGATTTTAGTGACTCCAATTCACGGGGAGTGACCGTGGGAATGGATCGAGGGGTAGGCGCGGGCGGGATATCAAAGTCCAACAGAGACGACATCTTCCCGGGAGATCGAATAGACTGTCGGGCAGACCGCAAAGGTGAGCGCCGTGAGGGAGAGAAACGAGCATTCTGCATGGATTGGCGAGGATGGAAGTTCATCTGATCAGTAAAATCAAGCAAATTGGCAGAGTCAACTGGGTTTGGCATGTCCCGAGACACTTTACGCCTGGGTGTGGGGGAATCCATGGGCGAGTTTCCATCGAGGAAGGCACTAGCTCTGTATGCTCGACGTGCTGTACTCGGGGTGGTTGGTCCGTTGCGTCGGTACTCATCCATACCATGAGCTGAATTGGGTGCGGCGTTTCCTCGCATCGACTTCATTGGCGACCCGGAGCGGAGCTTTGCGAAGGTTGTCATGTCTGGCACGGCAGAAAAGGTGCTCAAGCAGGTGTCGTCCATTGAGTCATCCACTATGGAGTGCTCGTTTGTATCGTGACCGACATTTTCTTTGTCGCCATCTCCGTGGAGGACTGTGCTCATGCCTTCATTCTGTTTGTCTTCCATCATGCTGTTTCCAATGGCTGATCTGTCATGAATAGCACTACCAGCGGACAACATGCTGTCGTTGTGGATGACACTAGATTCCTCTTCGGCATCGATGTGAATCTCCGGCGCATCTGATACATCTGCCCGGCTGGTCATACCCTTCTTGCAGCGCTCATTCATCTGCAGATTATCTTCCTGATCCTGGGGTGTTTGGTCGTACGATCTTTTGCGAGGTGTTGCTGTACTCGAGCTTACAAGGGATGCGCGAGAAAGTTGGAGCGGCTTCTGAATCTCAAGGGTGTTCTCCTTGGAGCCTGTTGGGAAATGTGAGCGAGGGCCCGCAGGCGAAGAATGCTTCGAGACTGCGGGTGACTCTCGCGGGCCATGTAACTTTGGAGACTCAGTAACTTCTTGGGTTAACTCCGGGCGAAGGGGCGGACTTGGTGCCACTGCAGGTGAAGAGTGCTTAAGGACTACTGGTGGCTCTTGTCGGGTCTCATGTAGTTTCGGCGAATCGACTGTCTCCCGTCTTTCCTGAGAGCGGAGTGGAGACTCTGATGCTCTAGCAGGCGAAAGATGCTTAGGAACTGCCGGGGGCCCCTCTTGTATCTCGCGTGGACTATGCGAATCAACAAGTTCCTCCTCTTCAGAGTGGAGTGGAGAACTTGGCACAACAGCAGGTGAGGAATGTGGGGGAACAGCAGGCGGTTCCTGCTGCATCTCATCTTCCTGATTAACAGGGGTTTCATCTCTTGCGATAGGGCGCAAAGGAGAGCTGTTAACCTCGGCCAATGGCTGAGTCAACCGCGGTGGCTCAAGAGTGGGAGATGAATTCTGCATTTCGCGCAGACGGTCAAAGTCAACTGTCTCGTCCCGCGCATCGGGGTGGAACGGGGAGCTCGTCGGGCCTTCCATAGCCAGCCGTCTGCCTAATCCTGGCGACATTGGCTCCACCTCCCGCAGCTTTTGGAAATCCGCTGTCTCTTCCCTGGCATGAAGGCGGAACGGAGAGCTTCCGGGGCTTTCTTCCCCCATTGGCTCAAGATGCTCAAGACGTTGTCGTGATAGAGGCGACTCCTGCTGTGTTTGTCGCAGCCTTAGAAAATCCACTGTCTCATCTCTGGCGTCGGGTCGGAATGGTGAACTCATCGGGTCATCTAGGGCTAGCCGTTTGTCCAACCCAGGTGACATTGGATGCGCCTCACGCAGCCCTTGAAAGTCCACGGTGTAGTCTGTTGCTGTAGGTCGAAATGGAGAGCTTGCAGGGCTCTCCTCCTCCTCTAACGGAGCGAGTTGTGGGCGTGCCAGTGGCGACATCTGTCGCATTTGACGCATCTTCTGGAAATCCACTGTGTCTTCGCGCGCATCAGGCTGAAACGGTGAGCTGGCAGCATTCTGATAGGACTCGGCATCATTGAATTCGTCATTCTCTTGTTCATTTGCCATTTCGGGTTCGTTAGGGTAGTAGTTCTCGTTTTCATCGTAAGCGTTCGGATTCGGCTCCGCGTAGTGTGACCATTCTCTCTTTAGGGGACTTGATGGAATTGCAGAGCCGGCAGGGGCATCAACGGTCTTGTGAAGGAAAGGCGAGGAGTCCATTGGAGACTGCGCGCGCGTTCTGATAGGAAGATGAGAGGGGTGCAAGAGGATTTGACATTGTGGAAACAATGTGGACCGGGTAAGTAAATTAAATTAAACGTGTGGTAAGAAAGTCGTCTCTGGCCACTGTATAAGCACAGCTCCCAGTCAGATTGAGTTGAAGAGTCAAGGTTGAGCGGCAAGATTTGTGTATATCGGAGTTGCCGTGTTGACGTTCCTGCGTAAACAAAGCTAGTCCTAATCGGGAAGTGCCCAACCACACCTTACTCTAACCTAATACTCTTGAAATAATTAAATGCACTATTGTAATAAGGTGTCGTATTTAATTAGAAATACAGTGTATTACCTCGATTTTAGGAGACTACTATTGCTGTTTTATTTTCCAAGTTTCAATGTAGAAATTTCCATGAATGATGATCTTATATATAGTTCTCGATGATATATGGGAGGCATGTACCATCCCAATAAATCGTATTAAATAAAATGGAGATGACACATAGGAGCAATTGTGACATCCGAAGGATATTCTATTTGAAAAATTCTCATTCTAAACTCCAAAGTACAAACTCTATGTCGTGCAATCGCTCAATGCGCCAAATGCTTCTGACAGATAAACACCCCTATTAGATGATAGCTTTCTATGTACTTGCATATTATGGACATTGACGGTTGAAGTGTGCTTCTCAACGTGAGACTGCGGTCTCTGAGCATACGCCATCATATCCACCATCGGCATCGTTCACAATGATATGAACAATCTCATCATGTGGATGCCCTGAAAACTGGTCATAATGGAAAGGTGTCGCATGGTGCACAGTTGCCCAGGCATGCCTCTTGCGTTGGATGAACCATAGCTGCAAGGCACCGACCAAAGCAACAAAACTGCTACCCCACCAGGCGACGGCCGTACAGCCCATCTCCGCTCCAGCGCTGTAAAGAAAACCAGCAATTGGAGGGGCCAGAGTTCGAGATGCGGCACCGGCAGAAGCAGTCAAACCGTTGATTTTGCCCATGACAGAGTCCGAGGGACTGGCTTGCTTGATAAGGATCAAGAGAACAGGATAGTCGATAATCGAAAGAGCATTTCGAACAATCAAGCAGGCATAGATCCCAATATAGACCGATTGACCAGGCAGGAAAACTAGGAACGGAACCATGAAGTATGCGATTGGATGGAGCACCGTGACAACGACGAACAGTCGCCAGATGCCCAAATAATGTGCCAGCAGAGGGAATACGAGACTCTGAATGACGAGAGCAATGATACCATCAGTGGACATAATAACACCCACTGTCCGAGTCGAGAGACCCACTCCGCCTGGGATATCGAAGAGCCCATGAGACAAAACGGAAAGACCTCGCGTGTTCTTATCCTGTAAGAAAATAGGGAGGAGGTGATCATACGTCATTGAGTGATAGGTGAAGATAGCCAACGCCACGACGAGCATGGTGACTCGCCAAGTGAAAGCTTTGGGCTTGGGCAGCCTCTTCCAGGTAGGCGATGAACCATCGGCTTGCACATTCCAATTCTCTTCATGCAGCTGAACTTGATTAAAGGTCCCGTAAGACTCCGCTCGAAGATCCACGCCGGCGTTGGCAGTAGCACCAGATGTCGCCAGAAGAGGTTGTTCAACCGGGTGTTCGAAATACCCGTGAGTGGTCTCGCTGCCAGGTTGCATATCCGGATGAGTCTCCTGCAAGAACAGCCAGCTGCCTATGATGCTAAGGAGAAGTAGAAAAGAGCAAACGAGATTAGGCAGTAGGTAGGGGAATTTCCCAAAAAGACCGTCGGCGGGGAACAAGGAAGGGAATCCTTCAGAGGGTTTTGCAAGCAAACCACCAATGGCTGAAATGATTAGTAGGTGTTTTGGTATCATAGAGAATTATACGTACCTGGTCCGATGATTGTTCCTATCGACCAGACAAAAGGCATGATAGCATATGCTCGAGCTACATGGCATTCAACATTAACACCTGACCCATATATATATAGATACGTCTGTGGAGAGGACAGCAAACTTACGTTCATGTTCAGGCCGTTTTACCAGCTCACCGACCATTGTCTGAATGACCCCAATATTCCCGTTCAGGGCACCACCAAGGGCTCGACCAGCAAGAGCAACCCAAAAGTTGGGAGCCAGCCCAACTAGAATCAAAGAAGTCATGGTGCCAAAGCAACCAGAGAGGAGAATAGGTTTCCGGCCAAGTCGATCCGAGAGGGCACCCCAGAACATACCAGTAAAAGCCTCGGCAAGCGAGAATGCCGAGATCAAAATGCCCGCGTAGAAGGATGCATTCCCACCATCAGCCATGTGGAAGTCCTTGACCATCACCCACGAGTAGGGAAAGATGGAGGTCAAGGCGATGGGCTCTGCAACGCGACATATTGCTGGTTTTATGTCAGTGGCTGTTATGTACAAGGCAGAGGTAGGGCATACCTAGGAGGAAGAGCTGTGCTGTGGGAAAGCTGTCGTCGGGCGATATGGGAGATCTTGCCTGCGGTGTTAATGCCATCGTCCTCTAGAAGTAGCTAAGGTCTTACGGCTATCCACCCCCGCAGTGTCACTTTAAGCTTTTCTCCCACTGCGATGTTGGACCCGTTGAAGTAGGGCTTGTTTTGATGTGTGGAATCCTCAAATCTTCAAAGCAGATGATTGACGGCAATAGGTGTCTGTGAGAGGAGAGGGGAAAGGAAAAGGAAGGAAAAGGAAGAGTCTTCCAAGGTTTCATTTTTCATTACTCCAAGCCGAGCACGGGACCTGAATCCTAACCAGGGTACCCTACCTAGGTACATCTTCTTATGGTAATATGGACATTTACTGATCTAGACATATCACATACACATTCGTTTTCTTTTTATTGCTTGCAAAATATGGGTTTGTTCATTTGGTCTATACTGTATGTTCCCGGGTCAGGCACCGTGCCAGTGAAAAAGTCTTCGGGTGGCGTGCCTGTAACCGGTGGCCACACCCAACCTATCATATCTTCATGGCAGTTATTATACTTCAATGGATCACACTACAGTACAAGAATTTACCCCAGATAACAGCTGGTCTGCTCCACTGAGGCGTTGGACTACTTTCTTAAACTCTTATCGACCAATAAGAGGGCCCCGTACACACCAAATGCTAGTTTTTTACCTCGCAGATCAGTGTACTGTACTCCTGGAATAACCCATATAAACTTGTATTGTGGTCCTGAAAGCCAACCCGCGAAGGATTTCTATGGAGAAAATAAGAAATGATGCTATGGAGGAAGCTCGCCATGACAAGAGACGAGAAACGGACATAAGAAAACAAAAATGAATGCCTTCACCAGTTACAACCAATCCCCTGCGCCGGCTAATCCATACGTGCCATGCGGTCCGGATTGTATTTAGATACCCAAGAAAAGACAAATTGAAACAACAAAATACGGGTGCTTCATGAGGTTGCCTCCGGACGTGTCGAAGGACTTGTGATCTCAACAGAGCGAGTCTCAAGTTCCTTGGGTAGCATACCGGCATGGTCATCCTCAGCCTCTGTGTGCGACTCAACAACCGGTGCCGTTTCAGGGCTTGCGTCTGTTGGGGGCTGATGGACCGAGGGAGCTGCACTCGAAGAGGAACCCTCTGCCTGCGGCTTGTTCAGGGTATCCTCCACGTGCTCCGCAGATTCATCCATTTTCTCTTCATCTCCAATGACAGCAGCCAGACTGCGGAAGTTCAACATTGGCTCGAGGGACGTGTTGCTATCAGCTGCGGGATGGCTGCCGGTACGCTCTTCCGGCGTGTTTTCAATGAGGGAGGAAAAGGACGAGGACGCACTGGAGACATGTCGCAGGTGGGAGGGTCGCGATGGCTCAGATGGAGTTTGATCAGGCGGAGCAAGGCTATTAGAGGGCAAAGGTGTTGGTTCTTGTGTACTCGGCGATGCACGATCGACTCCCTTGCCCTTGTTCGCAGCAGCTATTTCTTCACCAATGACATCCTCGCCTATGACAGAGGATGAACTACTGGTCACCTTGCCTAAGGCAGGCTCGCCAGGAACGTCCAATGCGGAGGTGCTAGCATTATTGCTGTACAAGCCGGTCTTGCGAGCCACCTTATCCGCTTTCTTAGCTTCTTTCTCCTTCTCCTTCTCCCTCTTCTTAGCCTCCTTTCTTGCCTCTTTCTCCTCCCGTTTGAGGCGCTCATCCTCGCTAGCCAAACTCAATCGAATAGCTTCCATCATCATCATTTCTTCAAGATCATCAATTCGATTACGTCTTGAACTGGACCGCGGGGCCGCCAGGTTACCAGACCCTTCTTCGGCCGAAGCAGAATCAGTGTCTTGTGCAGTTGCACGAGGCGTCGTTCGCTCTGTTCGCTCTGTCAAGAAAGCGAGGGCATTGAGAGCGGGCGATCCGGACCGGCCGGTATACCCTTCTCCATTAGTAGCCCTTCGAAGTCCCCGGCGTCCAATGCCAAAGCCACGTGAGTCACTCCCAGATGCACTGGGATTAATCAAGTAAGCAGCTGTGTGGAGAGCAGTCGCTGCGGCCGATCGTCGTGCCGCATGGGCTCTGGCGTTTGCGAGTTTCGTGGCCCAGTCGGGGCGAATCCTGTCTGTTGTGACCACACCAGGGTCACTGGCGGATAGTGAGGTGGCCCGGCGGCGACCTGGAATGGCTGCAGTTGCAGATGACAGAGATGATGTAGAAGATACAGGAGAAGTGAAGTTGGGCGAACGAGCGCTGGGATCCGCTCCATAAGTCAGGCCGCGACGGAAAGAGGGCGGTGCGTAGGTGACTCCGAACTCCGGCTGGACACAGAAGGGACACGAAGAGGGCCCCGAAACCAGCTGCGACTCCTCCGCCTGTTCTCCCTCAGCGGGAGCAGGAGTGTTCGGATCAGGCTCGCCGTGCTCTGGAGGGTGCGGATCTGGACGCTTGATCTGCACAAAGCACTCCGAGCAAATAGGCTGATCGCAGCATCGCGTGCGGTTCAGATATGGCGGGTAGTAGAGGAAACAGATAGGACATTCGCTTGCGTCTTTGTACAAGTTGACTTCGATCGGCTGTCCGTTAACAAACGGATCCTTGGGGAGTTGCAGCTCTCGAGGAGTGAGATCTGTCTGTGAGTTATGTTTGGAGGATGTAGTCAGAGCAGCCAGAGTCTTCGCCCTCGTTCGGAAGAGAGGAGAGGTCGACGTCCCTGATGCAATCGGGGAGGCGGTGGGTAATGACTGAGCGGGGTTGGAAGGTTGCGAATGGTCTGAATTATAGGATTGCGACCTGGATGTGATCGGCACCATTAGGTGCTGGATATTCGTCGCATCGGCAGGCGACTTGTCCGCAGCCTTGGGTAGGGTGTACTCTAGCTCGGGCGGGATCTCATCGGGCGGAGGGATGGGCATGCCTCGGGCAGCTGCCATGAGTTGATGCTCCGCCCATGACTCCGAGAAGTCGTTGAGGCCCCTCCAGAAGGGAGCTAATCGGCGTTCAATCTAATCGCTGTCAGCCATAGCCATATCGCATCGCGAGGGGCGCCGGAAACCTACCATTAGTTGGCGCACCACTGCCTTGTTGAAGTCTTCTGTCCCAACGTACACACCCTGTGTCACCAGATAGCCTCCATCGACATGCTCCTCCTTCATACTGCGCTCTCGTTCCTTGAGACGGGCCACCCGTTCCTTCTCGAGGCGGCGGGCCTCACGCTCTTGTTTTGTTTCCCGTCGATGCTCTAGTGTGGCCACATCTCGATCATGACTGCTCCCGATCCCCAAGATCGACAGGTCCGGCCGACTTCCTCTTGCCGACCGAGACCCTTGATATGGACGACTTGAGGCCTCGGAAGTGCCGGGGGACCATTGATGACTTCGGCGACGGGATGGGACCGCGGAGCGTGACTCCTTTGTCTGGGAGTTACCCATATTGGGCCTTGTTCAAGGTGGAACGAAGGGCGTCGGGCGTAAGTCGGGCTCGGTACGGCGATAACTCCGAATGAATATGGGGAAAGGGCCCCCAAGGGGGAGGGGGTGAGATAAGAGGGGCAGACCGAGTCAAGAACAAAAAAAGACAATGCAAGGGTGAGAAGAGTCGTAAAGCATAGAAGCTAAAGTGTGGAGGAAGAGGAGTAACTTTAGGAGCGGGGGTTGTGATCTGTCCGGAGTAACTGGGGAAGATCGGTGAACAAGAACGGTCCCGTGAAGCCGAGACCATATAAGTTATATAAGTTAAAAAACAGCAGAAACACCCGGAAGTGGCGGATACCTTTTCTTATTATTTATGGACTAGTCGAGGCTACAGGGCTGTAGAGCCTAGAGTCTGGACTACTTTGCATAACATAATACGGAGTACCTCCAGCCCTGGGCTACACAGTATAAGCATTGCAATATACAAGCAACCGTCCATGGATATGCTCGTGTGCTTCGTCATCAACAGGTCATGCGCATTACATCAGGGCTGTTATTGGGGAAGTGAAGTTAAAAAGTTGCCTGTCACCTGCAGATGCAGATCCCATGTATTCAATACGAGCCTTGACGCCCCCAGTGGGCGGTTAAGACCAAGTACCTTCTACTTGCCGATACCCGGCTCCAATGAGGCACAAAGGCACCAAGGCCAATTCAGGCCAACATCGGATCGTCAACGTCGACCACTCATCGTCCACATTGAGAAGGCGGTGGCATGAAGTCGGTCTGTACATTATTTTTCCCTCAAAAAAAAAAGAAAGGTTGGAGATTGTCGAAGCTTTGCAGAATTTCTTCATAACTACACAGACCATGCATCTGTGACTGTTGCTATTTCCCATTTCCCATTCTTACTCATTTGAAGGGTTTTCTGCGCGGCAATGACTGAAACGACCAGACTGCATATCACACCTCTCACCCCGGATATTCTTCCTTCTGTGCTACCAGCATCCATTCGTAGCTTGGCCACGGAAATCTCCTTCCACGAAATCCCTACCTTTCCCGAGAACAACTACGGATACGTCACTCTACCGACCATGGAGGCCGACAAGATCAAGAAGAAGTTGAACGGCTCGATTCTCAAGGGCAAGAAGTTCAAGGTGGAGCCTGCCCGCCCTCAAAAGAGACACCGAGAGGAGGAAGAGGTGGTGCCTGAAGCCTCCAGCTCCAAAAAGAAGTCCAAAAAGTCGAAGAAGCAGGAACCGGAGGATGGTGTGGTGGACGGCTTCGAGCTACCCGCCGACCGGAAAGTGAAGAGAGGCTGGACCGAATCCAGCGATGCCAAGCAGGAGAGACGGAAAAAGGAAAAGAAGGGCAAGAAGGACAAGGAGGAGAAATTACAATCCAAGTCCAAGTACACCGACAAGTCTGAATGCCTGTTCCGAGCAACTGTTCCGCCCAACCGAGCATCAAATGCAGCTGCCGACGATAAGAAAGCCAAGAAGAAGAAATCCTCCAAAGAGACTGTTGTTCATGAGTTTGCGAAGACAGTGACACAACCGAGCTTTTTGCGCACTGCGGAGGAAAGCACACCACTCACAGCCACGTTTGAAGATGGCAAAGGCTGGGTGGATGCTGATGGTACTTTAAGAGAAACAGCCAACGACAAGATCAAGAAGGATAACTACCGACCAGGGCAAGTCCCAGGGACCAAGGAGAACCGCCGAGCTGTCAAGGACTCAGCCAGTGCCGACAAGAAAAAGCATTCGCGGAAAGAGAAGACCCCGGAGGAATCCTCAGAGTCTGAAGATTATACCTCATCAAGTGGCTCATCTTCGGATGAGAGCAGTGACTCGGACAGCGAGGATGAATCGAGCTCCGAGGACGCAGACGAGTCTGTCCAGGAAGAGGATACCAAACCGCAAGCCATCACGGAGAAAGAGAAGTCTCCAGAAGCCGCTGATTTCGACGCGAAGATGCTGGAAACATCGGACTCGGATGAGGTAGCCAGCGAGGCTGCGAAAGAAGTGGAACAGGATCCAACCGCAAAGGAAGTCCATCCACTGGAGGCTCTCTTCAAGCGGGCGCCCCCGACAGCAGCCGAGGCGCAACCAGCCCCGAAGGCAGATGCTGGATTCAGTTTCTTTGGTAACGACATCGAATCAGAAAATGAGTCTCAACCCGCTGAGCCCCAAACACCCTTCACGCCATTCACAAAGCACGATCTGCAAGACCGGCGCCAGCGCAGCGCAGCTCCTACTCCTGACACCACAGCTGCCACCAAGCAGATGAAATGGAACGAGGAGGACGATTCCGAGGATTCATCCATTGATAGCCCAGTGAAGCCTCGGACAGACGCTGGCGCAACCAAAGATGAGACCGAATTCACCAAGTGGTTCTGGGAGAATCGGGGTGACAACAACCGCGCCTGGAAGAAGAGAAGACGCGATGCTGCCAAGGAACAGAGACAGAGAGATAACCGCAAGAAGGGACTCAAGGGCAAGTCATGAAATAAATGCCAATGAGAGGCCTGAGTTGGGTTGATCTGGTGTTCATACATAAAGAGACGCTGTCCTTAGCTCATCCTCTGATACAGACAAGTAATTGAAACAATATCCTTGATCCTGCGATTCTAAACACCCAACTTAAGCATAATACCTTAATAACTCTAACGCGACCTCGCCGTCCTTCGTAGGTCATGTGACCTGTCTGGCGTCGTCACCAACGCCTAGACCGAGCTGGTCGCATCTTCAACAGTTCTGCCAAGGATGTTTTCTGCTTGGTCTGCACAACGCAGCATACAGCTGCTGCTGTTGCTCTTTACATTTCTCGCCCTCACATCCCTAACAGCGGCATCCAGTAAGTGCCAGCTTGGGTTCCCTAGGCATCGAACTGCAATCCAAAACCAATGTCCCTGATCGTCTCAGCTAACACTCTATGTTCCAGCACCAACGTCCTTCTGCAAATGCACATGTTTCTCCAATAGCACTATTATTCCCCTGGACCCCGCCAAGTCGGAAACCTCCTCCGGCATCGACCACGTCCTCCACTTTTACGAGCGCAACTTTGCCAGCTCAGAACTCGAGCACACCGATGAATATCGCAAGCGAGCACAGACGTACCGGTCCCTAAGCTGCAATGACTGCAATCGCAAGTTCTGCCTAGACTACGAGCTACCGACATGCAAAGGCGCTAAGGAAGACGACGTGTTCACCACCTGCTTTCGTAAGTGATCGACCAAAGGAATCAGCGGTCAGAAATGAGAGAGGGAACATCGCGTGGTGTTACAATATATGCTGACGCGCTCTGCGCTGTAGAACGGGACTCCCGAAAGGACGAGGCAGTGGTGTTTATCTTCATTTTCGCAACGGCTGGGCTACTTGCTTGGGCAGCCTGCAAGCCATGGATTGAGCGATACGTCGAGGTAGGTCCACGAGTTCAGTGATACAGAAATATCCCGACTAATTATAGGGCAGGCCGCACGAGAACGCAGGTCGTACATCCCCGTTGCTGAGCCCGATCATTGACATGGAACATGTACCCAATAAGTCTGTTAAAAGAGCTGCAATAACACCCCATGTACAATGTATAATGTACAATGTAAATCTGCATATTGACCAAGGGGTAAATGATGACATTAAGAACGTGAGATCTCCATAGATTGTGGCTGAGACTTAGTCGATCAATGATATCAGGGAATAATGTGGAATGGATAAGCGATCAGGGGCAGTATTCGGATAGAAACACTAGCAAGATCTATTGGATTTATCAAGTTAGCGCTCTCTTCCGCTCTCAGGTGTAATTTGCGACTCATCCAATCGCCCCACCCTCGAGGGGTGTGTTGAAACAAGGTGTGTTCGTCCTATAGCATCAAGTTGGGCTACACCGTGCCTGTATCGCGGAATTTGGAGGGTCCCAGCTGGAATGTAGTGAGAGAATCTCGGACTGGACCTAAGGGATTCTGCAGAGCGTGATCGGTGTCGGTGCTACATATACACGCATTAATCTCAGACTAAACGCGAAATTTGTTGGATCGGAGTGGATTCAGGGAAAACCTGTTACCGCAAATTAAGATTGGTTTCTCACCTATCGCTTCTTCTCTCGCTTCCCTCCGTTTATTGTATTTATATTGCTCTTCTCTCTTTTTCTCTCTCTCCAGATCGGCCCGTGCTAATCAAACGGTGGCGTCGATAATCGCAATATCCACCAAACACCGATATATACAATTCTACGATTTTGAACCATTTGACTGAACATGGCCATTTTCGATTCAGAGAAGCGCCCGCGGGGTCTGCGCGTTCCGTCGCTCACAGCGATGAAGTCCAGCGCAGCGACCAAGTCGCAATTCTCCTTCCACAGCAAGAAATCCACCGAGTCCGTTCCTGCCGACGATTCAACGCCCAAGTCAGCCCAGCCTATTCCTCCACCAGCCAAGCTGGCGCCTCCGCCGGACAAGGAATTGCCCTCTCCCCCGAAGGAAGTGCTGCAAGCCCCGAAAGTCAATCCATACTTCCCTCCAATCCCCTCACCCCGCGATGGTGTCCCAGAACGGCGCCCAATTGAGCGAGTCCCAGTGCCTGCCCCCACTTCAGCTCCAAGCCCAGTCAGCCCAAGCCAACCTCGTACAACGGGCATGCGCTCGCAGCAGCCAAAGCCCCAGCCACAGCTTCAACCAGATCCGAACACCTTCCAACAAGCACCAGCACCGGCACCAGTCCCGGCACCAGAACTTATACAAGCACAAGCACCACCAGTCACACTCTCGCCTCCGGAATCCCTCCCAGCACAAGAAGAAGCCACCTCCCCAGCTCTGGAAGACTTCATCCCAACTCCAGACAGCACAGAACCCCCGCTAGACGTGCCAGCCATGCCACAACGCGATCTGGCTCCATCGCCATTCGTCCCACCGGAGGTTGAGCCCTTGGCGCCGAAGCTGAATATGGTGCATTTCCAATGCTTCCAGGAGCATCGCAACATGCCAGTCGCGCAGAACGTGTGGTGTCCCTTGCCATGCTTTGCGTGCCAAAAGTTCGACATTGAGATCCGACACCGCTGTGTGTTTTGTTGTCTGCGCGTTTGTGAGGGGTGCTATCAGACGCTGCAGAAGTGCAAGAATCGGTCTTTGGAGGTGTTGCTTGAGCGTGTTGCTTGAGATGGCTGTATTTATTGGAATGCTTGGTTTGAAGCGTTGAGTATATATTGCATGGTTCTCGCGTGAGGAAGTGAGGCTTCCGAGGTTCTATTGAGGCCATTAGTATAGTTCTTTTTTTGGCTTTCTTTTCTTCTTTTTGGTTTTGTGTGCTTTTTTATGATACCAAGGACCTCGTTTGTATATCATGGTATAACCAGGAAGATCGAAGCTGCATGTTTATAATGAGAATACCTTTCGTGCACCCGCGAAGAGATACAAATCCGTAAAAGCCGACAACGCCAATGGTCAGCTTGTCGCTGTCATCAATTCCAATGTAATACATGAACACCACCCAGGAATCAGTCATGATCCTCTTCAGTGAGGCCAGGACAACCCTCCAACTCTTCATCCGTCTCGTAGGTGTATTTGCACCAGAAGCAATACCTGTACTTCTCGCGCAAAAATAGGACCAGTTTTCCTAGCCGCTCGGCAGGCTCGAGAGCATTGAAAGCATCAAGCTCCTCGTCCTCTTCCTCAAGCTCAATCTCCAGTGCCGATGTATTCTGGTCAACTTCACCAAGGGCCTTCTTGTCTTCCCGATCCAGAGTCGGATCGTCAAATTCTGGCAGCCGCGCTCTGGGGAAGAAGGATGACGGGAGCGAAGACTGGAGAGCATGGCGAGTTTGGCGGTCACGATCGCGTTCTTCGCGCTCACGGATAAGACCACGGTAGAGGATGTTAATTTGAGAGGTGGGTTTGATAGGGGCTGCTTTCTTGGGACCGGCGCCAGATGCTGGCTCGTCGTCAGCATCCCCGTCACGATGCGCAGATTCGTCTTCGTTCTCAGTAGCCTGGTTCTGCCTTTTCCCGTCTCCTTTCTCAGTTGTTGTCCTCACCTCGGCCTCGGCCTCGGCCTCCAACCTCTCCGCAACCTTCTGCGCAGCGCGCACTTGCGCCTCGGTCCGTTTCAACTCACGCTCTTCGCGAACGCGATCCCGATAAGTTCCCTCCTCATGCTTGATTTTCTTGACCGCCTCTTCAGCTTCCTCACGGATCTTGCGCTTCTTCTCCGTATCCAGACCGATACCCCCGCGGTTCTCTTTGAAAATGAGATTCAGCGGCTCCGAGCGCGCTTTATCCGAGGAGTCGGAGGCTGTTTCTGTGTTGGTGGCGGGTGCCCGTTTCCCAAGTGATTCACCAGGTTTGAATCCAAGCTTGGCCATCATCTGAAAGCCCTTGTTAGTGGGGTTGAGGGTGCTGGTTGCTAGAGCTTCATCTCGGCGGGCGGCTTCTTGTGCGGCGCGTTCGGCTTTTGAAGGGACTCTGCCGCGGGCTTCGGCCTAGTTTGCAATTGAAATGTTAGGACAAGCTCTTGTGATATGACTAGCTCGAGGTGAAAACGCGCTGGGTTGGGTTGAGGAAAGGGCGTACCTCTCGTTGTTCGCGGCGCTTTTTCTGGGTGAAGGTCTCTTTTTGAGTGGGCTCCTCAATCACCATGGACATATAATCATCTTCATCAGACATCGCGTAGACAAAAATGAGATCTAGACCGAGGTGAGGAAGAAGAGATCTGGCGGATAAAGAATACGCCGAGTTTAGCTTTTTGCGGGGAACACAGTGGAGCTGTCCATCCCTGTACACATGGCAGTGTTCTCTGGGCACTCTGGGCACTCTAAGTTATAACTTATTGGATCTACACTTCCCTCAGGGGTTTCCCCTCAGTGGATATCTTTATCCCGTCTTCGCCCCCGTTTTCGGCCCTTCTTCTGAGTCCCGGGGCCGAGTGCGCCTTTTTTTAAAAGCCATGGTGTCAGCTCTAAATCGGTCTGTCGGTCATTATGGCGCTCTTTTTGTGTACATTCGCACTGCTTTCCCTGGCAACGGCCACTTCTCCAGTAGTGAAGCTGGGATATGCTAACTACGAAGGCCGCTCGCTTTCCACTGGTGTTTCTCAATGGCTTGGCATACGCTTTGCTGCTCCTCCCGTGGGAGAGAGACGGTTTGCAGCGCCACAAGACCCTTTGCCTGTAGCGGGGGTTCAGCAAGCGACTGAGGTAATCTATGGACTGCATCTCGCTATGTGTTGACGGCTACTGATCATTCACTAGCACGGGAGTATATGCATTCCCACGGCGTCAAATGAAGGAACAACTGTCCCAGCAGGAACCTCGGAGGACTGCCTGTTCCTAGATGTCTATGCACCCACGGGAGCAGTTGGATCTAAGAAACTGCCTGTCTACTTTTTTATTCAAGGCGGTGGCTTTGCACAGAACTCAAATGCCAATTACAACGGGACTGGTCTGATCGAGGCATCCGGGAACAACATTGTGGTGGTGACATTCAACTACCGTGTTGGTCCCTATGGCTTTCTTGCCGGAGAGGAAGTTGTATCAGGAGGAAGCTTGAACAATGGACTCAAAGACCAGCGAAAGGCTCTGAAGTGGGTTCACAAGCATATTAGCAAGGTAAGTCATAGGTCAAAATGGCTTCCTCTCCTCTTTGGCGGGACAGGCTGACATTGTCCAAAGTTTGGCGGCGATCCCAACCACGTCGTCATTGGTGGTGATAGTGCAGGCGCTGCCTCTGTGACTCTCATGCTGTCAGCATATGGCGGCAAAGACGAAGGTCTTTTTGTTGCAGCTGCAGCCGAGTCACAAAGCTTTGCTACAATGCTCAATGTCCCCGAAAGCCAATTCGCATACAACGAGCTTGTGAATGCGACGGGGTGCAACGGCAATAAGGATACACTGGCGTGTCTGCGAAATCTCGACGTCAACGCCTTACAACAGAAGAACGTTAATAGACCCTACCCTGGAGCAGCAGGCAAGCCGTTGTACCTGTACGGTCCAACAATTGATGAAGACCTGGTACCAGATCATACATATAGCCTATTCCACGAAGGCAAATTCATCAAAGTACCAGTGATATTCGGCGACGACACGAACGAAGGCACGATCTTCGTACCTAAAAGCACCTCGAGTGTTGCGGAAGCTGATACCTTCATCAAAAACCAGTTCCCATACATGACAAAAGCCCAATTATCCAAAATCAACAGTATGTATCTCAACGAAAACCAAACGGAAGTCTTCCCAAACGCTGGAGACTACTGGCGACCAGCAAGCACAGCCTACGGTGAAATACGATACATCTGCCCTGGAATCGACATGTCTACTGTCTACGCAGCAGCCGGAGTCCCAAGCTGGAACTATCACTACGCAGTGCAAGACCCAGAGGCCGAGAGCTCGGGAGTAGGCACATCTCATACGATCGAAGTGAACGCCATCTGGGGTCCTGATAATACCGGTGGCGGTGCACCAGCCTCATATACTACCTCCAATGCAGCTATCGTGCCATTGATGCAGGCTTATTGGACGAGTTTTATCAGGTCTCTGGATCCGAATAAGCATCGGCTTCAGTCAAGCCCTGAATGGCGGACTTGGGGGCAGGATGGGGGACACCAACGCATTTTCATTCGGACGGGTGAGACTAGGATGGAGACTGTGTCTTCGGATCAGAGGGCTCGGTGTGAATATTTGATTGGTATTGGGGTTGATTTGCATCAGTAGTTCAAGCGTGTGTTGCTGGATACTGATGAGTGAACATAGCTGTGAATGATTTGCCTTCTGTTGAACTATTGCGCGGCAACATACGGAGATCTGATGCCCGCTTATTCCATCTCTGGTAACACCAGGGGGTGCTACGGGTTTAACATCTGATTTCTTCATGAAGTCAGCTAGATTAGACCTTACAAGTCTACTAAATTCTTCAACTACAACTACGATAGAGTACATCCAAATGAACATGACTTTTATTCCCAACCTTGCGCCAGATGAACAATGTGTATATACCAGTCCCACAGGACATACAATATAAGATAGAAGAAAGAAAGCGCAGAAGATCAAATGCAAATGCAAGGTTACCGCTTGCCACGACCATTCCTCTCGCGCTCGTACTCGTTGGCAGCACGGCCCTCCTGGCTCTGAATCTCGGCAACAAGACGCTTGTACTTCTTCTCGTACTCGGCATCGCGCTCCTTCTTCTCGCGCAGCTTCTCGCGGGCAACAAAGCTGGCGTCCTTGCGGAGCTCGCGCATAGCACCCTTCTTCTCGCGCTTGTACTCCTTCTTGAGACGGTTGGACTCGGCACGCTCGCGATCCGGATCGTAGTGCTTGTCTGGGTTGAAGTTCTCCTCGAACTTGGGGATCGCGGTCTTGATGGCCAGGGGTTTGTGGTCGTGCAGGAAGAGAGGTCGACGGGCGCGGCGGGCTTGGTCGAGATGGGTATCGACTGTTCCGAGACTGCTCACGATGGGGGTCCAGGCTGCGTTGGAGATCTTGCCCTTGAGAGACCTGCGGAGGTGATGCAGGACGGCACGGGTTGGTGTGAAGATCTCTGTGAAGGCGGATTTCTCGGACCAGATGTCGGAGGCATTGACGAGGAGGGTCACGAAAGTGGTGATGAGGGAGATCTTGAGGACTTCCTCTGGCTGGGGGTCGGAGGGGGAGGAGGTCACATCGCGGAATTGCAGCTTACGCGGGATGACCTTCTTGGAGGGTGTGAGCTGAACGGATTCCTGTGACTTTCTATAGGGGAAGGCGCCGAAGTTGGGGGTAGACTCCGTAGGAACAAGGTTGCAGAGGGCATTCAGAGTGTAGTTGATAAACTCGGGCATGTATCTCTTTGAGACCGTCTGGTATTGGAGGCAAAGACTTGCGGCAAATGCGCCCTTCGCAAGATCCGTGAGTGATGTAATAGAGCACTGGCCCAGGTACCGCGCCAAGCACAGGTGAGCCGGCGTGACCACTATATGGAAGTGATCGGACGTAGGGAAGATGGTTGAGATACCGGTCAAAATAATTAGGTCGCCCGGAAGGAGGTCGAGAGGGCGTTCCTTGGAAATCTCGCGAAGACGTGCCCGGAATGCGAGAGCCACATTAAGAGGATGCGTTTTAGCCAAAGAGTGGATGTGACGGAGGATGTTCTCCAAAATGGCAAATGGAGGCTGCTCGTCCTGGTTCGCCATGTAAGAGACATGCTCAACAAGAACTTCGGCAAAGCGAGCGAGCTTTGCCTTGTTGTCAGGGTGAAGTCGGGGGTGGTGCAGGGCTCGAATACGCTGAACAACCGTAGGAACATCCTCGACAGGCACGTCCTTGATAATACTCAGGAACTTTTCGTGGTCCTTAGGGCAAGGGTAGGTGAATGCGAGCTTTCCGTTGGCGGCTTCGTTGACTTCAACAGCAGTCGATGCGGCGGCAGCATCGTCTGTTGGCAAATCAATGCCATTGATGAGCTCGTCCTCTCCATCGGGCCCTTCAGACTCGTCTTCTGACAGCTCTTCCTCTTCGATGTCGCTTTCGTCAATGGAAAGACTGGCGTTTGATCTCGTCTCGACTAGATCATCATCAATAATAAAGTCATCTTCATCTTCAACGGCCAGTTCCGGGCGTTGACCGGAGTTGGTTGGAAGACCGAAATGCATGGCATCATCAATGTCTGACTCTTCATCGTCGGGCACTTCATCGTCGAAGTCCTGACCTTGCTCCTCTTCTTCGTCATCGGTGAGTTGTTCGCCGCGCATTCTTCGAAGACGATCGTTCTCGAGTTTCTTCAGGCGCTCGGCCTCTTCCTCTACCTTCTCCTCTTCAGTCTTCGTGCGGTCTGTGGGTTTTGATCGCTTATCGAAGGTCAACTGCCGAAGTCGCTGGTCGTATTCCTTCTCAGCATCTTTGCCATCGTTCTTCTGCAGCATAGCAGCTCGTTCGGGGTTGATCTCCGAGAAATCTTGCTTAGGTGCTTCGGGCTTGGGAGGAGCCTTGAAGCCTCGCAGGGCATCAAAGAGGTCAGGAAGCTCTTTATCCAACTCTTCACGAAGATCTTCATCATCATCCTTGAGCTGTTGTCGTTCAGCTTTATAAAACTTGGACTTGGCAATGACTTCTTTCATGACCTCAGCCTTGCTCTTCTTGCGCCCCGGCTGCTCTCCATCTTCGTAATCAATAAAGTCCTCCCGGTCTTCACCGTCACCAGCATCCTCACCATCGGGGAATCGCTTCCGTTTACGCGAAGTCTCGTCATCGGATTCCGCACCCTCCATGTTTTCCGCATCGAAGTCATCCTGCATAGGTCCGTCGAAGGACAGAGACTGACCCATGTGAGTGAGCTGCATCTCCTCCTCATCATCCTCGAGGTTGAACATCGATTCCTTGCGCATCTTCCTCTGGTTTTCTCTGGCGAATCTCTCGGCGGCTCGTTCCTCGGGTGTCATGGTGGGATCATTTTCACCGAAACGGCGATCAACAAGCCCACCGATCTTGTTCCGGCTGTTCATCTCTTTCAAAAGGGTGGCACGGCGCTAACAAACAAAGGTAAGCTGAAAGTTCTCAGTCCTCGGAAGCAATACACCTACTCTCTCTTCACCAAGTGATTTAGTAACACCGGGGCGAGCGCCACCTCCAGCGGTCGAGTTGCCATCTCTTGTGGTAACATCAAATTTGGTCGATTTGTTTGGCGCCTTGATTTCGAAGGGATTGAATCGATCTCGAATGGCCTGCAGGGCGACTTCGCGCTGGTTTCGATTCTTCGCACCAACGCCGGTCTTCGCATTTTGGCGCTTTTCCTTCTTGGACTTCTGAGGGCCAAGAACTCCGTTGTCACGAAGAGAAGCCTTCAGCTGCTTTAGCTGAGAGGGCGGCATTATGTATGGGTGTACTCAAAATCGAGAGTTGGCAGTTTTTTTTCCTGGTCTTGATCCCATCAAAAAAATCAGGTTCACCGCCTCCGCGGTCTACGCCGATCAGGATTCTGCCATGTACGTTCTCCGCATCCATCTCCAACTCCCACAATCAATCGCCATGTCTCCCTTTTCAGGGGACGGTGTGCTATGGCTCTGCTTAGGTAGGGCTGTGCCAGTTTGTTAATAGTGTTAGTGATTCAAACAGCTAACTTTTCCAGGTGTTTCACTGTTCTTTGCTGTCCGCGGTATCGCCACAGACCTTCGTCATGTCGTCGATCTGACAGAAATCAAACATGTCGAGAACGATGACAAGATTATAAGCGAGGGTACGGAAGAAGGTAAGCAATAAAACCATATATATATATTTACTTCTAACAAAAAACAGCTCTCAAGCTAGACACTCTCTTGAAGCTTTCTCAAAGCACAAGTCATGACCTCCGAGCTGCGTACGGTGAAATCACGATCCCGAGACCCAGTATCTCTACTAACACCTTGTAGAGCTTTACGAATCATATCCGAAAGATCTACTAAGGGTGATACCCGCGATCTTTTACTGGAACAACTGGCATCTAAACACAAAATCTCCCAGGGCCGCGCTTTGAATGCATTAAACTTCCTAGTTTCCAACCGAGCTCGTATGTCATCGACTTTGTCTATATCTTTTCTGATTCTAATTCTACGAAGTTTCCAGAACCTCGATATGCAGTCGGCTCGGAGACCTTCCCACATATACCGCCCTAGTTAACTGCTTGTGCAATTTCCTGTCAGAACACTTGGAAAGAACATCCTTGACGAACTCACCCATCCTACCAAAGACAAGGCCCATGGGAGAGAAAAAGGCACTCTCTATCATGAATATACTGTTGCCAGAGAACGTCCCAGAAGCGCTGGAAGCGGGGATCATCAGCCGATGGCTTTGCAAGTATCCTTTCCCATGTGCGCAGACCGACCCTTCTCGTCGACGGGACGTGGTAATTCTTATGAAAACATGGTGGTCAGATGATGCAGTCATGAGCTCGATCTTCAGCACTCTTTCCTCACATCCGGACGGGATCAAGCAGCTCCGGAAGTATGGATTGATGGGCAGCATGATCGAAGAGAATGACCAGGATGATGAGGACGATGATGCAGATAGCGATGTTTGGATGGTGGATGCAGATGAGGCGGGGGGCACATTTGGACGCTCTTCGCGTAGGCTCCAAGAAGGGACTCCAAGAGAACAAGCGCTTCGCCGGCGAAGAAGAGAGGCTATGGTCCTGAGCGATGGTGGACGGCCTCTTGGAAATGACGATATCATTCAGCGACCGATTGAATGATATAAGGTGTGCGCCTTACGCCTCTAGTCACGCTGTCCACCAACTATTGGAGAACCAAGCACCACGACCAGCTTATTAGTTACTGTACTTTTTGTCCATGATACCCCTTTACCAGAAATATGATATAACATGATGCTGTTTGAGATTAACTTCATTGTAGAGTCTACAGTCCCATCCATGCTGATTTGGCCAGATGATCAGTCTTCTTGCGGCTGTTCTTGATCACACCAAACGTCTTCAGTTCCGAAAGAGCGCTATAGAACAAAGACATCACGACACGGTCATCGCAGCCGTAACCCTTTTCATTTTCGAAAACACCATTGAAAGCCTGCCAAAGATCGTGAACGTTCACCAAAGCACCAGACTCAAGGTACAGCTGGTACAGAATCGCCGTAGCAGGTTGCTTGGATGAGATTTTCGTCGTAGTAGCATCCGAGGAAGAAAGTAAATAGTCAAATGGAGTAGCCAAGGCACGCTCAATTGCAAAACGCGGACGAGGTGCAAATGTCTCTTTCAAGGGGTTCCGTAGATCAAACAAGAAAGCCTCATGAAGGAACATGTCTTGTGGTTTGATGAGAGTCTCCGTGAGATACTCCTGCAAGAAGACAACCAGTTGGTCGATGATCTTAGTGTACTCAAAGTCTTGTTCGGACAACTCAGCCTTGCCTTTGCTGAGCTGGACCCGTGAATGGACAACTGTGGTAGTTGTGACGGTAGAGTTGATGTTATATCCACTGCGCAATGGCCCAGATTCTGGACATGTTTCCAACAAGGTCTTGAGGTCTACTTGGATCGCCCCAAGTTGCCCGTTCGGCAGAATATCCTGGAGGCGTCCAAGAAGCTCATCCAGCTTATTGGAGTCCAATGCCTTCGTCGTAGCCATCATCTCATCCACGAGAGTGGAATCAGACAACTCGCCAGAGAGAGCGCGAACGGACAGATCAGAGACTGTAGCCTTTTTCGTGTTCTGTGTGTATTGAAGACAGGCATGTACAGCAAGGACTGCCTGGAAGATGCTCCGCATTCTTTGTTGCCCGGCATCAAGGCAACTGATCGTTTCTTGGAGGAGATACTCGTCGTTTTCTAGCATGTCTCGGACTTGCTTGGTGGACCCCTCTTCAACCAGGTCCTCGCAGAACCTAAGATAATGTTAGACAATGTAGGAATACTCTACTTGAGATGCTCACATTCGGAATGATGGCAGGTTCCTGACGACTTCACAGAGCTTCCCTCTAGAAAGAACAGTTGGATCTGGATTGGCAAATAGCACTGCCAGGGGGTTCGCGAAGAAGTGAGACATGTATGCGTACTACAGTAGATATGAGAATCCTGTTTCGAGCGTATTGGAAGGAATGCTTACCTTGACCATGCGACTAAATGCCTCTGGACTTTGGAAATAGTCACTGGTATTTTCAAACAGTGTACTAGTGATGTTGCGTCCCAGCCAGAGTTTAGTGTTTGAGTCAGTCTGAAGAGATTCATAGATGCGGTCGACGCAGTTGCCAGCCTCCTGAACCTCAAAATGTTTCCCTTGGAGAAGAGCAACACACGAGCGAGGCAATCGACCTTCGAAGAGCTCTACGGACGTAGAGATACCCAGCAGAACTGTGAATGGTATGCGATCAATCCATGATCTACCGAGAGTCAGTGAATATTCAAATGAAGGCAAGATAAGGATTTCGCACTTAAATAGAGACAAGAGATCGGTTAATAGACCTGTATCGAAAGCTTCGCTGTCACGCAGAGCTAGTACCATTTTTTTAGTTCCCTTTCTCTGCACATAGTCGTGAAGAAGGTCCAGATCGTAACCAAGAAGTCGAGGTCCCTGGAAGGCGGTTAGAATAGAAACACAGGTTTCGTGGCGCAAGCACATACAGCACGATCTGTGAGGAACTTCTGATATCCATCATTCCCATCTGTATTCGTGACAGTGGCTCGGATGATATTCTTCAGGGCTGTTTTCAAATTGGGAGCATCGCCCGATTCCAACACCACCACACTGCCTTCTTCAGTCGATATCAATTGGTCATTGAGTCGTGATAACAGTCTGCTAAGCGAGGACACATTGGAGCCGACCGTCACCAAAGCTGTTGGGATACAGCCATTGCATCTGGAGCTCAAATTAGAGCGAATTCTTGTTTCTTGCCGGGGTAGGGACATACGTTTGAGGTGAGGTATCTCTGACAAAGGACGAGACCTCGGTCAAAACACCAGCATCAACATCTTCGAGAATAGCCTTGAGCCCACATGAGTAATTGATCAACCCAACTTTGCATCCACTGATCTAACTGACCTGGATCTTGTGTTCCTGCTCTGACCACAGCTGTTGATAGGAATCGTGTCGCAATTGGACGGATTGGGCATTCTCATCTCCGCTCAGAAGAGGCACAAAGCGCTGTCCATCTGTGTGCCCCTTTTCATTACCGGACGCTGAGACCTTGCGGCGCTTTGAGGGTCGTTCGCCTGCTTTCCCGTGTTTTTGGGGTTGGTAGATGTAGGCTCCCTGTTTTGTTAACGCGCAACCCCAAAAAAGCGACGACAGTTTCAAGAACCTACCAGATTCTGAGACTTGTCATTGGACAAGCCTAGGGCATCATCAAACCCATCTGGATCCATGTTGTCGCTCAACTGAAAGGAAGTTGTCGCAACTGGGGATGACTGCAAGGCGGAAGCGCGACCGACGCTAAACCGAATCTGGCGATAATTGCATCTCTTCCGAGTCTGAACATCTTCACTCCGCCCACTCTTCTTGTCTTCATTTATCCGATGACCGATTGACTGCCGTACTCATGCTGCGCCAGGCTATTCAAGGAGCCCGATGGTGTCAGCATGTGGCTCGCAGCCCATCGTGCGTTCCACGCCAGGCCTTCTCCGCCGCAGCTCCGCGGCGTTTGAATTATGGCGGACCAAACGACAAAGTCAACTTTTACGAACAGGAATCCCTTCACAGCAAAAACCGACGAAAAGTGAACCCCGAAGCCGAAGACCATGAGGTTCGAGACCGAGTCGAACAAGAGCTCGTGAAGCTTCAGGATGAACTAAAAGTTATGGAGGGGGGCCCTTTTGGTCCTAACAGCGAGTTCATCACAAGCTTGCCGGAGGCGGAAAGAAAGATCGCCCTAGAAGCTCTACGGAAATACGATGAGGAAAACCCCGAGCAAGCCAACCAGCCCGGGCTAGAGGAGGTTTTCGACCAGGAGCTCGATGACATGGTGCGGGAGGAATTTGAGGGCCTCGCAATGGAACAAGAGAACTGGGAAGATGGAGCTAAGAGGCGACGCAGCCTGGCTGCTAGACGATCTGCTGCTGCAAAGCGCGCCGGTGCAGACTCCCACCCATACGCTGTTAAATTCAACAATTCTTTACGACAATACCAAGGGAACATGTCAGACGAGCGGGCTCGGCAAGAATTGTGGAAGTGGTATCGACGATGCAAGCAGACCGTTCCGCACTTTTTGTCTATTATGCCCGAGGGTGCAATGGAAGCGATATGGAACTCGCAAGCTACGGGAGAGATCGAACAAGCTACACGCTCAACACACTTGCGAATCCTGGTTCAGGATGCTACATCTCTGGGTCAAGCCCTCACAACACCTCAAATCCTGTCTTATATCACATCTTTACATGATGACGGCGCCACTAACCTTGCGTTGGAACAGTGGGAAGCATACCAAACGGAGCTATCCCAGGAGAAAGAGGATTTGGAAGAGTACTGGAAACTTGGAGTACGGCTATTCGCCGCTGAGGGCAACCCACAACGAGCCCAAGATATTGCATTGGCCTTTCTGGCAAATGACCGACACCGCCAGCCGCGTGTACTTATCCCAATCATCATAGCATGGGGGAAGCTTCCCGGAAAGGAAGCCGAAGTGAAAGCATGGGCGCTTTATTTGCAGCTCAAGACATTCCTAGGATCAGAGATGACTATGGACGACTACGACCAGGTCAGCATTGGCCTCCTCACAGCCGGTCGATTGGATACGGCGGTTGCAATCTTCAAGGATATGATGGTCACCGGGCAAGACCCAAGCAATGATTCAACTGCATTGTACAAATCTGCTCTCGGCCTAGCAGGTAATCTTCATGCATCGAGCATCAACGAGAACGATGTGAACAAAGTCTCTTTGTCTGTACTGAAGGTACTGCCTCGCCGGTTCCAGAACCGATTCTTCTATGCCAGTTGGATGAAGAAGCTTATTGGCATGGGTGAGGTCGACTCTGCTGCCCTTGTCATAGAACTCATGTATGAGCGAGGCGTCAAGCCTGATAGCAAGCATTTGAACGGAATCATTGCGGGCTGGCTCCGCGAAGGAAACTCAAGCGCACGCAACAAGGCAGAGCGACTCGCGTGGTCTATGATCCAGCACCGTATCAATACGGTATGGGAGCGTTTCCAACCAGAGCAGAACTCTCCTCAGGTCCAGGTCAAGCATGAACAAGTAGAAGGCACCCGCCTTCCTCGATTTATGCGGAGAGCAATCCCACCTGCGAGTATCGAAACCTTCTCCATCCTCCTTTTACATTACACTCGCCGGGGGGACGAAGATATGGTCAAATACTTGGTCAAGTGCCTTGGCGATGCACAAATCAGGCCAAACTCCTATTTCATGAACCACCTTCTATACGCAGAACTCCGCAAGCAGGACGTGCGGTCTCTTTGGTCCAAGTTCCAGACTATGTCAGCCGCCATTCGGCCCGACCTAGAGACATATGCTTGCCTCTGGGACTGCGCTAAGCTCCAATACGACCGCGGACGTACAGCATTTGACATAGGCTTCCCATCAGCTCGACAGCTCTATGCCAACATGATGTCCTGGTACTCGCAATTATCTCCACACGCCCAGAAATTCACCCAGACCCAGATGCCAAAGGCTCTGTATGATCAGATTGTACGATGTTTCTGTCTCTCCAAAGATGTCTCCGGCACACTTGTCTCCCTTCACTCAATGCGGTCTATCTTCGGGTTCACACCAGACGAAACTACCGCCCGCCTGATTGTTCTTCAAATCGCGCGATTAGCTGCTGTCCCCGCTGACACACCCAAACGACGTCTTCGTCGCTTGTCTTCGACTCCACGAAGCAAAGAAAACATCGGCCAAGTCACTCGGCTGTTGGAACTACTTGGTGAGCGCAAAGCTGAGGCTCTGCGGGTGCAGGGCTTGAGTCTGGACGAGCTTGGTCCACATGAAAAGGAACAGTACCAGATTGAAGTCATTGCTAGTCTACTCCGCATCGTGTTGAGTCGAACAGACAGCTTGAGCCCAGCGCAAGTCGAAGAGAGACTTGTAAAAGCGGCGGCAGAGATGGACGTCGCGCAAATCGATCTGGGTTTGCCTTTGGGTGTCGATGATAGCAAGCTGCTGTAGCCTGGCGTGGCTATCAGAGATTGCTCTTTTGTTTCTTATCACTGTATGGCACCACTCTTTGGCATTGAGAAAGCATGAGCGGCGTTGGTTTGATTTACGCCCATGGAAAGGGCCATGTATAATACTCCTCGCATCTGGGCAGACATCTCTGATCTATGTACAATATTCTTGTCTACAGTTTTCACATAAATTTACGCAATGCGACACGTTCAATCGAAATGAGACTAGGCATGAAATGCAATTTCTCATAATGCAAAACCCGCGGCCCCAAAACACCAATCAATGGAAGTGAAATTTGAACCCTAATAAAAAGTACAAATAGCACCAAGCGGAAAAAAAGCCGCATGTCTATTTCTTGCCCTTGCCCTTCTTCTTCTTTCCACCACCTGCTGGTGAAGCAGGGGAAGCAGGGATATTCGCTGAAGGATCGGCCTCCACAAGCACCGCATCGTCATCGCTGCCTTGAACAGATGCGGCGGGGGCAGGGGATGCTTTCGTTTCCTCAGAGGATTTGGTGGAAGACTTGGTAGCGGCGGAAGTAGTAGCCGCAGAGGTGTTGTCGTCCAACTCCTTCATGAAATTCTCCTGGATGCTGGTCTTCTTCTTATCCCACCATTGGCGTTCCTCCTCGACCTTGCTCTGTTGCTCTCCCATGCGCTTGCGGTAGATATCGTTGTTCATCATCTCGTTAGCAGACTGGAAGATAGTCTGGCCCCAGCCGGGAGCGTATGCGTTGGCCTGTTTCATCATGTCAGCAACGCACAATGCATATTCGATCAATTCTTTGATGAGAGTCTTTGAGTAGAGCGGCGACAGTTCAAGACAGAAATAGATGCAACCATACCTCAGAAACAACATCCTTAACCTCATCTTCCATCTCCTTCTCCGCGCGCTGGAATCGCTGCCAGAGATCATCACCGACACTACCGCGCTGGAGGAGCATAGCAAGAGCCTGCTTCTGACTGCGGAGCGCCATAATGCGACGGATATCCTCAGATGCGCGACGAAGAAGAGAAGCCTTCAGAACGGAATCGGGGATGGCGGGGGCCTTCTTCTCTTTTGTGGAAGAAGCCGAGGGCTCAAGGTGGAGGAGGGAGAAGTAGATATCGCGCTGGAGGTGACCAGGGAACCATGGTTCTAGGGAAGCAGCCTTGTCTGTAGAACGAATCAAAGATCCGGTGTTAGTCTATGAAGACAATTGAACACGTCGGCGCGATGTGGTGGATGTGGTGCAGGTTCGCGCTTTTGTGAAATGGACCTAAATTACTTACGGGCCTTGCGCTTGCGGTAGAGTGAAGAGAATGTGGCTAGCGATCCCAGTAGAATACCCAGGTAGACGAGGGGGACGGCCAGACCGAGCCAGTCTATGTCGAACATCGCGGCGTTGAGGAAGGGGTGTTATGGGGATAGGAGACAGGTACTGGAGTTCCCGGGGAGCTGGCAAGATGGTCGTATAATTCAATGGTTCAAGCTGTCATGGTTCATAAACAAGAATGGGGTGTAATGAGGACTCGAGGGAGTTGCGTGGTCAACAAGCTTGAAAGGCCAGGGTGTTTAGTGGGTCAGGTCACATGTGCAGATCTACACTCTTTTTTATACTTCAACTCTTTGTATGCTCTTCTTTCTTTTCCCACCGCGTTTGCTTCAATTTCTTCTAAAAGTATTATATTTCCGAGAACAGTTAAGCTCTTCATTGCAGCGAGGCTGCCATGGGTTGATCTTTAATAAGATTAGATCTACAAAGTACAGAGCACTCTTGTCTACAAATTGAGAAGCATTATTTGGAAATAAATTCCATAGTTTACATACATTTCCCTCTCAAATCACACGCTTAGAGAACCGTAGAAAAAAAAAACAAAAAAAAAAAACAAAACAAAATAATATTGGGTAATACACGCACATTGCTCCCCGTCCTCCCGCCACAAAGAAAAAAGAAAAGTGTATGGTTTGAGTCAACATATTGACAGAAATGAAGATAAAAATAATAAAAAGGCGAAAAGATCGTCACATGGCCATTACTGGAAGCTCACTTCCTGGAGCTCCTCCCGGGTCTTCTGGCTGATGGGATGGATCTCCTGCATTTCCTGCATGTCTTCCAGGACTGCATTGAACCGCTCAGAAAGGCCCTTGGCCACGGTGTTGCGGTTCCACTCGGCACGCATGTGCCACACCGAGTCCATTAGGTTCGTGTTGACCTGCTCAAGCTGCTCCACCGAGAAGCCGCTGGTCATCAGCGTCAGCAGCTTGTGGAGACGCGCAACGATGTCAAGGTCAAGGACCAACGGCTCGTGGGCTTCTTCGCTGAGCAGGGATTGCAAGTTGGCCGGAGCATCAGTTGTCTGCATGTTGGGGGCATCGAACAATGGGGGCTGCGGCTTGGACTGGCTTCCATTCAAACCGCTGTTCTCCAGCGTATCGTTGCCATCGAACTCGTCGCGAGGACGAGGAGACGGCTGGCTGCTGCCGCCTTGCTGTGTGTCTGGTAGGTGGTCTTCCTGCGACACACGATCGGGATAGGAGGTGAGGTCGGGGTATTCGAGTTTGGAGGCATTAGGGCTTTGCGTGTGGTATTGCTGATGAGAAAGATGCTCAGAGGACTTCTTGTCCGAAGTTGTCTGAGTAGTAGACGCTTCGTTGGTGTAGTCGGCTGGCTGGGATCCAGGAGCCATGGGGGTCATAGGGCCCCGCTGAGAGAAGCTGGAGAGACCGGATTCCCGACGAACCTGCTGGGACGGGGCAGTGTGAGAGTAAGGTGGCTTTGGCTGGGCAGAGGGCCCAAACGAGCTTCCCTGGGTATCTTTGCTTCCGGAGTGATCTTCAGAGTTGGACATAAAAACATCGCCGTCTACATCCCCCTGAGTGTCGTTGCTTACACCAGCGAGGTGAGAACCAAGCTCATTGAGGTCTGAACCACCACCTTGATGTTCTCCGTTGACATGGCCTAGATTCGACTGCTGGTAGGGCGTCACAGGACGCGAGGCTGGATTCTGACCGTTACCATTGGTGGGGAGCAACTCACCCGGGCCGGTCGATGGGTCGGATTCAGTGTTGCCATGCGGTTCGTTGGTAAGCTCGGGACGAGGGGCATTTTCGTTCTCCTCGGCGGCGCGCCGAGCACGCTCTTCCGCCTCTTTCTCGCGAGCCTGTTGACGGGCATAGACTTGATCCAATTCCGCCACAAGCGCCGGCTGATCCACGATGATAGTGTTAATATCAACTTCGACATTGGACAGCATTTCATTGGCACGCAGTATGCGCTCCTGGTCGCCAGTTTGACGCGTGTCCTTGACAATGCGCTTGATGTCGGCTACAAACTCGAGGGGCCGTTTGTAGTACCCGTTGGAAAGACGCTTTTCGATCGTTCCGAAGTCCAGGTTGTAGAAGAACTTGCCCGTGGCAGTCTCCCGAAGACCCAACACGCCATGCTTGTCGTATGCTTTTTCATATGGCCGGAATGTGTTCTGCTGGTCTGGCGGAAGGTCACTCGTGACAATGTTGGGATCTTCTTCTTCCCATAAGTAACGGATTGTGGCTTCTTCAATCGATGGAAATCTGAACCGCTTGTATCTCTTCAGCTGATCCATAATGGGCTGGATCCGAAGTTTCAGTAGATTCAGGGTGTTATTATCCTTCTTCTTCTGAGCTTTGATCTCTTCCTTGGTGAGTGGCACCTCAGGCTTGGGAGGAGGTGGTGGCGCAACTTTCAATTCTTCTAGCTGACGAAGCTTGCGGTTGTCTGGGTTCGGGAATGCCTTTGGGGGTGTCTTGACGTACTCAATGATCTTCGCAAAGAATTCATGGCGAGCGTCGTGGCTCGGAGCAGTCAGATCATAGAAATTCTTCTTGGAGAAACCGAACAGGTTCTTGAGAAGGGCGGCATCCACATCATCATCAGCCGAATCAAGGATGCCAAGTAGCAAGACTGGATCAGAAGGCGGAACCGACCGCAAAAGACCCACAAAGGTAGAAATTACAGCAGGACCGACAGTTTGGAACCACAGCTGAATGTTGGGGATGTAAATCACACTTGGCTTGTGTCGTTTGACCTCGGTGAACAGCTGGATGATAGTTGCCTCTGGAGAGCGAGTCGAGTCACTCAGCAGCGTGGGAAGATCGAATGCCTGCACATGCAGGCCTTCAAAAACGTGCAAGAGTGCAGATGCCAAGTATTGCTGACCCATACCGTGGGAGCCACGAAGGAGTAGCCGTGGCCGAAATACGCGCGAGCGATCGAATTCCTGCAATAGAAGTTCACGGCTGAAACCTGCGCCATCCTGGGGCTCCTCAAACTGAGCTTCCTCGAGTGCAGTGAGTTTCTTTCGCTGAGGCAAAATCTCAGACAATAAAGCCCTGATGTCGGCCAGTGGATCGCGGAGCAGAGGCTCGATGCTAGGAGGGAGCGCAGTGGCACCAGACGACGTGGAACGTTCCGAAGAAGGCACCAGTCTCTTGATCGCTAGCATGAAATCCTTGGGGGCCACCTCAATTGACTTTGGGTCGATTATGAGCTTTTGATCGGACTTATAGATTTGGGGGTACCTTCTTTGCACGGCATTGATTGCAGCTTCGGTGCACAGCGCGCGCAAATCGGCACCACCATATCCCTTGGTCATATCTGCAAGTTGCTCTTTGATGTTCTCCGGCAGAGGAGGGTCCCATTGTTTGGTGTGGATGTCAAGAATTGCGCGTCGAGCCTCAAAATTGGGCAGCGCAAAATAGAACTCACGATCGAAACGGCCCGGGCGACGAAGGGCAGGGTCAACAGAGTCTGGTCGATTAGTAGCACCAATCACAACCACTTGGCCGCGGCCGTCCATGCCGTCCATCAATGCAAGTAGAGTCGAGACAATGGACGAATGGATCTGGTCTTGCTTGCTCGATCTCACGGGAGCCAGGCCTGGAATACGTCGTTAGTGATTGCAAAGTGATGATTCGAATGAGCATTTCTTACCGTCGATTTCATCAAAGAAGATGATGCTAGGCTGGGTCTTGCGGGCTTCGTCAAAGAGAAGTCGAAGTTGTCGCTCGGCCTCACCGACCCATTTGCTCAAAGCATCCGCGCCCTTTCTCATGTAGAAAGTGACCTTTTTGCCTTCTGAGCTGACACTGTTTGCGAGAGCTCGAGCCAAGAGCGTCTTTCCGGTACCGGGAGGGCCATGGAATAGGACACCGCGAGGAGGCGTGATTTTGAACCGCTGGAAAATCTCAGGGTACAGCAATGGCAAGGAAACCATTTCTTTCAGCTGATCAATGTGCCCTTGCAAACCACCGACACTGTCAAAGTTAACATTGACATCAACCCCCAGGGGGTCTGCGTCGACCAAAGCTTGCTTGTTGGTGACTTTGCCTAGGTTTGCAGGCGTTCCAGACAAGTGCTGAGCAGTATCTCCGGAGTGAGCATGAGTCGCTGTGGCTCCACCACCAGAAGCAAGGCCAGGCTGTTGTCCGCCGTCGTCGTCACTGCTGTCACTGTCCACTCCTCCAGCCGCAATAGGATTACCAGGAGTTCCGAGAAGTGCTGAAGCACCTTGACCGCCGAATGGGCCAGAGGTTGAGAACAAAGAGCGTTGCCAACCTCCAGCTCCCTTGCCACGGCGGGATGGGGAGCCAGTCGTCACTTCCGGATCAGAGTCTTCGTTGGGAAGAAGGACTTCAGGGCGGATCAGACGATAGTCAACATTCTTGCGGTTTCGACGCGGCTTTTCATACACAACTTCTTGCTTGGTCCGGCGGCGGTAGCGGCCACCACGAAGGTCTTCGAGTTCTTCTGCGAGTTCTTCTGCCTCCTCGGAAGGCGCACGGGATTGAGGGATTCGTCTGCGCAGACCAGCACGTCGGCTGGTAGAGCTGTCCTCTGCTTCCTCACGACCACGGCTTCCTTTGCCAAGCGAGGCACCAGTTTCAGACTCCAAATCCTCTTCTTCATCATTCGACCCTTCTTCTTCTGGTTCAAAGTCGCTTTCCTCCTCTTTGGTCTTGCGCTGTGAGCTTCGAGATGGCTGCTTGCGGCTAGATCGGCGTAGTTGAGATTCTTCGTTGGGTTCCGTGTCCCCATTGGCATCCTCCTCAATGGCTTCTCGGGGAAGATTGCTTCGTCGGCGGAGCTTGGGGCTTTCATCCTCGTCTTGAAAATGACCGTTCTTCTCGTCACCGTTCTCCGACTCGGGAACGACATCTTCATCGGCCATTGCCTGGTCAATGGGTTCGTGATTGCTTTCAATACCGTCTTGAGGCAAGTCGCTTTCCACAGCATCCAATTGCGATCCTTGAATGGTGGTTTCCTCAATGACTTCTTCGGCTTCCTCGTCTTCGTCATCGAGGACCGTGCGCTTTGCACGGCTACCTCTGTTGAGGAGGCGGCGGGTAGCGGTATCATCTGGACTGCGGATGCCTCGCTTGATGGTCTCCATATGACGGCCAGAGTTGGTAAGAGCGTATATATCCTCTGAAGCGCCACGAGCACGTGTCACACGATGGTACTCCAAGTACTGAGCTGGAAGTTTCAACTTGAGCACTTTGTTCTTCCGTGGAACAGGTCGAGGCTCCTCCACTTCTTCTTCATCGTCTTCATCTTCATCATCGTTGATCGCTTCCTCCGATTCGGGCTCTTCATATTGAGGGCGACGACTTTGGGTGGTTCGGCGACGCGCTGTTCCGCGAGCATTGCGTTCGATATCAGCATCCTCCGAATCTTCTTCAACTTCATCGAAGGAAAGATCCTCGGACAGCTCTTCATCGTCGGAGGTGATACCGTCGTCAGAGTCGCGCCGTCTCTTCTTCGCCGCGGGCCGCGACTTTTTCTTGGGGCTTGGCTTCGACTTTCGGCCGGTCGAGCGTGAATATTGGGCGTGGTCGCTGTAGTCCTCGTCATCGGAGTCGGACTTGTTGGCGACCTCCTCGAGGGAGCGCTTTGCGCCACGAGCCATGGCGCAGTGTTGATGATAGGGGGATCGCTGTTGAGACGGCAAAGTCAGAACGGCTGGGGCCAAAATTAATAACACGGCATTATCACAGAGCGTGGATTGAGAGGGCAATCACCCATGCAACAGATAAAGAGACAAGAGGGCAGAGCCTCGACATTGCGCGATGCGGGCAGGAGGGACAACAACTTACGAACAATGCAGTTGTCGCCAGCGACAGCTGGATCCCCTGATCAAAAGAAAGGGTCTGCCTAATAGGGCAGCAAGTCTTGAGCAAATCTCCCGACAATTGCTGATCAATAGGTTAGCGGAGACGGCACGGTGGTGGAGCGCATTTGGGGAGGTGGAAGGGTCTCACTGACTCGGGAACGCGTGGGAAAACAAATGTCCTGGACAACAGGCACTGGGTTAGAGGCACGAAACACTGAAAGAATTGTCAAGGAACAAGATACGTCGTAGACGACGAAGACACGAGATTTCAAGACTTCGAAGAAGAAGGGCGGAAAGGACTCGCGCTCATTGGGACTGCCTGAATGCACCAGCCACTATTGTGGCGCTCCTTGAGCCAACCCACATTGCGGGCACGTGATGCGGATTTGGCCAATGAACGTGCACGTGCCACCCTTCAATTGCTTCAATGCCCATTGTCACCCTCAGCGCATGAATAGAGCCCCCCTGAATGGAGCTTCTATAATGCTCCATTCATCAGCTGAATTCGCTAGATCGGCTGTATTGGCCATTTTGACGCCCCGAAACGATGTAAATGGCGGTTGAAGGGGGTGCGGGGATGACAGGCCACGGTGATGGGAGGAGGTGTCAGAGAGCAATCAGGGACGTGAAGAACAGCAGATGGGAGCTCTTGTAATTTTCCCTCTGGTTCGCTGCCATTTTCTGCCCCGGACGGGCAATACTGGACCTGATATCATGTGATGGCTGACTCAGCGTGGCTTACGCTTCAGAACAATCGAACTTAAGTTATACTTCATTTGCATTCTACTTATTCTGGTTACAGACTGGATCGACTGGTGCTCTTGAGCACTACTATCATATTCTTTACAGCTTGCTGACCTCGTTCAATTGCTCCGTTCACAAACTCTCTCTATCCGTCTGCCCAATCGGCGCTGGCAAATATGACCCCGCCCATGAGCTTTCTGGAGCTCCTGGAGAAACCGCGAGGCACAATTGGCTCCCAACAAGCCCAGGCACCTTTTGCGTATGGATCATTCATCTAGTCATGAGTTGCATAAACTTCGACATTGGCGGTCGGGTGAATGACATTGTGAAACCGGTCGATAATGTGCTTGTAATCCTTCTTGTCCGTCAACTGGCCATTATATCCTAAACCAATGCATTGTGTCCCTGATGGACCAGAGGCCTGGGGTGCCATTGTTGTCGGAAAATGCGAAAACGTAGGACGAATCGCCGGAGCTGTTCGCAGTCGTAAACTAGCCCGGCTCCGTGTCTTTCAATTTGAAATAGATCTTGGCACCTTTGTTGATATGACCCTCGGCGATGGCTGATTGTCGAAGAGGGGACAAGGGAGGATTGAATGTAATATATCCGAGACAGTTGCTGTTGGATAGATTAGTGTGAATAGGAGGAGAAATGGTGTGTGGAGAATGGCTTATAGCGGTATAGTCGAAACGACGGTCTTTGCCTTTAGATACTCGCCATGCGAAGTCACGACCGTCACTCCATATGCAACATGATTGATCCCTATCACGGTCGTTCTAAACAGAATATCACTACCTTTAGATTGTGTCTTTGGTTTAGATCGCGTGCTGCGATGAGACCAGCAAATCCCGCACCAAATACGACATCGGAAATGGGGTCTTTATTCCGACTGGTTCTATTCAAATTGATACAGCTAAGACAGAGGACGATCGATGGAAACGCACTTTATTGCCTATTCTGACTTGTATTGCAGAAAATCACATACTTGGTATCTTCTCCGCAATATATACATCCCAACACCCAATGCAAGTTCGAATGACCAATCTATCACGATTTGCTCAATGTTCTACTTCCAAATTTCCACGCAATAGAATAGATCCTCGAAGAAAATGTAACTGTACTGCCTCGAGGGAAGTAGAAGGTATCACCTGCTCCAATTTTGCAGTTTTCCCAGACTCATCCCAAAATGACATTTCACCTAGAAGATTTATTTTCCTTCAGAGAAGTTCTGGGATTCTATACCTTCCAAAGTGATTCCAACCTCATCATACTCATAAGCCGGAGGTGTAGGTTCTGGAACCTTTTCGATGCGGAACCATGCTCCAACAATGGGATTTGCAACCTGCTCATTTTCCGTCTCAAGATAGTCGGCTGTATGAAAGTCGGAGTCAGTTCGATGATATTGAAAATTAAAAGGGACGCCGCATCATTGACAGGCCTACCGAAGTAAACATTCGGTATACCTCGGAAATTGGGGATTTTGAAGATCTCAGACTTGTCTTTGATCTGAAACAACACCATTTTCAACGTAGGGAGCCAAGACGCTTGTTGCAATATAATGGTTCCAAGTCTTGGTTGCCTTCTTGTCTATTGTGGTCGTTGACTTTTGAGATACTTCTTGGTGGGAGTTCAGATGTGTTGGCCAATCGCGTTCATTGTCGCACTAATTTCCTAATCGGGATAGAAAGAACGATGACTGCATTAGTGGTATCTTTGGATGGACTATAATCCTTAGATGCTCGGCAAGAGGTAAGAGATTGCAACTCTATGTTTTATTGCTTAGATGTGGAGTGATAACCTATCACTTTAAACTAACGAACAACGCTACACAATTTACATAGAACCATGACACTTGAAATAAAAAGAGATGTCATTATCATTGAAATATGATTCAAACTCGCTATCAGTTGAGTGATGAGATTGCACATGTTCCGTTCCCACCTAATGGACAGAACCATCCATAACAGGCCCTTCGTAAACTTTTCGGCCTTTCCAAAACCAGTAAACCATGCTGAAGATGAGAACCACACCAAAAATCAGTGATGCATAGTTCATATTCACAGGTGTGACGGGCTGGTACGAAGGGAACAACATGAATATACACGTGAACCCCAAATATACCAGGGAGATGATGTTGACCGGCACACCGAAGCCTCCAAGCTTCCATGGCCCATAGGTCAAGATCTCTGGTGTACACAAACGACGCCAAAACATAAAAATAACTGGCAGCATGTATGAAACATGAAGTCCGAAGACTGCGAGAGAAAGGATTGCGTTGAATGCCGTGGTCGAGCCAATGTTGACAAAGCCAAGAATAAAAAGGAATACAAAGACGGTTACTACCGACCAGATGGGAACCCGATCTTTTTTGCTAACCCTTGAAAGCAGATTTGATAAGGGAAAGGCTAGATATTCCATGTCAGTGTCAGTGTCAGTGCTGAAAAGATTGTCTCGAAGACCAACATACCTTTATCACGAGCCAAGCACCAGAGCATACGCGCTGTCGATGCCATCAGCGGAATAGTGGCCAGAGAAGCTATCACAATGAGGGTGCAAGTCATAGCAGTCGCAGCAGCTGGGCTACCAGTAACACTGTTGAAGATCTCAATGATCGGAAACCCCGTAGTAGAGTTGAGCGCGGTCGCCATATCCCCCATACAAAAGAGAATTGCCAGCAAAAATGCAAATCCCATAACACCATTGATAACAAGAGATCCAAGCATACACCATGGAACAGAAACCGCTGGGTTCAGCATTTCTTCACAGAGATGAATTGCACCATCATATCCTTGTGTCACAATGTCAGCTTGGGTATGCCTTTCACATAATGACTGTTGCTTACCGGCTAAAACATAACAGCTTGAAAGCATTCCAATACTCCAAGAAACACCATCACTGGACCAGCCCGAGTTGTTTTGGAACAATGTAAACACAAAGCTGGCTGAGTGTCTGACCGGAGCACACACCCACATGACCACGAAGACCACGATGAATGCAACAATATGTATAATGAGAGAGGCATCTTCAATCAAAGCCATCAGACGAGTTCCCCATACGTTCATCACGCCTGACCCCAGTAATAGTGCCCAGTATATCATCGTTCCGTGCCATCGTTGGAAGACATATGATTCGGAGTTGAGCGTGATGAGGCCTTGGACCATTGTTGCGGCCAGGAAGGGTGCACTGGCTGTGAAGGCAACCCAGCCAAAGGTTCCTAAGACACAATTAGCTCAAGTCAAGCCCACTTTCGCTTTGGACTCACCTATCCATCCCGTGAGCCAACTGAGAATGTACTGCCATTTCTTCGGAGCAAGCTTTGCGACGAAATGGTATTGTCCACCAGCGGTAGGGTACCTAGCCACACTGTTAGCTCACACTCCGATATTCCGATGAACTCGAACTTACATTGAGGTCATTTCACCCAGCGATGCAGCAGTTGCTACAGCACCAATGAAGGCCACTAGATGTCCATGTCAGTATCTTACAATCCGCCAGCTTTAGTAATGTTCCGTACCTACCAATAAAACCATAAAATAATGAGACCGGGCCCCCACTGACCAAGGCTGAAACCATTGTACTGTCCGCCGCCTCGATGAGCCTCGTTCCAAGTAACCAAGTCAACGTACTTACCTTGATAGAGCCTCCCATGTTGCCATCAACACCGCAGCCATAGACAAAATAGTCAAAGGAGAATAATTCCGCTGCAAAAGAGGACAAAATAAATCAATACATTGGCTTTAGGAACGAAGATTTGACTAATTACCTTCAGGCGCACTTCACTAAGAACCCCTTCACCCTCATCCTTATATGAGGAGAGACCATCCTCAACGCTTTTCTTGGTTCTTTCATCCATTTCCAGTGGAGTTCCAAGTAATAAGGAAGAAAGTAGGCGTTTCGATCTGGAATTTCGGTAGCTGCAATATTTATACGAACATAAAGTATCAAAAGTGGCAAACCTATGCTGCCTGACTATAAACTGTAAGTATGTGATAAACGGAATAAACATGTGTCTATCCGTTATGCGGCTTATCTCCTCCTGAATGCGGGGTTTCCGAGATTCCGAACCGAGTACGGGTGGTTGATAAAGCATACTGTCTAGGGAGTCAAGATGATTGGATATACACGTTCTAAATACGGCTGTCTGACTATTTTCTCCAAGAAAAGTACCAGTACCGGTCTGATTCAATTGGTTGTGATCCATCTAATTTATACTGACGTCCACGAGAGGGCATGGGGTACCGAGTGGTACTGCGGAACTAAAGCTAACATTCAAGACTAGACTCATCTGGGAGAGGAAGTACTCGGAAAACCGATTGGTCTTCCAATGCTGATTGTGCGTTTCTAATTGGACCATGGTCTAGGGAGGACTGCCAGCTCTTAGTTCCACTTATTGGGCTGATTTTGCCATCTTATAAAGTATGTTTAGTGTCGGATATGCCTAGGCTAGAAAAATCGCGGACCATCGCGGATCATTCCGCACAATTATAGAATCACGCACGTTATAACCGAGGGATTGGGGTTTGGACCGTCATGAGGAAGCGAGCATGCAGTGGCGTGGGAACGTCATTAGCATCTTCCCGGAATTTCCTTTGTAATATCTTCTGAAAATGTGATGCAACATAAGATACACACCCACATAGACATTGCATTGCTTTGCTATCTCCGAAAGGACGTCCTATCCAAAGATAGACTCCAAGCGTTCCTCATCATGACCTCCATCCAATGTGTCATGCCCAACATACCAGATCCCAATGCTTGATTATTATAACCCGCAGTATCAGACGTATTCCACACCAGCTCGAGTAGCTGCCGAGCATGAGCGATTGGCTCAAGAGCAACAAATTCATGCATAAATCCAAGCCTGTTTCGAACGAAGGAGCGCCAATGATGAATCATATAGTCGGTAGTGCGTATAATACATAGTTCCCGTCCAATCGTTGGACTTGGACTGATCCTTCAGGTATTGTTGCCATGCTGTTGAGGATACTGGTTGTTAATGTGATAATGAGTTTTGGCGCGGCTCGTCAAAATGGTGTCGTTAGGGTTATGGTATTGATTTGTCCACCTGGACATTTTAGTCGCTTGCCACGAGGCCAGGGAAGCTGAGATAGATTAAATCTTCTGGCCCTTGGTCAAGAGAAAAGATGCCATAGCTTCCCAGTAGGCCATGATCCCTCCCATGAAACTAAAATGATTGCCCGGATTACGGCTGCCTAGGTTGTTTGATGCTTCCCCTGGTTGATCTGCTTCATAATCCTTGAACAAGATGTGAGCAGTCCGGAGATGAACTAAATCAGTTGATGATGCATTATACCAAGACTAAAAAGGAGATCTATTAGTTTCGCACCAAAAGTCCACCAAACGTGTGTTTACAGAAGTCATTCCCAGTAGAATACTACCAAGGAGAGACATGCCTTTTGTCGTTTTCGATGTCTTCAATTCCATTTCCGACGTCAAAACAGAAATGGCTGCTTTACGATGGTCCAGCACAACATTGGTCATCTCTGCCCTTCTCTGGAAAAGTTGAGCAGCCGACATGGCCATCACACATTGGAAAATCAACGCGTAAGTGTACATGATAGCTCCGACATAAGAGCGTAATAGATTGTAGAGAGAGTCAAAGCAAGAATTGATAGGACAGACAACAAAGAAGTAGTAATCTAAAAGGATGGATTCTTGCGTTTCGATTTGTATTGGTGGTGATAGGCAAAGATATTGCAAAGGAGCATTTGATGGCTGAGATATATCCCAGAGATCAGGTATATTCGCTATACCCGCCAAATTGACTTCAGTATCACCATAGATAGCATGATTGGACCCGTTCGAATTAGGTTCTGCTGGTTTGCGAGGCGTCTCGTGGGTTGGAGCCGGTAGTGTCGTAGATTCCACAGAGTTGCTCGCCTTGTTCGAGTTCCGATGCATGAATAATTCATGCTTTTGTGATCACTGGACTAAGCGTAGGAGTCCAGGACACCGAAGTCACTTTTTTAAGCAGGAACCACAGCAGGGAGACTTCTCGTCACATTTGATGCGCTACAACAAGTCAGAGAATTAGGCAAAGGGCGTCAGCAGATTTAAGCTCATAACACGAACACGCTGCTTACAAGACGAGCATCCAGCTGTAATTTTATATGTCAGCTTAAAGTGCTTCCAAGTTTTGCTGATGACCATTGATGGCCCTGACGGTGAAAATGAAAATATACCTCGAGACTTGGCTGATCTACGACCAGAAGATAGAATAGACCGATTAGATAGTACAGACATGATGGCCTGAATACTACTCATCATCAACAGATATATGACAAGGAAAGAAAGAAGAGGAGCTTTACGGCGGGAGAGGCCGGCAATGGTAAGGCCTTTTTTGATAGACGTTGATACCTGATAGACGTTGATACCTGATAGACGTTGATTCCTGACGTATATAATGAGACGATACTTGGAACATATATATCATTCATTATCTGCACCATGGATTGAAACACTGATTAAACAACAAACAAGTTCCAACATATTTGTTTCGTGTCGAAATATACTGTGAATACCTGAGGAACCAATGCCAAGACCGCTATACCCGAAATGGACCGCTAACCTCGACCCGTCACCCTGGCTCTTCAATGTTCTCGTTCTCTGCTGATATTCAACAACATCGGTCTTGATCTGCAATTATAATGTTTTCTCAATCAGCGCGTCGGTTTACACCGTCCATGTTGACTTTCCAATCCGTGCGTGCTCCTATCAGCCGACGCACCTTCACCTCCACAGATGCCACAATGAACTCATCCCCAAAACCCAGTGCCTACAAGGAAGGGGTATGTATCTGATTGTGCTAAACGTTTCCTTGGCTTATGCTTTCAGCTGCTGATCCCTATCAGATGAATCAATATAAGACCTTCACGGGCCCCTTCGCCAAGGTCTTCCTAGGAGGCGTGTTCGTCTACCAGGTGATCTATTGGACGTGGCTGAAGTTGGAGATGGATGAGACTAAGGTAAAAAAGAATGGTCGGCTATCCCTTCACCTTCTATCGATTAAGTATACATATTGCTAACTTCTTCGCAGAGCAAGTGGCCGTGCTAGAAAAACAGGCCCGGGAAATCGCCGACTCCCAGAAATAATACCAATCTTGAAAATTCTGTATAATAGATGTATTCTGAAGCTAAGCACCGTATCTAATCGTGTCTCAATCAATTGGCAATGACAATTCCAAACTCAAGACTCAACAGTCCCAAAACACCAGACATTGCAAAAAAATCTATATTAAACCCAGCCAATAATTTATTAGTATGCCCAACATGTCATACAGCAGCAAGCTTACGCTTCCGCTGCCCAACAGCAGCAGCCTTTCTAGGAGGATTCTTCAACACAGGGTGGCACGCAACATCTAAACTCTGATCCATCTCATCAACCGAAGACGAAGACGAAGATGAAGACGGAAACCGCCAATCCTGCCCCCTTTCCCCCTTCTTAAAATGATCCCGATCAATATGATTAAACCGCTCATCCAGAGCCGCGGCACCATCACTCCGGAGAGGAATCCGTCGATCACAGAACCCACACCAGAACTGTGACCCGTCTGTCAGATCGAGTCGGTTCTTGCTGGCCGATGCTGCGACTTCATATTCATTAATGCCGTGCACACGCACGTGCTGCGTATACGTTTCTATCCTGCCGAATACCCGCTCGCATGGGGCTCCCTTGTGCGCATCGTGGGCTGTGCAGATCCAGCTTGGGACGTGGAGATGTTGGGAGGTTTCATGACGTTTCCAGTCGGCTTTGCTGCCGAAGGATTTGGCGCAGTGCGGGAATGTGCAGCCGTATGGTCTTTCGTGGCGTTTTTGGTGTTTCCTAGTGTTGGTTAGTACCTTGGATGATGAGAGAGTCGAGAGACCGGGATTGGGATTTACTGACTTCATTTCACAGCGCAGCCGGGTTCGCTTGGGGCATGCATCACATTGGAACCAGCCTCTTTTGTCGCTGTTTGGGTCTTGAGTGGTGGAGTCATTGTCGTCTGATAGCCGTTCCAGGGCTACTGAGAAGACCTTCTGTAACATTTGTCTTTGGGGGTGGGAGAGTTGAGAGTTGTCGGACTCGAGATCGATTCCCTCGTCGATATTTTGGCTTGATTTGCGTCCGCGGTTGTTTATCATTTTCGTCATGGCATTGATGAGGTTGTCGGCTGCGTCTGTGACGGACCCGTCGGGCTTTGCCTTGCCCCGTTCCATGGAGGGATCTTGGCTTGTTGATGGCAAGCCCCATGGGCTGAAGGTAGATAATTGAGATGGTTCAAAGCCGGCAATTGATTTGCCGTATTGGGTGGGCTTGGGGATGGCGGCACCGAATGTGAACAGACCGGTCTTTTCTTGGAAGATGGACTCGAGCTCGGTGGTGGATTGGACCGATAATACATCTTCCTGTTCTTCGGAAACTGATTCGTCTCGGGAGCTACGCTCGTCAAAGCTCTGTCCTGCTTGACGGCTGTTGACTTTGTCGTACCAGTCCATAGACCTGCCATGGGTTAGCATTAAATGAAATTTATCTCAACTGGATATAAAGTCAAACTTACTTCTTCAGTAGCGCATCTCCATCCTCTTCGTGATGCATCCGGTTGAGGTGTTGCTTGAAGTTATCCAAGCGCGGCCATCTCTTATTTGGCCGTGGACAGCTCGAGCCGAAGCACATATACATCATCTTGGGCCCACGCTCAGGCTCCTTGTTGTGCACACATTTCTTATGACGGGCAAGGTCATTGATAGTCCCGAATCCTTCCTTGCGAGGACAATTCGGTTCGTCGCATTTGAATAGCTTGCGATGGCGAGCCTCGTGTTTCCTACAACCATAGCATCAGTTCGCTGAACAAAAATCGACCAAAAGGAACAAAAACATACCTCTTATCCGAAGGACACTTCCCACTCCACTCACAAGCGGGATGATCACACTTAAAAACTCCATCAAACATCTGCGACGGCGACCTAGCAAGTTCCGAAGTAAATGAAGACCCAGACCCAGACGCATAACGAGAATGAGCAAACGAAGGCGCGGAACCTGCCGCATTCTCCTTCACACCCATCTGCGGACTAGACGAATCCACTCCATATGTCGAAGCGACAACCGACTGAGCCGCACAACTCGTACTCCCATACCCCGAATCCGCGGAATAGCTACCCATATACTGACTCCCACTCTCAGAGGGGTCACTATAGTGATGATGCGACAGGCAGTATTCCTGCTCGGGTAAGGGCGCGGACATGTTCATATGTGACAGAGACGACGAGGCCGGGACGCCAGTGAGCAGGAGTGGATTCCAGGCATCTTGATCGGCTGTTAGGCGGGATGGGTAGCTTGAATAGTACAGATCTCTTGGGTTGGACCACTGGTTCAGGAAAGAGGAAGTGTCGAGAGATAATTCTGATCCGAGATGGAGGTCTAGGAGGGGTTGGGATGAGTCGAAGGGGAGAGACGAGGACTTGAGATCGAGATGCGATCTATCCATGCCTTGAAGAACATCTGTGGAGTCGTTCCAGCCGGAGTCCTGGGGGTGGGGGTTAGTATATAATTGGTGTCTGGTATTTAGTATATAGGATAGGGGCACGAACCTCCATGTTGATAGGTAAAAAAAAGTTAGAGAGGCTGCCCCGGATAGAGTATAGAAAAAGAATGGAGAATATCAAGTCAGATCCAACAGGAAACACGGGAGGGGGCAAAGTATTAAATGTCTCCCTCATGCATACAAATGCCAAAACCCAACACGCGAGAGACACGCTCCACATCGCCCCGAGCCGACTTCACCACGCGGAATGTATAATTATCACAAAAAGTAAAGTTCGCCCTCGCGTGCCAGCGTGGAATGCAAGTCAGTCATCCCTTGATTGCACAGCCCCGGCTACTTATCTTAACTTATACAGAATAAGTTACTATACATGTACAGTTGCATTATTTGGATTATAGATGAGGCTTATTAGCTTATTGCCTAGTCATTAGATCCATCTCCACTGAAGATCCCGATATCCCCGAGTTGGATCAGCCTATATACATTGATACAAGTATAGTCAGCTTACAAATAACAAACCTACACGTACGCACAACGTAAGCCGGCACATCCCCTGCACGAGGCATGCAAGACAAAAAAAAAAAAAAAAAAAAAAAAAAAAAAAAGGAAACTCAGCCTACGAAGATCCCGAACGAAACAGGGAGGAGGCTGCAGCAAGTAAGGATCGCATCGGACTCTGACAGGGTGTGCGATCGGCATGGGAGGGTGGTGATCGGCGATGCCATGTTGCAAGGGATGAAATAGTGCACGTTTAAGCGAAGAATACGATGTGCAGGGGGATTTGACTCTGAGACCTGAAACGCGGTGAAAGTTTGATTTGGGCGTCGATCTCATGTCTCATCTCTCATAAAGATATTGCCATTCAGCTATTCAACTATCCACGGATAGCGGATGTAGTTCGCGTGGAACTAGGGAGTGGTTCATTTCAACCCGTGGATCCTGAATCCGCTCTAGTACCAAATAGGAAAAGTACAAATACAATATGATGCCTCATATGCTATGCGTGTCCGGTTTTTACGGTCTGCAACGGAGTTCCCTAAATATGTGGTGATGTAAAGGGGGTTATCATAGCCATCATTCCGACATAACTCGCTAAAAGTGGCAGATTCCGTTTCTGCTCATGTGCCACCTGTGGCGCTATAGCCGATGAAAATTGATGCAAATTGCCTGCCAATGACAAGGGGGAATAAGAAAGAGACATTCGAAAAAAGAAAAAGAAGAAAAACGAAAAGAATAGAGGGTGAAGAGAGGATAAGAGTGATCAAGGGAGTAGAATCACATCCGGGAAGAACAACCCGAGGAATAAGTGGCAGAAGAGTAGTTAACGTCGGGTTGATAAGCATAAGTGCCGTCTGCGGGGTACAAGGACTGAACCTGCATCGGATACGAGTTCATAGCTTCCGTCTCTGGAGTTCTTGGCCTTGGAACGGCGTAGGGCGGGTACGTCAATGAGTTCTGATGCAGGGGATGAGTCTGGGCCTGAGCATGAGCCTGTGACGGGTGGAGCGCTGAGCCGAACTGGCCCACTCCGTACGCATACTGGTCAGGGGTGAGCGAATCAGTCATGGACTCTGGCATGGACTCGGGCTCCTCGATGAGTGGACTGCCAGAGATAGTGGGGAACTCGACTGGCGGGCCGTTAAATGAGAACGCAGGGATGGCCGTGCTAGTGTTTCGGGTCGTGTAGTTGTTTGATGACGTTTCGAGCGGTTCATGTCCATACGCAAGAGAGGGATAGGTTGCGGATGATCCGCGAACTGGTTCCTCCTTGAGGTTGGCATGGCTGGTCAGGTTGGCAGGGCTTGGGGCGCTCGGCTTTACTAGATGTAAGACAGGCATGGCGAGTTGCTCCATGTGTTTGCCAAGGTGGACCGACAATTTCCTCCAGTCGCTACAGACATTCCCGCAGAATCGACATGGCTCTGATTGGGCGGTTCGGTCGGTCTCATGCCGACATTCTTCGACCATTTGCCATAAGCGTTTAACATCCTTTTCTCTTCGGTTGTTCGGCGCAATATCGGCTTCAGAGGCCTTACCGGTCTTGAGCTTGGGCTCTGGCATTTTGTGTTCTCGTACCAAATGCTGGACAAAGTTATCTTTCCGGAAGCACGTATGATGGCATTCGGAGAATGCGCAGGTCCACCATTCCAGCTGTCGGTGTTTTTCGTTCTCGTGGCGGACCCAGTCTGCTTTACGCTTGAATGACTTGGGCTCGGTACAGCGAGGGAATGTACAAGTGAATGGTTGAATGTCCTCTTGAACGTGTTTAGACCAGTCGGAGGGTTTTTGGAACTTCTTAACCTCGAAGCAAATCGGACACTCGAACTGAGCAGGGAGGTGATTGACCGGCGGAGGAGGCACTCCGGGTGGGTATTGTGCTGCAACCCCTGTACCGTCACTTGTAGCATGTTGTTTCTCATTTCCTGGACTGAAGCTTTTGACTCGGAATTGACTCTGGCCTGTCTCGGATTCGATAGGAGCCTTGGATTGCGGTAGGACAGTAGCCTTCCCGCCCTGGGAGAAACAAAATGTGCGAGACTTGCATGTCTGATTGGCGACCGCATGAGAGTGGTTTTGCTGCAATCCGACCAGGAGCTTATAGCGGCGATCTTGTTCATGTGCAAGACGGTGAAGCAAGGCCGGCTCAAGTCTCGGATTCAATTGCATGATCTGCGATTTGAACCCTTCAATTGTCGGGTCTGGGAGACTCTGGACAGCTGGGAAGTCCATTACAATGCCCTTGGTGGCATTGTTATCGTTCTCACCAATGGGTTCTATGTCTAGGAATGTACTTCTTGGTGTATAGGCAGCATCTGAGCTGAACCTCCCAGGTGAGGTAATGTTCGGGACTGGTGGTCCACCATGAGCGGTCATCAAATTGATCAACCCGGGGCTGGAGGGTCGGGGAACTTCACTTCTGCTTCGTCCTCGGCCCTTAAGCGGGAGACTTAATGAATTTCTCTCGGGATTTGGTGAGGGTGCGGGTGAGACCGCTTGGACGGAGCGACTACCCCCAACGGCGGCCATTTGACTAGACATGGAAAGGAGTGCGTTGGTCAAGCTCGGTGACCGTGAATGCCGACGGGTTGAGAAGACATTCCGGGGCGAGTAACTCGGTTTCGGTTGGGGTTCCGGTTCTTCACGCGGCTGAATGCCAGGGTAGGTGCTGGATTGACTGATGATGGATAAGTCGGAAGCTTGACGCTTCAGCTTCGAAGACGCCTGGATCCACGGACGCTTTAAAAGGCTGGTACGCTTCTTCGGTTGATCCCCCAATGTAAATTTCTCAAGAGATGTAGCAACGTTGATAATGCTGTTGTTATCGATTGTCGCTGTAAGCGATGCCGTTTCCAGATCTCGAACGCGTTTCTGGAAAGCTATCATAGCATCGGTGGAGCTAGTCGGCTGCATCGCTTCTGATCTAGGCGTCGAGTCACGAGGTGGATCGTGCCAGGGGTATAAACGGAGGCCTTCATCTGGTTGATTCGGCCCAAGCGATGAATAGATCTCCGGTGTGCTGCGATCATATCTGCCTGGATCATCGACAATGGCCGGTATAGAGTCCGAACCAGTGGCTATACTTTCCTCGTCCTCGCTGAGCAATTCGTCACTGCTTTCGTGTACCAGAACTCCGGGTCCGGGGAACGAGCGGTCCACGGAGCGACATTTCAAACTGAAATAGTCCTCTTCTTTCAGGGGACGGTCTCCAGTGCTCCTCGCTCGAAGTCTGCTTGGGACATGGTGTCGGCGCGGAGGACTAGGTGGTTCATCGCCGGTCTCGCTGTTAGCCCTGCTCACAGTTACAGACCAGTGTGTGATGTCTTCATTCTTCTCCTCTCTTTCTCGCTTTATGAGGACATCGTTGGGACTCGGCACATATTCATTTCCACGAGAGGATGGGTCGAGGCCAGCTAAGTGTGTAGAAGGGTGTCGAATCCATGTGCCGTTAGGAGATCGCTTGACCGAGACAGATGAATTGGATTTGTGATCATCCGATTCACTACCTTCGGACTCGCTCGATAGATCGTTCGGGTCCGCTGCGGATAAATGCGCAGAGGACTGGCTGCGGTGCCTCTGGTGGCCAGTTGTGCGTCCTTTGGGTGAATCGCCTCGAGAGAAAGTTTCAATCTTGAAAACGGGGCTCCTTCCCCTAGTCATGTCCGATGCCAACTCGTTATTTGGCTCCTGGTTAGTCGTGACGCCGAGTCGGGATGGCTCATTTAATGGGACGTAAGAGACACCGAGACCAGCTTGGTAAGTACTAGGAATTGACTGCACGGCGTTGGTATCGTCGATTTCTAGACTTGGCAGGGCGCCCGATGAATTCTGATTTTGCTCCGAGCTTGTCCTTGTCCACTTAAAAACATTGGGGGCCATGGGCGAAGACCATGCGGAATTGACAGGTACGGAGGTGTCTGTCCGGTAGGATGAAAAGCTCTCATCTCGCCAGCTACTCGAGCCACTGGCCAATTCAATCGCCTGCGGTTCGACAAAAGCATTGTCGGAAAGCGGGGAGGTACACGCGCTGTTATAATCATTTCGTGGGTCCAAATAGCCCGTCTGCAGTGTGGAGTCGATCCGAGCGTCCTCAGGGGAGCCCAATGTCTGCCCAGGACTCCCCGACGGTGTTAATCGAATGGCACTGGCTTGAAAATAGATTTCTTCCGGGTCGGATGTTGCAGACAAATAGGGATCTGGCGCGTGACGATCTTGAAGCGCATTGTCTGGTGAAAGCCCCTGACTGTGGGGCGAGGCCAGCGACATATTTGAGTTGCTGTTTATTTCTCAAGATCGAGCGCAAATGTCCGCCTTGAGCACAGGCGACTTCAAAGAGGCCGATCAAAGGCGATGTGGTCCATGCAGGTTCGAAATTATATAGGCGATTAAAACTGTCTGTCGGTCCGGCCCTAAATAAGGTGGGCTATGTTGAAGAACTTCCAACACGGAAGTGACAACAAGTTGAAGATATGAAGAGAGACAAAAAAAGATTGGGGGGCGGCCGATCCCAGGAGATCCCAGGATGTTAGCGAGATGAGGGGAACAGCTGAGGCTGAACAAGCGCCGGGCGCACCCACTTGGACTGCACCAAATTGAAGGGTCGGTAATCCCACTGTTCGTAACCTGCAACTACAGTAACTTGATTGTAGGTCGAAATAGTAAAGGGAAAAAGGCACAAGGAACAAGATACGTGTATTCTCCAAATGAGCCTCAGACGCAGGAGGGCTGTGGCTGGTGCGAGTCGCATGATTTCCCAGGCTTACTCGGATTCCCCAAAATAGCCAAGTTCTATAATATTTGAACACCGTTAGCCTATCGAGGTGTAACAGACCTGTTTTGATCCTGATCAATTTGGCGCCCCAGCCACAGCGTTCTATATGTATCAAAGATTTCTATTCTTATCCTCAGCCTCAGCCTCAGCCTCCGGCCGGATCACCTCTATAGGGCTGAAATGAGAATCCACGAGCTTGTCTAGAGTACTAATGGGAATGGTTGCTTCTGGTGATATGCAACGTGGCGGCGGTTTTTTATATTTGAAACGTTGGTATCTCCGCATGTTCGCCGTTGGGCATTATTTCCAGATGTAGTCTAATTATAGCCAAAGTCCATTCTTAAGATACTTAATTATAATATAAAGTTTAGCCCTACATCTGTGAATGTGTACCACACCACAAAAGCTTCAAATAAAACGGCCCCCACTACTTGCAGTGTACACAGTGCCGTAGAGTATTGGACAGTTTCGGTACGAAAGCCTCGAAGCGGGTGTACCATTTCATGCATTGTTTTCGCCCTAATTTGGCCTCTCTTTCTTTACCTCTTTTTTGCCCATTTTCGAGTGCCTCGGGTTAATCATCCCGATAATATAAAGATGGGGATGTGAAAGGAATTATGACCCCTGTTGTAGAACGACCACAGCCTCCAATCTTTAGTGCTCTTTGGCTGTAATATCCTCCGAAACACACCGTCTCGGCCCACGGAGTTACTAGTGTCTACCTCTACATCCTGTGCATCGAAACATGCTGACATATTTCCAAGACATCCAAGGCTGGTCCGGGGTGATGTGACATCACGGACGATCCACGATGCTCCACCCCACGATGCTCCACCGTGGACTGTGAATTAACAATCCCGTACCTGCATCTATATTGGGCTACTTCATGCCACGTTTTGAGTCGTCTAGAACAGACGTCACAGCCGGTGGCCAGCCCGGCCCCCGCCCCCAAGCCTGCGGGGTCTGAGACATATTTAGAGCTGCAATACAAAGACTGTCTGTTCACAGTGGCGGTGCTGCTTTGGTAGAATGACACAATTGTGGCTTATAATTAGCCAGAAGGAATGAATTGAAGGCTAATACTGACCTTAGAATAGAGCCGGGGTACCTAGAACAGACCTAAGGGAATGACTTAAGTGTGCCGAGAACCAATACATAGCTATGCGGCACATCATTGTCAAGAAATGCATTTACTGATTGATAAACCAAACACGCATTAGATAACCGCACACAGTCCAGTATCCTCATTCAACGATTATCAACCAATACAAACCAGACAAACCGCCAAGCAATCCCAGATAAGATAGAAAAAGAGCCTAAACCCCAAATGGTTGTAAGATCCGATCGGCACAAACACGAAAGATAATTGGACAACCAGAACGCAACACATGCATTATCGTATCATTATCAGGAATCAGTTTGAACCAAGACCGTCTTATCAGGAAGAATATATCCCACAGTCATAGAAAGTAAAGAGACCCACCTATCATCCTTAAACGTGGCCTAGCAAGTATAGTTTCAAAGCTCCACATTTTGATGGATTCAAGGTCTTGGCTACTGTCGGATCGTAGATAAGGAGCTTGGTACTCGTGTTTCGCATGAGAAGAACCACATGGAGAATGGTATATCTGCTGTAGATCCAGGATTAAAGAGCTATGATTCTGGTTTGTTCTAACAAACCATGAGTGCTATCCTCGATCGAGGCACATAACTTGGATATCACATTGTTTCTGATAACGTTACTGCGCGCGCACACACGCACACCCACACACAGAGAGAGAGAGTTGGAATAGAGCCGATCTCTCACAATGGCAGACTCTGTTAGTCTTTCAAACCCTGAACAATAGCATATTATAGATTGCTAACACAACCCGGTTGGCAGCCAGTATACAACGCCTCCACCCCAACTGGCGGAGATCCGCTAAAAGTCGACGTGAACGCCCAGTATGCAGGCGTCGAATGGAACTATACTTACATCGTCTTTTGCGGGTTCATCGTGTGGTTGATCATCCCCGGAATCGGTCTCCTTTATAGTGGGTTAGCACGACGAAAGTCAGCGCTGGCATTGCTTTTCCAGTCGTTGATGGTTGTAGCCGTGTATGTTGGACCTCTGCGATCTTCCCAGTGCTTATGGAACTGACACGAAAGACATGCCTAGGACAACCTTCCAATGGATCTTCTGGGGATATTCATTGGCCTATTCGCGGGACGCAAGCCCGTTTATCGGGACATTAACGAACTTTGGCTTAAAGGGTGTGATGGCAGGCCCGTCGCCTGGTTCAGCTGATCTGCCTGAGATTGTGTTTTGTTTTTATCAACTTCTGTTCTGTGCATGCACGGTCATGATTGTTGTCGGCGGAGCGTTCGAACGAGGCAACATGATCCCCTCGCTAATCTTCAGCTTCTGCTGGGCAACCGTCGTCTACTGCCCGCTGGCCTGCTGGACCTGGAACAGCAACGGGTGGCTATACAACCTCCCTTCACTAGATTTCGCCGGCGGAGGCCCCGTGCATATTGCATCAGGCTGGTCAGCACTTGCCTACGCCTTCGTCTTAGGGAAGCGCAAGCATCTCGACCAACCATCAACTGCCAAACCACACAACACGACCCTCGTCTTCCTAGGAACGACCCTGATCTGGTTCGGATGGTTTGGTTTTAACGTAAGTGTCACACCCGTGGTGCTTGTATTTTGGCAGTCGATCCAGTTTAACAACCGTCTGCAACAGGGTGGCTCAGCTCTCAACGCCAGCGTCCGAGCAATGCTAGCAGCATTCAACACCAACACCGCCGCCTGCACGGGAGTCCTAGGTTGGGTGCTGGTCGACTACATCAAACACCGCGGCAAATTCTCCGTGGTAGGCGCATGCGAGGGCGCCATCGCTGGCCTAGTAGGAATCACCCCAGCAGCAGGCTTCGTATCAATCTGGCTAGCAGCGGTAATCGGATTCATTACCAGCATCGTATGCGCCAGTCTCCAAAACTTGAACGAGTGGCTCCACATCGACGAGGGAATGGACGTATTCAAACTCCACGGAATCGGAGGCATGGTAGGGGCCTTCCTAACAGGGATATTTGCGTCACAATCGATCGCAGCCTTGGACGGGTTCACCGAGGTGACTGGGGGTATCGATGGGAACGGGATGCAAGTTGGGAAACAATTGGCGGAGGTGTGTGCCATTTCGGCGTATTCATTCACGGTCTCGTGTATTCTGCTTTACATCTTGAAGTTTATTCCCGGGATGCAATTGCGCGTGCATGAGGAGGCGGAAATGGTTGGGCTGGACCGGGCGCAGTTTATTGATGAGCAGATTGGTGAGCGTGGGCTTCTTGACGATCTTTGCGGGTCGTCGTCACCGGCTGGTGCCAGTGTCAATGAGGGGGTTGTGGTTGGTTTGGAGAAGAGATAGGGTCTCGGGGACTTGCCGTGCCAAGGATTGTGTACAGGTGCAGTGTGTTACTTCGACGCGCAATCATAGGGTATTTCAACCTTAAATATTGCCCGTTTCGTCTTACTTCCTGTGAAACATGAAATAAGGGTTCGCTATTTTTACATATAAACACATAAACATACACATTGTACGGTACAAGTGTGACTTGAGGAACCCAGACCCTGAGACCCTGAGCGGCATCAAGGGCCGATGCCAAGAAAGCTGACGTAGGCCTGTGTCTGTGGTGCATTCCATGACGAGGCCTGGAACTGTAAAGCTGACATGCATCTACCCGCAGGGAAACAATGTAATCAGCATAGTAACAAACAGTAGTACTCCGCATCTGCATATATTGATTGAGTATTGAAAAGTAAAAAAATGAGGCAAAAGGGAGGGAAAAAAAAAAAAAAAAAAAAAAAGAATTGACATTTAACGGCGGTAATTACCGGTAAGAATACCCTCCTTTGCCCAGCGCGGCCAGCCTCTTCGCCCTTTTTGCCACTCAAAATTTAGTCTCACCCGTCACGTTTTGTATCCCCGGAGCCGTCGCGTCCTCCCGCTTTTGGCTCCTTATCTCTTCTCCCCTCTACATCTTCCTGTCATTCGTTTTACTACATTTGCCTTTGCCTCACTTTAATTAGGACCCTTGTCCTCCTTCTTACCTTTCTACCAGGTTGTCATGATCTGCGAATAATAAAATCGAGTCCAAATGGGCAAATGTATGCGGTCTCACCTGGACTTCTCCCTCTGGATACTTACTGACTGCGAATTAGGGCGTTATGGTGTCGTCCTGGACGCAGGCTCGTCTGTATGTTCGATTAGTGTCGCAATCTCGGTCATTTTCCACTAACCCGTACAGGGGACTCGCGTACACGTTTACCGATGGTTACGAAATGCTGCTGCACGAAAGAACGCCGATGCGGAGGAGCTGAAATCGCTACCGGAGATTAAGACCAAGGAGGAATGGACCAAGAAGATTCATCCTGGTGAGTCTCGCTCGAGACACTGCCACCCCAGCAAACGACGCTAACCGCTCCGTGAAAGGTGTCTCTTCCTTCGCCGAAAAACCCGAAATGGTTGGATCCGATCATCTTGCCGAATTGTTGGATCACGCCAAGGGGATTATTCCTAGAGAGGATGCTAAGGATACCCCGATCTTCCTCCTGGCCACGGCAGGCATGCGACTACTTGGAAACCTCGAGCGACAATTACTTCTGGATCAGATCTGTTCGTATGCTCGTGATAACACGGAGTTCCTGCTGCCAGACTGTGGTGTTCACATCCAGGTGATTCCTGGTGTGACTGAGGGGCTTTATGGATGGATTGCGACCAACTACCTCATGGGTGCATTTGACACCCCAGACAAGCACGACCATGGGAAAGGACATCACACCTACGGATTCCTCGATATGGGTGGCGCATCCGCTCAAATCGCGTTTGCGCCGAATGCCACGGAGACAGAGAAACACGCCAATGACCTCAAACTGCTACGCTTGCGGAACATTGATGGATCAGTCCAGGAACACAGAGTGTTTGTCACCTCATGGTTGGAGTTTGGTGTGCATGAAGCCCGCCGACGCTATCTGGAGGCCTTGCAGACTGCGATTGGACCCGAGATAAAAGAACTACCCGATCCTTGTCTTCCCAGTGGATTGCGCACGACTCTTGACGGCAAGGATGTATCGGGATCCGAGAGTGAAGGCAGCTATCTATTAGGCACGGGCAAATTCGATGAATGTCTACGTCAGACGTTTCCTTTGCTGGACAAGGATGCGCCTTGTGCGGATCAACCCTGTCTTCTGCACGGCATGCACGTTCCGGCTATCGATTTTGATGTCAACCATTTCATTGGAATCAGCGAGTACTGGCACACCACGCATGAGATCTTTGAAATGGGCTACAAGGACAAAGCATATGACTTCAACACATACCAGGAACGGGTTAAGACATTCTGCTCCCAAGACTGGGACTCGATCGAGCATGGTCTTGAAGCGAACCAGTGGGGGAAGAAGATTAATCGTCAAAAGGCCTACGAGGTATGCTTCAAGGCATCATGGATTATTAACATGCTCCACGATGGCATTGGCGTTCCTCGCGTGGGGATAGAGGAAACCACTTATTCTTCACACAATGGCACCAAGGAAGTCTTGTCTCACGGAAAGGAAAAGGGTTATCTCGACGCTTTCCAGGCGGTTAACAAGATTGACTCGACCGAGGTGAGCTGGACTTTGGGCAAGATCGTCTTGTATGCATCTTCCCAGGTGCCTATGGAGATCGAGGAAGCCCTTCCCGTTGGCTTTGGCAGCAACCTCCCCGGTGTGCCGTCAGACTTCCAGTATCCCAGTGTTCAGCTGTTGCCGGATTCCGACAGCTTCCACAGCGAGCACTGGCATGATGCACTGTTTGATGGTGATTCACCCCGCCGAATCCCAGGCTTCCTACTGTTCATGTTTATCGTTGTCGTCGCCGGCTTCTTCCTATGTGGACGCAGCCGCCGGTCACGAATCTACAACCGAGTCACCAACGTCCTCCGTCGCGGCGGACCCTCCCATCCAAATCACCCAAAGAAGCGAAAGGGTCTCAAGGCGATGCTCCCATTCCTTGGGCGGAATTCCCCATCCTACGAGCGAGTCCTCGAAGACGGCGCCCAAGACTTCGAACTTGGCGTGACCGATTCGGACGGCAGCGAGGATGGAGGCCGTCTCTCTGAAGCCGACTCAGCCAGATTGGGACCACCAAAGCGAGCCTCCAGCTGGGGCAGCAACAGCAATACCCCAAGCTTCAAATACGCGTTAGACAACAGCTCAACAGGGACAATTGGCCTCGGGATCAGTGGCGGCTCCGGAATCGCAATGGATCGAGCAGGCCTAGTAGTCAGGACCGAAAGCAGGGACCATCTTGCTCCCATTGCTCTAGGCCCTACAACCAACGGCCGTCGATCAAGAGCCGGCAGCCCAACAAGATCCCACCACCAAAAATCACCCAGCTTGACACCCCTCGCAGACGACTAACGCACCCGACCCCCGATTTATGCATAATTACCTACCTTTCCCGCATCGTGTTTCATTTGGAGTTGGTTGATTTCTACCTGTCGATTCTTTCGGCGCTGCCTCGGTTTTTGATCGAGGACTTGGTTCTTTGTGGGGTGCTGCCGTTTCATGGCTTTCTGCTTTCGATTCTTGGTATTATATTACTCACTGTGCTCTGGAGTACCTTATGGTTTTGTGTTTGGTTGCCGTGCTCTCGATCTTATCCTGGTGATTTACACGTAATGAGGAGTGTACCATTAGCGGAGAGTCGTTTTGAATATAGACTAATTCATTGCATCAACTTTGCATTATCTTTGCATTATTACATTGTAGTGAATCAGTTCAGACTAACTGAGTGTACTGGATCTGCTATAATTGTATTCTCAAAAGCCATTGGTATCGAATCAAGGAAGATCCGTCAAAACTATCATTTGTCTGATTGATTCAGAACAAAGGAGAGGGGAAACACAAGCATCAAGCAGTAGGAAATCACTTCACCTAGAATATGCAATTGTGATAGGAATGGTGTTACTGCAGGCTGCACACGTGATATCAATCTCGTTTCCAACGTCGCCCCAATATTCAGGCTTTATATATAGTCACGTGGTCAAAATCGGAGTCACCGCCCGACAAAAAGGGCTTCGACATAGCGAGAAAGCGGCGCAAGCAGCTTCCAATTCAATCATTGCCCTCGACAATTAAACCTGTTGAACGCCATATTACCTTTGTCTCTTCCGCCTATGCAGTCACGATAAAAATTACTCCTTCAACAAACCCATTCACCGGCTACAGCCACCACCGCCACCATGCGCTTGACAGTCGAGCTCATTCAGAATTCCCTCTCATACATCAACCCGCTCACAGACCGCGAGCTGGATCTCCGAGGTGCGTCCAATAACTACAAACCTTTTTGAAAAGAACAGGTACTACCCTTTGATCTGAGAGCTGGGTTGATATCGTCTTTTTGCGCGTGCAGGGCACAAAATCCCCGCCATTGAGAACTTGGGTATTGCCAAAGTAAGTGCTGCTCTTGCATGATGCAAGCTTGACCTGAATTTGTGATCTGCTGTACTGGTTGCTGCTAGCCCAGCTCCAGTCAGTTTGGCCACTGCTTTCCTTGGCCCGGTGCTAACCTCTCACAGGATCAAGATGCGATCGACTTTACCGACAATGACATCTCCTCCCTCGGAAACTTCCCTCACTTCCCTCGCCTCACTACCCTCCTCCTCGCTCGTAACCGTATCAATCACATTCAGCCGTCGCTAGCAACCTCCCTGCCTAATTTGACGACCCTGGTCTTGACCGCGAACAACCTTTCTGAGCTGGTGGAGCTGGATGCGCTGCGGAGCTTGACTAAGTTGACACATTTGACTCTTATGGAGAACCCAGTGACACGGAAAGAGGTTCGTCGCCTTCAACGCAGCAACACAAGAGTCCATTCATACTAACCACCCCTCAGAACTACCGCTACTGGGTCATCTGGCGCATTCCCTCAGTCCGCTTCCTGGACTACCGCAAAGTGAAAGACGCCGAGCGCACCCAAGCAAAGGAACTATTCGGCACCTTCGACGAGCCCTCATCCCTCGCATCCAAGATCCTGGGCGTCAAGTCCCGCACCTTCGACGTCACCAGCGCAGCCGAGCGCGCCCCCACCGAGAAGGGCATCCGCGTACAACTGACCGAGCAGGAGCGCAAGCGTGTAGAAAAAATGATCCGCGAGGCAAAGAGTCTGCAGGAGATCACAAGGCTAGAGAAGGAACTTAACGAGGGCCGGATACCAGGTGGAGCACTCGGCGCGGAGGACGCGGACGGGGACGTGCAGATGTAAAGCAGACTTCGTCTGTGTTTGCATTGTATGGATCTACGGACCATGAACATACCACTATTCTTTCTGTTCTTTCTCTTCTCTTTGTTGGGGCTTAGCTTTCTGGTTTTCTTTTCTGGTCGTTCGGGATTCTCATATACCTGGCTTGAATTCCTGGGGTTCAGTGTGTATCATCTTGAGGGTTTCATTGCATGTGCCGTTGGGCTGTTGGCTTGGTGGCCGTGAGATTTGAGTATCGAATCAAAACATGCATTCAATAAGTGTACTGTATCAGGCATGGGGCTTTGTTTGTAGAGTTCTCACTAACCAGAGCCAACCGCGTATTTCGCTTCCTATCCATGGACGAGAAGAGGTCTGATACACGGCAACCAGGCACCCCCAGTCCTGCAGATACGGTTCAGTAAATGACAGCCGATCAGTTAGACTGCTCCCGTGGCTTATTCCACGCCACCGCCAGGAGCTGTTCGCAAATGCTGGTGGTGACTAGGGGCATCGGTAGTAAATAATAAACGACGGCAATTGATATAAGGCTATAAAAGGTAAATAGTGTGCATATAGCACGCCCTATAGATTGTATTATCAACACCTTGGCACTATCGAAGCATATACGTAAATATACATGTAAGTGTATAGTGGAGATGCAGTAGCGAGGCTTTCAGAAGAAGACATAACCAAGCCACTTCTGGCTAGCCCCTGCTGCATGACCCCATTGACCCCGGGAAACGTTTGTTCGAGAGGCGCTTCTAGATGCATAATACCAATAAGTAAATAAATGCAACAGACATAGTGTGGCTTACTATTGTTTGGTAATCCGAGGTTCAGGCCAAACCTACCAGAGTTTGAAGCGAGAGTGGCTGTCAATTGTAAATAGCCACTGAATACTCATGTAGGTGCCTACGGAGTACGTGTACAGAGTAGCCTAGATACAAAAGCCAAGCGAGGGACTCATATTAATCCCACCGAAACGGCAATTCACCTGTGCATATACTGTAAGATGGGGCATGCTACTGTATCCAACACAACATGCAACTAAAGAAAATAAGAAATGAGGCTAAACACGCAAAGCAAGAAATAACAATACTTGTAGCAAAAGAAAAAGAAAAACAAAAAATCTCGGCTAAGATTCGGCCATGGTTCGCATGGTATGGTCACCAATGGTTCCTACGCTATACAGTCTAGACCCAGTTTCCGCTAAGAGGCCAGAAAAGCAGGAAGCAGAATCAAGGATTCTCTGGACTGGAAATGTTAGGGCTTATATGGTGTTTTGAGTGGAGCATTGGGCTTGGATGGGGGAAATTTCCGAGAAACGATGAAAAGACAGACTGTTTTGGGAGGGGATCATTTCCTACTTAAGGCTGCAGACCCGGTTGGTTCGTGTTTGAACATTGAGGTTCCTTCAACAGGGAAGAGGGGGGTTCGATGTACCAGCACTTCGATACATATCAAGAACATCTCAGCTTTGTATACATGTATGCCTCGGAGTAACTTAACGTTACATGCTTCATATGTATGAGATGAAGACTGGCAGGATTTGTAAATAGAGAATCTGATGATCATCTTATAATAGTCGAGCCATGACGATATTTCTTTTAACTGGGTTTCACTTAACAAGGCACAAGGGGTGGCAATTGCATCGTCGTAAAGCTGAAGACCAAGATTGACATATGGTAGTCCAGTAAGTTTCCTAGCCTTAAGAAGAATATAAACCGTGCTGAGCTGGTTTGGGAGCTCAATGAGGCTGAAGTTCATGCCGTGGGACGGACAGTGGGTCCAGATCTATAGATAAAGTTTGCGCCGTGGATTTCAAGAATAGAACGAGAATACAATCGACCTGATATGTTGACTAGTCACACTCGACACCTCCAATTGTATGTAAAATCCCCTCGTCAAGTCAATCCGAGGTTGGCTGCCACTACTGACTCATCTGCATGTAGAGTCGCAAATGCATACAAATTGTCTGTTTCATCATCCTTATCTCTTTTTATGCTCATTTTTCATACCTACAACACAACATTAATTGGCAGTAAAGCCGCTGCCGAAACCAGCTACCTTTGACGCTGTATTTTCTCATTTACAGGCATTCTCGGCCGCTTTAAATTTGACCGTAGAAAAGTGGAGACCAGGAAGGTAAGCGATGTCGGCCAATTTCAAGTTGGCCATTTACACTATTTGAGTCATAGATCTATAGATAAATAATCAACGAGCGTTGTACTCTGATTAAATGCACTCCTTGTCTTCAAGTCTTGTCTGGCGTTATGGCTTCCAACTATACGTACTCGTTCTTCCGGGTCTCGAAGACAGACGGATTCGTCATCTCCGCTCAGAAATATCGAGACCTACGCTTAAAAGCATTGAAGACTTCACCCGATTCTTTCTCATCTACTTATGATATCGAAGCGGCGTTCACCGATGCCGACTGGATAGATCGCCTCACTGTTCCCGATCGAGAAGTCTTTATTTGTGCTGCGATACCACTTAGTCACGATCCATCGCGTCCCGTTGATATCCAATGGATCGGCCAGGTCACTCTACGAGGACCTTCATCTAGGACTGATTTCGAGTTACCCGTGGAAGCTGGCCAGCCACCCCAGAAGTCCGACGAAGAGGAAGAGCGATGGCAGATGCTGAGCTTGTTTACGCTTCCGGAATATCGCGGCCATGGACTGGGGAGCAAGCTGTGCTTAGAGGCTCTGACTTATCTTCGATTATACCGCTCATTCCCCCGTAACATTCAAGTGCGGCTTATCGTTAAGGCGGGGAATAATGTTACGGTGGAATTGTATCGACGTCTTGGATTTATTCATGCCGGGAGGGCTACCCTTATTGAAGCTCTTATCGCGAATGGAGATGAGTATCTTCTTCCAAAAGATCGGGGCTCGGAGCACTCAGAGAGAAAGGGACTGATTATGATTTCTCGGATATCGCGCTCATCATGTCTTTCAGCTTTTCCTGTGTAATAGCAATAGAATAGAGAATTAGACTTGAGTAAACAAAAACTTCGTCCATTATCAAAGAATTATTGTCGCATAGAACTGGGATAAGAGGGGGTCAATCTTCAGGGGGATAAAAGAGTCGTGGCATTTTTCGTAGTATATTGTACAACAGAATAAATAAAATCTATTCTTCTTCTGCTCACAGAATTGATCTTTCAGACTTAATGATGCTGACATCAGTGCCGTCGCAGTTTCCCAGGTGTGCTTGGAACTGCACTGTCCTCTGTATGGGGAAATCAGACTGCCAATCTAACGTCAGTCCACCGGTAGAAAGTACTTTCCAAAATTACATTCAATCCTAGATTAAGAGAACTAAGCATACGTATACCCATCCCCGCTGTTCTTGGCCTTAGTGTGACACCACCCTCGGCCTTGTACGAGTGGCGCTGGTCCCGAACACAGTAAAGAAAAGCCCGGCACCAAAGCCGACGGAGGCCGAGTATGTCGCACGTTCTTGAACAAAATTTATTTGAAAGAATTAGCAGGTAGGCGCTGATGTCGAGGATATCAATAACCCCAGCACTAAACCCGACGGAGGCCGATCCGAACGAGGATCCTTCAATTTAGTTCACCTCTTGGTCGTCGATCAGGGCTTTCTGAGGTCAGTTATCCCAAGGATTGTTGATCGGTGCCGAAATGAGGTTGACCGAGGTAGATCTTCACTACTTGACTCATAGTTGCCAATCGGCCTTGGCCGTTACAAGCATTATCATGCCAAGTCTATGCCTTCATACTTGCATATCGCACGTGAGAACAATATATTGTATTGCAATAGAAGTCATTTATCATTGGACCGAGAGGTAGTCAAGCATTCTGATTGCAACAGGAATTGCTTTTCCGATAGTGGGCCGAGGCACACACGCATTCATGGAATATTTTGTTAGAAGCCTAAAAAGCTAGAGTTATTCTAGAAGTTCTTCAAACAAATATTGATTACTTTGGGGTGTGACTTTCTACAAGAAAATTATGTCTAGGGCTTCGTTTTTAGCATTTCTCTTGAGGCCCGCGGTGCAATTCAACTGACTCGGGATCCATATAATACCTGTGCCGGCTTTAAACATGGATTCCAAGCAAACATCCTAGGAGATCGGCCCCTCCTTCATGTGCTTTGCGTTCAATTGAAGAGAAGCAAGCTATACCCTACTTCCCATTTAGGTATCGACGTTGACCGCCTTGGCTTGCTTTGCTGTCTGCCAAGCTGCAATGCTACCTTCTTATCATGGTTTTGCTAGCAAAAAGCCTGTGGACGCTCGATTTGAAGTAAAGAACTGGATCCTGGGAGATACAGGTGTGCTACAAGCATGAACGTGAGGATGGGCTACTGCAGCAACCCTGGGATTTGCATATATAACCATGAGGAGGCGTCGAGGCCAGGGGAAAACACAGGTCTCTTGAAAAAAAAAAAGAGCAGCGTTGGTTTCCAATATGTCTGATTCTAAGCAGAATACACCCGAGGCTCAGCCAATGCTAAAGCGTATCTCTCAGGATTTACGATATCGCATTTGGTTTGTCTATCGAAGGATATTCTCTCTGGTTTGGCTTGCAAATATCGCAGTCCTTATTGCCTTCTTTTTGGTTCCAATTGATCGGACATGGCTAACAACTATTGCGTTGGTCAATCTCACAATCTCTATTGTTATACGTCAGGACTTTATTATCAATCTGATCTTCACGCTTTGCTGCGCCGTTCCCTTATCCTGGCCACTGGCAATTCGACGCCGAATGGCTCAAGTATACCACCTTGGAGGAATCCATTCAGGCTGTGCAACCGCAACTGTTTGTTGGCTTACTGGCTCATTCGCCTATAGCATCCGGAACCGGATACAGTCCTTCACTGCATGTTTCTTCAGTAGCAACCATCGTCCTCTCTGGAATCGCCTTGGCGATGCTCATTGGAATGGTCCTTTCTGCTTATCCCACACTACGCAAACTATACCACGACACATTCGAAGCCGTCCACCGATTCTTTGGATGGTCTGTACTTATACTTGTGTGGGTCCAGGTTATGCTTACAGTGAGGGACAACAAGCCTCCTCACCAATCACTTGGGGAAGCTGTTGTCTGCTCTCCAGAGCTATGGCTTCTCATCACCATTACCACCAGCATTGCCACTTCATGGACATTACTTAAGAAAGTCCCTGTTGACTCCGAGGTACTATCCGATCATGCTTTGCGGTTACATTTCCAATATACCAATGCCATTCGCGGAAGCTTCATCCGACTTTCTGAGCGCCCACTGCTCGAATGGCATTCCTTTGCAACTATACCCATCGCCACAAACGAGGATCAGAAAAGAGGATGCTCAGTGATTGTTTCAAGGGCTGGTGATTGGACTAGTCGTCAGATCAGCAAGCCACCGACTAGAATTTGGGTTCGCGGTATTCCCAGTAAGAGTCTCTGTTTCGTTATCTAGCTACACGCCAATAGCAAATGCTAAAGCTCGTTCAGCTATGGGAGTGATGCGAGTTGCATCCCTATTTCGAAGTGTTGTCTTGATTGGAACAGGGTCTGGTATTGGGCCACTGCTAGGACACGTACCCCCCTGTCGATTGCGGTTGATATGGTCGGCACCCAGTCCTCTCAAGACATTTGGTCATGGTATTTTAGACTCCGTCTATAAAGCTGACCCCGAGGCTGTTGTTTGGGACACACGAGAAAACGGTCGTCCTAGTTTGGTTGAGATTGCTTGTCATGCAATGCAAGAGATTGACGCCGAAGCTGTGATTATTATTTCGAATGAGACTGTCACACGCATAGTTGTGGGAGTAATGGAGAGGAAAGGTGTTCCTGCGTTCGGAGCTATTTGGGATAGTTAGATTGTCTAGCTGGAATATGGTCTTATAGATTGATTTTCTTGTGGAAGGAAGCTTTTAGTTGAAACTTGATGTCTCGAAGTCATATTGAATCTTGCCTAGCAATGTTTGAAAACTTGTTACCAGCCACCATAGCAAGGCCTCGGTTATGATAAGCTGCATGGCTGCCCCAGAAGCAAGCCCTCGTTCGCGGTCTCACTCATTGTCTCCCTCGTCGCCCTCTCCAGTCTCCGCGCGCTCTCCATCGTCGCGCTTAGGCCACAAGCCCTCAACATCCTCTCCAGGCCACAGTTTTGCGTAAAGTGCACGTGCAGGTTCCCAGTCATCGTAATCACCATCAGATCTGCACAATAGTTAGTAGGACGCCATCAACAGAAACGACGCGGTTCCGCCATACCCAACACCTATGTGCAGAGGCGCCAGCTTCCAAGCCCGGAGAATGATGCATGAAACGACTATGTCGTATGGCTTTCGCGCAGTCTTGCAGAAGCTCCATTCACCCGGCTTGCAAAGGCGGAAAGTCTCATGGCCGTCATCGCCGATACCGTTGAGGCCAATGCCTCTCTCGAGGTCCACAAGCACAGGGGTGATGATATCCTCCGGGGTGTACATCCCAGTGAGGGGAACACCTGCTTCCTGGATGATTTCGGGGACGTCTTCAATGAGCTGCCTCCAGGCTGCCCGCCATTCAGGCGAGTCCCAGTTGTTAACGTTGTAGTAATGGGTGTAGCTATCTTGTGTCAGTGGACTATGTACTAGAGCATCATAGCTTGACATACCCCATTTTGCCGATCAAGAGGACGAGCAGCTTTGGTTTGTGTTGGTTCGAGAAGTTCTGATAGGGGAGGTGGAAGGTGGGGAAGGAAGGTGTAGAAGTCAAGCAACAAAAACAAACTTATACGAAAGGCTGAGAATGAAGTGCGTAGATGGCAACACATTTAATTAGGCTGCAATGACGTTCGTTGAGCCGCTACTTGCGCACATCTGCAACTATCCGCGATACGTCACAATTGCCAGTCGAACATACATAACATCAAAGGAAACCGCTCTGCTGCCTACATATTGTATAATTCATCCCCACAGGGTCATCCTCGAAACGTCAAACAAGTCACTCAGGCTCCATTCAGGGGTTGGTGGTATGCCACACCATCAACAGTCGTTGTCAATGTGCCATTTGCCTCGAAGATATTTTCAAGAGCATTGATAGATAGATGGAATCCACCAGGACCGGTTATTTTGGTCGCATTCTCTGCTCCAGCTTGTAAGAGATCAGAATACCAGTCCAGATGATTAGCCCAGGGGTCTGACGCCGCTAATGTTACAGTCACCGACTCATGCCCATTGATGAAATGGATTCCGTCGTCTGAGTAATTCTTGTACTTCACGGACACGGTTTTGAAAGTGCCAAGCTTCGGGTCTTTCACCAAAGCCACCTTGGCAAAGCCACTTGATTGGCCGTTGAGCGTGAAGTTACCTGCAGGCAGAGCATAGGGTGTGGGCACACTTGCACCAAGTGGGAATGGAGTGGCCCACGGAATCTTATCCGGGGCGGCAAAGACAGGGGCCTCATCTGCAGGTTCTCGGTTTGAGAGGCGCGCCAGCATTACCCGATATGTTCGACCACCTTGTGCCGTGGATACCGGGCATGGAAGAGGATTCTCCCCTCCACACGCAGGGGAGACTACCAGACTCTGCCAGAACACGATGTGTGTGCCATCTGGGGAGAAGGCGGGATCGGCCTTGCCGTTCCAATTAGGATCGTTGACACTGCCATCGCTACCATCGCCTTTGTAGTTCACCTGTTGACCGAAGTACTCGCCTCGATCCCCATAACGATCAATCAAGATCGGCTGGAAGAAACGACGGGCGCCGTTATTGCGTGTTGACGCAGCCGCAGTAGTGGCGACGATATCAATCAAAGGGGGTACGTGGCGCATTCCTGACATCCACATTTGACGATCTGAGCCTCGGGTGTCCATCGTCACAAACCATCGATCATCGTGTGAAAATGCGACCGGGTCTGCGTATTCGGGATGACTAGTGAGACGGCGGACTGCGCCAGTAATAATGTGAACAGACATAATATCAATGTTGTTTGCCTCGCGTGTGGCTCCAATATACAGAATTTCATCTCCGGAGCCGGTGAAACCTCGTAGTTCGCCGACTGTGATAGCTTGGTCGTAGAGTGTCAACTCTGAGCCATGTGCCATTATGGGTGATTTTCCATTTGGTTGAACGAGTAGGTTCACATCCACTAGATCGTATCGAGGGACGCGAAGGGATCCACTCGTGGGATGTGGGTTGAACTGCAGTCGACCATAATAGGAATTTTCGCCGCCGGAAGTGAAGGAACTCCAGCCCATGTGAATATCGTCTGGGTGCATTCGCATTTCCCTTGGAGTACCGGAGCCATTTACGGATGTGGGCCAGTAAATCGGGTAGATATGTGTTTTGTTCGGAGAACATAGGTCGCTGACCAGTGGAATACCACCACAATCCAGAATATTGTGACCCCAGAGTGCCTGGCGAGCATTGCGAGCAACGTGAGGATAGTCCTTGGAGGGGTCAACAGATCGCGCATTCTCTGAAGGCACACCGCAACTTAGACATTTCCAGGGGTCTCCGTTGGTGAAATTTGTGCCGTCCGTTTTGACGAGAATGAGCTGTTTGTCTGTGTATATGCTGGCTGGATCAGGGGCCACAGGGGCACCGATGAATTCCACGGTGACAGCGACATGATTTCCATCGGGTGTGAAATCACCAGCTTGGAAGGAATCTGAGATTTTGCCAATACAACCGGTGCGATGGGGATTGATTGAGGCTGTACACGCGCCCTTGGCATTACCTGGAGCCACTGGTGGTAAGGGAAGCTCAACGGTTTCTATGAGTTCTGGCTGAGGAGGTGGTGGTGTATTTCCGGCCAAAGTAAGGGCGGCTGCACCGGTTATAGCAGAGAGGGTCCAGCGCATCTTGTGGGACAGGGCATAGGCAATAGTTGACTAAAGCAACTTTTCAGGGATAACGAGCTGTGGCATGAGCAGCTTTTAAAGCCCAGCTCTGACAAACCGAGGAAGTAAGCATTATGGTTCATAATGGAGCATATCAGCCAAGATGGCGATGGAAACGAGTACGAGCACTGAGTAGATCCACTCGTCCCTGATTATGACGTGCGGGTTACAGGAGATTCAACCCGTCTAGGTAACACTTTCTTCACATCAAGTGCTTCGAGAGGCTAGTGCATGGAAAAGTTGGTTGACGATCGAAGCTATACGCGTACCCGTATCCGTATACATTTCCCTTTTCGGAAGAACCAAAAATAACAAGGATTTCCACCTTTGCAGATCAGCTTGTGCAAATTCGAGCTTAGTCCAAAGATGAATAGCATGGATATAACATTTCTAATATATTCCCAGATCTTTGCCTATACTTGTTGCTATGCGTTCCAAGTGTGGGGTAAGAGATAAGCGGGAGCCAACTTGCCGAGGTCGGCAATATGTCTTCCATCTCCAGGGCTCATATCATTGAATTTCAGGTCTAGTCTTTCCGATTCAGAAGATCAGTAGCATGCAGTATCCTTGAAAATCACCACCGGAATGGACCCAGCCGCCATCCGTCGACGGAGGAGGCGAGTTGCCGATGAGAATCGGAAAAGGGCCCCTCGAGCGTATGCAGCTTCAAGGATCGGGATTTGGTGTATCCACTAACGTTATTACCCCAGATGCGATCGCTGCAAGGCGCGAAAAAGCAAGTGTGTGGAGTGGACCCCTGGGACGTGTCAGCGATGCTCTTCGCGCAATTTGGCCTGCCAGTTTGAAAGGTACGACTGATTTAGTGCAAGAGATAACCCCCTCTTAACTATTACACAGAGAGCGATCTGTTCCAATCAACGATCAATATCCACCCGCATCCAGTGAGCCGATTGAACATGGTGTATCAGCCTCCCTAAACAATGAGGTTTCTCGTCCCGTTGATTCCATGAATCCTCATGATTTACTCTCGCCATCCACGGTCTTGTCTCAAAGGCTCGCTGAGCATGTTGTCACAGGCCAATCCAAAAGAGTTCCATGGCCAAATATCTTATCCCGGCTTCGAGAGGCCTTCTCGCTAGATACACATGCGGCCCCCGAAGAAAAGGAGATGGTTGCAATGCAAGCTGTAAGTGAATGGTTTGCTCTCAACCCCAAAATGAGAGTACATAAATTGATAGTATGAAGCATATGGCTGGTCCAAAAGCACTTCATTCCTCTGAACTGGCACGGTTGCGTACTACAATAGACGCCTTCCCACCACGTCCGATAGCCGACTTCCTATTATCTGTCTTCATCAAGCACGCAACAGATACTTTCTTTTACTTCGATCAAGATCAGATATTGAATGAGATTGACCAGTTCTACAAGGATCCCAGTTCACCCCTGAGGTCTGATATAAGTTTTGTCTGCCTCGCAATGGCAGCATTCGCCCTAGGGAGTCAGTGGGCACCCCTCGAGAGACCACAGGAATCGGCCATCAGCCTCCATCGTGATAATGATTATTTGGGTCGAGCCTTCTATAACCATGCAAAGTCTCTCATTCCCGACATCGTTGACAGACCATGTCTCCGATCTATCCAAGCACCCTTTTTGCTGGGTGTGTATCTAATGCCAGCTAGTGCGATTGGATCGTCATACGTCTACATGGGGCTAGCTCTGCGCAAAGCGCTAGCATTTGATCTTCATATTGACCAAGACGATCAGGTGATTAATGACCGGGAGAGAGAGGTCCGACATCGGTTATGGTGGTCAATATATTCTCTTGAAAGGTTAGAAAAATATCGTTACCGAGCTAGATTGAATGGCTAACCAATAATAGGTGCACCACTGTCAAGCTCAACAGGCCTCGTTCTGTTGGTATCGACGTAATTAGAGTACCTCCTCCATCTCCTTTACCAGCACTAGATCGTCTACAGAAATATGACAATGTTCAATTTCAAATGGCGTACATCCGTTTGATCAGAATACTGGATCAGATCGCCGAGCCTGGGTATGTGACATTGTTTCAAGTGATAGTACATCTACTAACACCGGTTTCAAGAGGGTCATTAAATGAAGCGGCGGAGCAGTCACGCGCTGAAAGTTGGGAATCTGATCTTAGGCAGTGGAAGAAATCACTACCACCAGATTTCAAGATTGATACCATGCACCCGAAAGACTCAAGATACCGCACAATCTTTCACTTATATCTCAACTATTACTATGCATGGATTACAATGGGTAAAGTAGCACTTGTGACCGTCGCCCGAACGAGCCCTCGCAGTTATTTACAGCCATGGTCAAAGCCGTCTGAACCAAGTGACCTCATTGTGAGGCAATCCCGATCCTGTGCAAAGGCAGCCAGGAAACTTCTCCTGTTATTTGAAAATCTCACGAGCACCGGCAAGATCACTCGCTTCTCATTCACGGACTTTCAAGGATGCAGCATCGCAACCATTGTGACACTGGTGGCTGGGATCATGGAACGTGACTCGGGGTATGAAGCCCGAGTTACATTTGGCCTTGATTGTCTCCGCAAGATGGCCACTGGGAATATCACAGCTAAAATGGGAGTGAAGTTTGTTGAGGCCATGCAGTCTATAACAAACGAGGCTGCGGCCAAAATCCATCGAGCATCATCTATCCACACAGAAAGCACATCGGATGCTCAGAGCTCAGCTTCTGCATCTGAGTACCACCAATGGGCCGCATGGCTCGCTGAGATGGAACCTTCTCAGACAGAAGAACAAGGCGTTATTCCCTACAGAGGCATTGAGGTAGAGCCCAATGTGCCATACTCAAACACACCTCTGTTGCAGTTAGGACAGTCAAATGTCCCGAATATCTCTGGTTGGAAGACTCCACATGACCCAATTGTTTCGGAAAATTTGCTTCTTCCCCCAGACGTCGCACCTGGATCAACGATGGCGTGGGGAATACAGTCCACAGATGATGATCACTTGTCGGCTCTGCAAAATGATGACCCAGCATTCCTCATGGGTCTGACTGGGTTTGATCTTTTGGATTTCTCCGGCTTGACATGACCCATGAACGTGTGTATACCAAGCACATTCGTCTGTTATAGATTGAAAAATCTCATTTCAATATCAGAATGCATGTGTCATAATACTAAAGCACCAACACCAACAACATCCAAGAACAATCTAGGCCATCAGTCCTCTCACAACCCCCTTGGCACGCTATCCTCGCAACCCTGGCCACCGCAAATCAAAAGATTGCTACGGCTCTCAGGAACTCAATGTGGGCAGGGTCAACGTCATTTCCAAACCAACCTTGGCCGACCTATCCGAGTACGCATTCCCCGGCTGGATTTACGTGGGTGCGCCAACCGTCCCGCCCTTGCAGGCACTAATGGCCAATCCCATCCTGGTCCTCTACTCTTCACGAGCCCGCATCCGCCGTTCAGGAACTAGATGACATGGAGCCTGTCCTTACTTGTTCCGACTGTTGCGCCCAGCTGTCTAACGCTGCTTCCACGGAGGGCAATACCGTGGATATCACAACTGATTCTTTCTTGACCACCGACTGGCTGTGGGACCTGGATACCACTTCCATACCACTTGCATATTAACAACCGCAACCCGACGCACTCGAAAATGGGCAAAAAAGTGGCGAAAAAAAAAAAGGCTAAAGTAGGGCGAAAACAATGTATGAAATTGAATACTCGCTTCAAGGCTTCTGTATAAAGACTGTCCAATACTTCTTCAGTGACACTGTATATACGTTATGGCCCCCGTTGTACCAATGATTAAATCATTGAACTCGAACAGGAATCTGACCATTCTCAAGCAGCGCATTCCATCTGCTCTTGTAAACACGACCATCCTTCATAACCCCAAGAACATGTTCGTCAGGTCTATCAAAAACAGTAACATCCTCCAGCGGATTCTTATTCAGAACCACAATATCAGCATAGAAGCCCTCCTTAATCTGACCAATAGCATCCTCCCAACCCATCATCTTCGCCGGGTTAATAGTGGCACTGCGCAGGACCTCAATAGGCGTTAGAACCTGCGATCGCAAAGCAAATTCATGCGTCTGTGCTGATCCCAATGGTCCTAGCAAATCAGACCCATAACACATAGTGACACCAGCCTCCGAAGCAACTCGCAAAGCGTCAAGCCCAGATTTCAGCACAACCTGATTCTTCGTTTGGGATTCAATAGGCAGATAATGCTTCCATTTCTCCGATGCCATTTGGGCATACGCGATAAGTGTAGGTGTCAAATAGATACCCTTCTCAGCCATGATCTTCGCGGTAGGCGGGTCAACGAAGTTTCCATGCTCAATGCCGCGAACCCCATTATCGATACAGTGCCGAATAGCCTTGACGGTGTACGCATGAGCCGTGACGAAAGTCCCAGCATTATCGGCACATTCCACCATAGCCTGGATCTCCGCAGCGGTAAATTGAAGATGTTCCAGCTTATCCGTGGGAGAAGCCACACCGCCAGAACCCATGATCTTAATGAAATCAGCACCACAACGAATCTCTTCGCGAACAGCAGACATGCATTCCGGTACGCCGTTGCACATCCGACCGAGATGGTTGTTGCTATGGGTACCGCCACAGCAGCCAGTAGCTTCATGCGATCCGCGCAGATCACCATGTCCTCCAAATTGGGACAGCGCATGGCCAGAAAGGAAAAGTCGAGGTCCTGGAAAGACGCCGTCCTCGATGGCTTCTTTCAGGGCAAGTTGCGCACCGCCACAGTCGCGTATGCTGGTGAAACCGCGGTGTAGCATCTGCGATGCCGTGTATGGCTGTCGCAGGAGGTGTACATCATTCGGGTTACCGAAGGCTTTGGATAAATCTGTGAAGCCAGGGACTGCACATAGATGGACGTGCGCGTCGAAGAGACCTGGGCAGAGGTATTTGCCTTGGCAGTCCACTGTTTCGAAGTCGGCTGCTAGTACGGACTCGGGTGGATTTGAGCCGACGTAGGCTATTTTACCCTCGATTGTTACTAGCGTTGAGTTCTCTTTGATTGTGGCGGATTCAATGTCCACGATGTTGGCGTTGGTGAACTTGTATCCCTTTGGCGCGGGGCGGGTCCATGGCTTGATATCGGACCCGGGGAGGTTGGTTTGTGACATAATAATTGGGTGAGAGATTGAAAGATAGAAGTTTAAGTGAATGAGTAGATAACAAGACAAGATATTGGTGTTTAAGTAGACAAGAACTGGTGAGGTGTATCGCGGCAAAGTGTCCATGGCAGATACCCGACACCATCGGCCCGACGACATCGCTTTATCAACTCCGCATGGCTAAATGGCTGATCTTCCTTCAATTGGAGATAAGCCGGTAATGCATAAATATGAGGAGTCCGGGGTCATTTGCCATATGTTATACCCGTCTTCTCTGTGTACACTCAAAGTTGAGTTGTTTTACGAGTCATCCCTAGCTTCTCTCCTCGACTGAATGCAGCAGTGTCTACAAGCGACTAACATCCAAGACCACCACCCCATCTCGATGGACATTTTAAAAGAGCGCGCCCGGAGCAGCGACAATGCTGATCGTACAGATGGTGAGATGCTCGAATTGAGCGGTGCTTACACCGTGGAGGAAGAAAGGGCGGTTCTTCGGAAAATTGACATGGTCATCCTTCCATTTGTAAGGGATATATGTCGTTGCTCAAATGTGATTCTAAGTTTGCTAACCTGTGCGATCTTAGATGTGTTTCGTCTTTTTCCTGCAATATCTCGACAAGCAGAGCCTCAGCTATGCTGGTGTATTCGGTCTCATCGAAGATCTCAATATGACGAGCTCACAGTACTCGTGGTCTAGCTCGATCTTCTACGTTGGCCAACTTGTCTCCGAGTACCCTTTCATCTACTTGATGAGTCGACTTCCATTGACCAAGTTTGTCGGTGCTACTGTGTATGTCTCACACGAAAGGGATCCATCTTTCTTTTATCCCCTGTTTTATTCTTGCATTTCATATTCTAACTCCCCGTATACAGAATTGTCTGGGGCATCGTATGTATGTGCCTCGCAGCTCCAACTAATTTCGCGGGGTTCGCCGCTGTACGATTCCTTCTTGGCTTCAGCGAAGGCGCCGTCTCTCCCGCCTTTGTTACAATCACAAGTATCTGGTACCGGAAGAAAGAGCACAACATCCGCACAGCATTATGGATTACCATGAATGGCCTAGCCCAAATAATTGGCTGCTTCCTAATGTACGGCATCGGCAAGAATACCTCACTTTCTATCGCGCCCTGGCGTATTTTATTTATCATCTGTGGTGCCATAACCGTCCTTGGAGGCGTTGGATTCTTTATACTCATGCCCAACGGACCTAAGGATGCGTGGTTCCTTAGCGCTCGTGAGAGAGAGGTTCTCTCGCTGCGCATGGCAGAAGATCGGGAGGGTGGTGACAAAACGTCCTTCTCTATGGTACAGTTCAAAGAGACACTCATAGACCCAAAATCATGGGTTGTCTTTTGGTTTGGCGTTCTGGTTTGTATGCAATCGCCTGTGTTGACCTTCGCATCTCTTGTGATCAAGTCTATAGGCTATAGCAAGCTTGAGACTATGCTCTACACAGCTCCGTCGGGAGCTGTGCAGATCGTTCTGTTGTGGATCGGAGCAGGTCTAGTGTATATTTTCCCGCATCAACGATCACTGGTTGTCCTCGCTCTAATTATTCCGCCTCTTATTGGCACTGTTTTCTTGATGAAGTTGGATGTTGCTGCCCAATGGGGCCTTATTGTTGCTTCATGGCTGGTACGTTATTTCCGCATATAATCGTCTTGATCGGAGCTGTCACTAATTTTTCTACAGGCTTCTTGCATTACGGCTTCGATGACAATTCTTCTTTCATTGGCGGCCTCCAATTTCAAGGGCAACACAAAACGCGCCATCGTGAACGGCATGTTCTTCATTGGGTATTGCGCGGGTTGTATTGCTTCGCCTCAGCTGTGGACACACAGCCCTCGCTATACCTCCGGTGTAATCACGTCAATTGTGACGTGGTGTCTACTTTTCTGCGTGGTTATTCTTTTCCGCTTCCTATGTATGTGGGATAATAAGAAACGCGATGAGCAGGCAGCGAACTCGGATCCAACGAGTATAGACCAACATGTTGCGCTGGATGAGAACGGCCTTCCTCAGACAGATCTTACGGACAAACAGGATCGGGAGTTCCGTTATGTATGGTAATTAAGTGGAGTTGATGATTTTGGAATGTGATATTAGCAAGTGTGTTTTCTAAAATTATTGGTACATCCATATTTTTCAACGGTTACAGCAAAGTGAACATTTGGAGTGGGCGTGATACAGCTCACAAAAACATCCATCTCACGAGTAATACGGCTTCAATCGTGTGTCTCGCTTAGGGCTGCGCAATTGCAAAACCCACAGTATTATCGGCGACATTATGATCTATATAGTTCCAATGGAAGAAAGCTAAAATGACACGTTTGCTATCATTGTCATCTCGAAAGGTGTTTGAATAACTTACTAACGCTGGCCAACTATCCACAGTCCAGGATAAGTGATCTCGCTTGTTCCGGATATAATGGCTGTGCATTTGTTGTTCCCATTGTCTTCCGCAATCCATTGGTCCCGCGCGATATTGAAAACGGAACACGGGATTCCTCCAAGTACCGTCCCGATTGAGTGCATGAAACAGCTCTAAACGCCAGCCAGACTCTTGGACTACAGCCACGAACTTGTTGGTTGTCTCGTTGCCTTCTGCCGCTCGACCGATATCGTTATATAGCTCGATTGATGAGGACTTGATGGAAGTAGAACCGCTCCACATCCTCAGAGACAGTCCACTTGGGCAGAGGCCCTTTGTAGAGAAGATCACGGATAGCGCTTAATGTTGTATGGAAGGGGGCTGTGATGAGTTTTGCAAGGGAACCTTCGAGGAATCAGCGCATCCGAACCGAACTTGTCTGACAGACTGTTGTCCTTTCTTTCCGCGCTGTTTCCTGGCCATTTTCAATAATGTTTACGACACCATTTGGAACATATGATAAGCAGTCCAATTGGATAGAATCCAGACTTACGTCTGTTAAACACAGTTTGTTCCATTGTCAGTGGTCGACCGCTCGTATCTTCAGTGCATTTGATTGCATATAGTTCTATAACGTTCGAGGCCAAACATTGTATTTGGCAGAACGTCAACTCGCTAATTCTTATCACCATTCGTCCACCTTGCCCTCAAACTATGAGCTGCCGCCTTTGGCTTTCGGTCACGCGTGAAAACACCCTTCTTGTTACCATCTACTCGGATGACACCCAAGTTGGTCTGGAAATCCGCGAAGTTCCAAACATGCTCGCCTGCCATCGACTCAATGCGATCAAACACTCGATGGTACATGTCTAGCATTTGTACCTGGAACTCTTCGCTCCAAGGCAGTGCGAGGATAGAGTGAAGACCTGCAAGGGTATCTGCACCATATTCGCTCATAATGATCGGCCTGTGGAATTTCTCTTGCCACCCACGCAACTCCTTTTCAAGAGCTGCCTCTGCTTCCTCAAGGTCTCCTGTTTGAGAATACCATCCGAAATACCGATTTATGCAACTAACATCAAACAGATCAGAGATCCGATCTAGCTGATATGTTGCAGCGCCGACATTAGCAAATGTAATAGGGCGAGTTGGATCAAGCTGACGAGTCAAATTGGCCAGTGGCTCGAAGTATTCGCGAGCCCCATCTTCCTGAGATGCAGGCTCGTTGGCAATAGACCACATGACAACACTGGCATGGTTTTTGTCTCGGGCAATGAGCTCACGAATCGCCTGCTTGTGGGCCTCTTGGGTCTTATCGTTAATCCCATCTGGCGTAAATGTTTGTGGGGCACCACTCTCAGATACACCCATCAAGGCAATGTTCAGACCCACGGCAGGAGTTTCATCGATCACGACAATTCCATTTCGATCTGCGAAATCCATGACCTCTTCTGCATAAGGGTAGTGTGAAGTCCGGAAAGAATTTGCTCCAATCCATTTCATGAGTTGGAAATCGTGAACCATATATGCTGGGTCATGTCCTTTGCCACGTACTGCTGTGTCTTCATGCCTGCCAAAACCGGTAAAGTAGAAAGGCTTGCCGTTTATCAAGAATTGTGACCCGGAAATCTTGACAGTACGCACGCCCGTAGCCAAATTATAGGTGTCGACTACATCGCCGCTAGAATCCACGACGTTGACCTGGAGTTGGTAGAGATATGCGGCGCCAGGTTGCCATAGCTTGACTGAGGGAATTGTGACAGTACCCTGAGCTCCCGAGGCATTTGCAACAATAGCTCCATCCTCGTCGATCACTGAGATCTGGATCTGCCCCGTCGTCTGGTTCGCCACTTCGACCTCGTAGTTGATCAGACCATTGTCACCATCAACATCTGTAACCACAGTAATATCCTGGATATGTTGCTGGGGTACAGAATAAAGCCAGATAGATCGGGCGAGACCGGCATAGTTGTAAAAGTCATGTTGATAGGTCTGGATTCTCTTGCCAGTCGCGTTCGCTGTTGTGATTTCTCCTGGTGGGATAGTCTCATGGGTAAGCTCGTTGTTGACACCAATCGTCAAACGAAATTTCTCTCCAGGGACGACCAAATCAGTGATGTCGGCTTCAAAAGGTGTATAGCCGCCCACATGCTCCGCAACAAGCCGGTTGTTGACATAGATGCGACCATGGTGTGTAGCGGATTCGGCTCGCACAAGATATCGCTCCTGAGACCAGCCTTTGGGGACAATGACCTCACGCTGATAGTAAACCCATCCCACATGGTCGTGGATCTCCCGGCTGATGAAAATGTCATTGTAAGAGGCCGGGACTGGACATTCAAGACCTTTGGGTAATGGCGCTGTCCACGGCTGGGCCGTGTCATTGGGGCCAGATGCGAGGGCGAATTTCCATAGACCATCAAGGTTCACAAGGTCTCGAGATGAAGTTCGTTGGGGCCTGATTTTGATCAAGGGCTGTTCATTTTGGGTCATTTCATTGCGTGGAAAGTGCCGAGCTGCAGGTGTACCCAACGATGGAGCAGCAAGAGATAGCAGCGACAATCGCGTAAGAAATTTCATTGCCGCTTTTATCAAGGGGTAATTAACACAGCCACTGTTTATCCAATGAATTAGTATAAGTTGATGAGGGTATCATATCTGGCTGCACTTAAGCATTTATATAGTTTCCCAGACGACGCATCGGCAATTGAGTCGTTTTCACCGGTGACTGATGAGCTTGGCATGCTATCAGAGCGGTCTCACACGTGGTAAGATAGAGGGTAAGATGTGGGGTAAACATGAGGTCCATCGGTTTTCAGATTAGATCGATGGCCATTGAATTGTGCCAAGGTGCCAAGACCGGGGTAAGTAGCATTCCTCTCCGCATTTATGCTTCCAGTCAATTCCAGTCAACCCCTTCGGCAATTAACTTGCTTTTCCCCGCCACGGCTATTGACTACCTTGGCAATTCTAGGGCGACGGGGATGTGGGGGTGGTGGCTGTTGCCTCATGTTGATCAAGTATACCCAGCATACAGCTCATCGAAGTATTAGTTCCGTGATCTAAGCGACTGGTGGTATATTCCATAGTCTTTAACCTCGGAACAGAAATAACAAAATCATAGAGAATACCGCCATTGTAGAAAAATACAAAGACTTTCTTGAAGCCGTGATTTCAAGACCAGGAAAGGTAACCCCGAAATTCACCCGACGAAGCCTATGGAGGTTTGGGTCTGGAAAATCTTTGCCGCTATTAGCAAGCCGTTCATATCTCTAGCCAGGTGAGTTTACCGCGTTCAATAGGAATACTTAGACAGTGGAAGACCTCGGCACGAGGTACGATTGGCCGATCCCAGGTGAGCGAACCGTGCGGGCCATGAGGGGACCAGAGCTCAAGTGCCGCTCCGCCAAAGTGACCCTAAAACCACGGGCGTAGTCAGAAAACAACCAGAGAATATATCTACGTGTCTGGAGCGATCTCTACCAAGTAACCAATTACTATTGCCTTAGGGCTCGTGTTGCTTTTTAAGTATTACTCTACATAATTCTATAGCTTGTCACGCGCATCCTATACTCTAAAGGGGAGGTCGTATATGGGCACAGTCTCTGGCCTGCCACTTGCCCGAGGATGAAGATTTAGATAATGCGGCCTTGGGTGAGCTGATGTGGGGTGAAACTGCTGGGTCACCGGCGTGGAAGAAGGATCATAAAAGTGAGGATGAGAAGGGACATTGTTGTTTCACTTCATTGGACGTTGATAAGCCTTCCACGACGAAGTTGTATGCTTGAACACCTACGCGAAGTCCAACATTTTCATTTTCACCCCAACACTCCAAGCCCCAATCAACCCGAATTTACTATCCAGGTAGAGCTTCCCGCGGCCCCAATTAGTTACTACTTGTAACTTGTCTTCTGTCACAAACCCTTTCCAAACATCAGTTATTAGATCCCATAGTTACCTGTGGAGAGTCGCCATCTACACGTTAACCTCTTCACACTACTTACTTTCTTCGTCTGTCGAAGTTCTGATATTGACCTCTTCCCATCTTTTGTATGATAAAGGGGCTTTCGAGCGTTAGAATAGCTCATTTGTTTTTTATACTATAGCAACAGTGGGACACAAAGGTGGCCGACAATACTTGTTGTGAGAAGGGAAACTTACCTTGGAGTTGCCACCTCGGGATCGGGTACATAAGCCACACGCCGGTAAATTAGTAATTAGGTAAGTTACCACTAGCGAATCCTTACTGTTGCATGTTTTTGTTGGGCCCTTTGCTGCTTTTGTTTGCTGCCTCCATATCTCGTCCGTTTTTGTTACTCTTCCTAGACCGTATTGGCTTGAGCCTGTGTTAGGGAGGTGAGAGGAGGTTTCGCAAAATAAGTGGTTTTATAACAATAAACCCTTCATAACGAAAATTATATATACATGAGAGACAAGCTGTTGCTCTGTCTAATACAACATACACACACTATTGCATGCCTACTCTCGACATGGAAATAGTTTAGATCTTTCCCTTAATGATATCGGCGGCACGTTCGGCAACGGCATACACCGTGCTCTGCAAGTGACCACAAACCTGGAAGGGTATAATAGAAGCATCAACAACACGAATGTTGGAGGTTCCATAGACCTTGAGCGAAGTGTCAACAACACCACCGAATTCCTTCGGCATCATAGCAGCAGTGCTGATGGGGTGGAAGTTCGATCGGTCTAATAAATAGTTAGAAATAGCCCTCTTGACAATGAGAATAACTGGATGGAACATACAGTTCTGCTTGATGAAGTTAGACCATCCCTGGTCATCAGCACCAGCAGCAACAACAGAGAGACCGGGACTGGTCTCATTGCCGGCCATGTCAGCGAACGGCTCGGTCTTGAAGAGCTCGCGAATGAAACGGGCCGCCTGGATTTGAGCATGGAGATCGAAATCCAACATGAAGTACTTCGGGTCAATAGTAGCTGCGACGGTAGGGTCGGCAGAAGACAGGTGAACGTTTCCACGAGAGAAAGGAACAGAGCCCCAGTATTCGGTGTCATATGTGTTTCCAAAGGGCTCGAGCAGGATCTCCGCGACAGGAATTCCAGCCTTAAAAATCAGATCCCATTGGATCTTGAAGAAGCGCTGGATATCACTGGCCTTGGTGATGTTACCGTTGGCGGAGGCAACCTTGGCTGCGTAGGCGGGAAGCTTGCGAAGGAGCTTGGCGCCGACGGCGGTGGAGTTGGGGAATAGCTGAGAGGCCGATGGGTAGGCGACGTAGTCGGCGCTCTTGCTGTAGCTTGTCTTAGAGTCGTACTGGAGTCCGTTGTTCATCTGGTCTTGGAGGTTCTCGCCAACGGTCGGCAGGTTGATCTTGGTGTCGATGCCGTACTTAGCAAGGATGCTATCGTAAATCTATATGTTAGCTCTGAGGGATATAGATTAGAATTTGAGATCCTTACTCAGGGTTGCCAACTCCGGAGAGCTCAAGCAGAACAGGAGACTTCAATGCGCCAGCAGCAAGGATGACCTCACGAGTGGCCTTCACCACGGCGGTGGTACCGTTGGAGAGAGTGACCTCGACACCATCTGCAATAGCATCTTCGCCATCCTTCCAGGTAATCTTGTTGGCATGGGTTCTTAGCCAAACATGGAGGTTGGTTCTGTTTTGGTAAGGGTAATAGTAGGCGCGAGCGGCATCCTCACGGATGTTCAGCTCAGAGTCCACAGTCTTGGGGAACAGGCTGTATCCAACCATATCTCCACCGTTGGGGTCCTTGTTGTAAGGAACGGGCACATCGAGGTTCTGGTAGGTAGTGTTCACCTCCTGGGCGAGACCATCGTTCAACTGAGTTGAAGACCAGCCGACCTTTAAAGGGCCAGTGAAGCCATGGTAGGCCGGGTCATAGGTAACTCCAGATCCATTCAAGAATGAATACTTCTCAGGAGTTTGGAACTGCTCTCCCTTGCGGAAGTAGGGGAACAGGCTCTTCCAGTTCCAGCCCTTGTTACCGACTGTCTCCCAAGCGTCAATTTGGGCAGTCTGTGCACGCAGATACACCATGCCGTTGATGGTGGATGTTCCTCCAAGTGCCTTTCCGGCGCGCAATGTTTGGGAGATCCCACCGCCATACTCCTGCTTTGTTGTCTCGTAGGCCCAGTCGATGTCCGTTCCAAATGCTTTGCCGTATCCGAGGGTGTCCGTGACATTCTCGTTGTTATATACCGAGCCTCCAGCTTCGATGACGAGGACATTGATGTTCTCTTGCTCGGATAGACGGTTGGCGACAACCAGGCCACTGGTTCCACCTCCGACGACAATGTAGTCGTATTGTGTCTCTGAGCTGCGAGATGCATGAGGAACTGCAGCTGCTAGAGGAAGCAGTGCAAGGCTGATGAGGTTGCGCATGACTTATGGCGCTTGCTATTGAGAGATGCAGAGTATGTTTTGAAATTTCAGGTACAAGCAGTGCTGCTACGCAGATCAATTTATACCCATTTCTACATGCATCCTGGGTACTGAACAACACCAGCAATGATTTACAAGCATCGGATCCACAGCCCATCTCAGGGACCTACTGAACCAATTGTGAGACTAATCTATAACTAAAAAGTTAAATCCGGAACAAGTGAGTATGGGAATGGTAACTCAATTGGGTATATCGTGAGGGAACATCTGATCCACTTCGGCTCAAAGTATGGCTAGCCAGATGAGAAAGGTGAATATTCCGCTGCTACCGACATCGGATTAACCTTACAAGAGCTGAATAGACTAAAATGAAGATCTGGCCCTTTTACGGACTCCGTGCGGTGGATCAAATCCGACGGATTTGCTCTTTAAAACCAAACCCTTAGTATAGCGCCGCATCTTGGTCATCTTTAGTCAGGGTTAGACATGCATCTTGGCAACATATAAAATGACAGTAATCCCTGCAATAATCGGGATTATTAATGATCTCACGCCGATCTTGTTCGGGATAGGAAAGAAGCCGGGTGTGCCGAATCTTTTGGCACTCGGCATGCCTGAAATATGCAGGGGTTGCCCGAGTTCGACGTTTCACCGGATTCTAGAATAGGGGCTATGTCCATATTAAACTCAGTTTTAGTAGATCAGCCCGGATTTCCGAACAAACGTATATGGACTGCACCCTGCGCCTCGGAGTGTATTGCTTTTTATGGTTATTGGTCCAGTGTTCTTCTCTTTTTTCTCGTTTTGGATCATTGTCCACCTATTCGCAATGCCAAAAGCAAAAGGCCTCTGAAACCTTTGGCCATTGATACAATATATTTGTAAGCACTTAGTCCAAACATTCCGCCCCACAGCGGAACTCTTAACACTAGGCTGTGCAATGCCAAGAAACCGTTAAGGGGTGAATTTTCTGTTTTGTTTACATAATTGGCAAGATGACGAAACTTTCAAAAGTTCTACCCTTTTCCATTTTGGCAAGATCTGATAAGATCCCGCGGTGTGGAGATCAGAATTTCTTGACCTGGAAGGAACGGATCTATAAGTATTCCCGAGTGGCGTCATCTTCATGTGGGCACGGTGTCTGACCTCATCACGATGATTCCTACTCAATTTTTTCTTAGCACAACCTCCATCAAAAGCTTGTTGGAAGGCCTGAGCACACTATATCGGCAACCAGCGGCTCAAGCGTAATATGTAGAAACAAAATGTCCGGTTTACACACGTGGTAAAATGACCGTCATTTTAACTTTCATTTTTGTTGAATACATGTAAAGTACTGTGTTTTTGCAGAATTTCAATAGGTTACATCTTTTATCTATAGAAGCTATATTTATAGTTAAACAGCAAGAAGATTCTAGAATCCCAATCTAAAATAATGTCCAAGACAATCATTCTGGTTCATACAAGAATAAATTTTGAAGGGAGCTCAAGAGAGAGAGCAACTCTTAAAAAAAAAAAAAAAAAACCAGCAGGGGGAAACCCTGTTTCGAAGTACGAAGGGATCAGTTCGCCTGTCTCTACAGTGCTGAAGGGAGTGATGCGGGGTCCCACTAAGCCATATCTTGGCATTTGCTTGATTTTGAAGTGATTGTTGAAACTACATATCAAGCTGTTGCTGTAAGTACAATATGTACAGAAAATATATCTCTTTTCATAAAACATGTGACCGTCAAGCGGTTCAGTGTCTGAATCTCCACTCATTTTCCATCATGCTGGTAACTTGAAATTTGGAGATTTCTTGCTTGGTATGCCCCGGAGAAGTTGAGCTGTGGCATTCTAAAAGAGGGGAATGTGAGACCTCTTTCACGTAATCGATTAATCAACGTGCTGCCAGGTGGAAGTGATGGAGGCATGGCAGTGGTCTTTGGGCTCTGCAGATAGTCAGAAATGAAATTTCCTTCGGTGCTGGGACTCAGCGGACCTTCTCTGCACGGGGACGCTGTGCAATAATAAGACCAATCTTGGAATCAAACATATTCCTCGGATGGAGTAAATTATTGAGAGATTGAAATGATTCTGGCAGCGTAGGTACAACAAGGTCACAAGCATTTTAATATACCCATCGCCCTGTATGACCACATTGCACAGGAGACTGGCAGTAAAGGCATCTGGCCAAATGCTCAAAAACTGGACCAACTTGCCGAGAACTACATCATTGTGTGGAGAGCCTACGCTAGTATTCGGCATTTAAGAGTATGATGTGCGCATATCGTAGAGGGTAGGTGAAGATCACGAACCCTTATTAAGCGGAGGGTAGGGTATGTCTTTTTCCTTGACTGACTGCTGATTTCAAACCCCGGCAATTTTGCATCTGATAAGATGAGGAATCTAAGCTCAGCCGCTACTGAAGATCTTGATCACTGGCTGTGGTCCATCACTGCCGTTTTAGGATTGCCGACGCGTTAGCTTATGGCTTGATCAACCTAAGGATGTGGTTGAACTAAGTTTCGAAATTTTTACGTTATTTGGAAAATGACAGGGGCCCACCAGGTTCAGTATGTATCTCAAACAGGCCTGCAGTAATTTTGAAACGCATTGATCTTCTTGTGACAGATAAAAAAGACCCCGCGGGCCTTTCAATTAAAAGATCATCCGATATTTGGTCGCACGATTTTGGGTTGTTGAAACAAAGGATTCTTCTGTGAAACCAAGTCCAAGATTATCGTTTTCTTGTTCTCAAAATTGAGTCTGTCCTTTGTCCAAAATGACTATAGTTCAGTTGCCCAATGGCGATAGTGGCCACAAGCACACATCTATTACTTCAACCGATGCTCTTATTATTGGCACTGGGCCAGCAGGTGCATCTTTGGCATGCTTCCTAGCCTACTATGGTATACTCAATATGATATCAACTGTCAATATTAAAATGAAACGCTCACAGATTCGTCCATAGGCATTCGTGGAATCATGATCAGCGCATGCCCTGCGACCGCGGATACTCCACGGGCTCACATCACAAATATGGCTGCAATGGGTACGTTTTCCAAACATGGTACCAAGTTATAGCTGACGAATACTGATAAAGAGTGTCTCCGTGATATTGGTCTCGACAAAGAATGTGAACGTCTTGCGACCAATGGCATGAACATGATGCACACCCGGTGGGCATATAGCATGGCGGGAGAGGAATATGCACGAATTTATTCGTGGGGACATGATCCAAAGCGAAAGGTGGGCTCACTTTAGGTCAGGATTGGGCGATTCTTAGTCTAACCATAGTTACAGGGAGACTACGAAACCGCCAGCCCCTGTGATCCTGTCGACCTCCCGCAAACCATTCTCGAACCGATTCTTGTTCGGAACGCAACGCTCAACGGTTTTAAGTGCCGCTTCGATACACAATTTGTGAGCTTCACACAAGATGAGGAGGGCGTCACATCCACACTTAAGGATGGCATTACTGGAGCTCTATACCAAGTCCGCTCCAGATACCTCTTTGGAGCAGATGGCGCTAGAAGTGAAGTTTTTCGACAAGCAGAGCTGCCTTTAGACGTGCGGCCAGATCAGGGTCTTGCATTTAATGTGCATTTGAAGGCGGATCTATCCAGCTATATGCAATACCGCACCGGAAATCTTCACTGGCTTTTGCAGCCAGACAAAGAACATCCTCTTTTTGGTTGGGCTTGTATTGCAAGAATGGTGAAGCCCTGGGATGAGTGGTTATTCATTGTTCTGCCTGAGCGCGGAAAGGAGATGGAATGCAATCCCTCAAATGAGGAATGGGAAACCCGAATGAAGGAATTTATTGGGGATGATGCAATTTCCACTGAGATATTGGGTGTCTCAAAGTGGCGCATCAATGATGTTGTTGCGGAAAAGTTCTCTAAAGACAGAGTGTAAGGCTCGTTTCTATTACTTGCTTGGGGATAAGCTGATCACGCCATAGGTTCTGTCTAGGAGATGCAGTCCATCGACACCCACCTTCAAATGGACTGGGCTCTAATACATGCATTCAAGATGCTTATAACCTGGCATGGAAAGTTGCACATGTTCTCAAAGGTTGGTGAAACTAAATCCGACACAAGTCTCATCTAAACCAACAGCATCTAATTTACCTATTCAGGCCATGCATCACCTTCTCTACTTGAGACTTACTCAGTCGAGCGCCAGCCAGTTGGCCGCGGTGTCGTCACCCGCGCAAACCAGTCATTCCGTCACCACGGCCCAGTATGGGAAGCACTAGGAGTGGCACTTCCAACGCCAGAGTTGCGAACAGAAGCTCTTCACGAGCTAACTCTACGAACTGAGAAGGGCCGTGCTCGTCGCAGCAGACTGCAAGCCGCAATCGAAGAGACAGAGCACGAGTACCATGCCCTTGGCACAGAAATGGGCCAGTATTATCAAAGCACTGCAGCATACTCTTCAGATGAGAAAGAGTCATTCTACAGCCCAGAAGTGATGGCCAAAGATCCAGATCTCGTTCTCACGCGAAGCACGTATCCAGGATGTCGTCTCCCTCACGTCTGGCTCAATGATGCCATTCCCGTGCAGCGTATTTCGAGCATTGATCTGGCCGGGCATGGTTACTTCACCATTCTGACCGGTATCGGAGGTGAGGCTTGGAAGACTGCAGCTTTGCAGGTCGGGGCTGGCCTTGGTATGAACATTAAGGCATACTCCATTGGTTTCCGTCAGGACTATGAAGATGTGTACTTTGACTGGGCGCGTGTTCGGGGTGTTGATGAGACTGGGTGTATTCTTGTCCGACCTGATCGAGTTGTGGCTTGGAGATGTCACGATGTACTCGCCGACCAGGCCCAGTGTATGTCCAAACTACGAGACGTCATGCTCAGTATTCTAGGTCGGCAATCATAGATTTGGGTCTCAATTTCGCTAGCGAATTAATATTTGAAGAAAAATTTCGTAAATTTGAATGACAGATGCAAGTATAAAAGTTAATCGACATCAAGAGTAAATGCATGGCCTACATAGAAAGACTTTAGACTAGCTTGTCTTACCTTTCTGCCATGCGCGGGCATCCGATGGCGGATAAACATTCTGCAACACGCCTGATATGCAACAGAGGCCGCAACAACTAGTACTTCAGCCTGTGACACTCTATTTTCACTTGAATAACTATGAACGGTAATATCACGTCAGTACCTGTGACAATTTTCGGCTGATGCAGGCCATTCCGATGCCGACTCAAGAAGCCGACCCAATTATTAGTGGGTCAAACTGATTATCAGGCCTATGAACGGGGTCTTTCTCCTTTTTTTCACTGGATGAAAATATAATTGCCTGCAAAATGATGAGCGTTTTCTTCAGTCTTCTGCAATAAGCGCCACTAGTTCTGGCTCACGTCACCCCCAAAAGAACGATTGATGGGTAGATAAACTTTACCAAGTGTTCTACTCTGCGCCGCTCATTCTTTCATTCAATACATGGGGAGGTAGAGAATACTGCTGCAATCTGTCATGGCAGACAAGCTAGACCTAGAGCCGGTCCCATCGGCAAAGTCGCTGGCTTCGACATTCTCGCCCATCCAAGAAGTCCTGTTCATCACCTTGGTGTGCATGGGACAATTCATGACGCAAACCAACATCGGAGTCGTTCTTTCGCCACTAGGTATTGTGGCTAATAGCTTCGGTATCACAGAGCCTGGAATTTCAAGCTGGTTCTTGGCTGGGTACTCCTTGACCGTTGGCACCTTCATCTTGGTGTCAGGTCGATGCGGCGATCTATTTGGTTATCGCCGAATGTTCATCATCGGATTCTGTTGGCTTGCACTCTGGTCTCTGGTGGCAGGACTCAGTGTCTACTCTAATCACATTCTGTTCATTTTCGCCCGTGTCTTTCAGGGGATTGGTGGTGCATTGTTATTGCCCAACGGATTGGCTCTGCTCGGCGCAACCTACGCACCAGGAAAGAGAAAGAATATGATATTTGCCATTTTCGGTGCCACTGCTCCAAATAGTGCCCTTCTGGGAACTGTGTTTGGTGCAATCTTTGCCCAATTGGCCTGGTGGCCATGGATATATTGGTCGCAAACCCTGGTCTGCATTGGCTGTGCCGTTCTGGCTTCTGTTGTAATCCCCTCTATACACCATGATACCTCCGTTGACTCGTCCTATGTCGGTGTACTCAAAGCTCTCGATGCACTTGGTGGAGCTTGCGGAATTTGTGGACTTGTGCTGGTGAACATAGCTTGGAATCAAGCCCCCATCGTGGGATGGAGCGAGCCCTACGTCTATGTGCTGCTGATTATCGGAATTATCCTGATTTTGGCCTTCTTCTATTTTGAATTCCGTGTTGCCGAACATCCTCTTATCCCCTTCCACGCCCTCAGTCGCGACGTCTCGTTTGTGCTTGGGTGTGTTGCCTGTGGTTGGGGATCCTTCGGCATTTGGATCTACTACTTCTGGCAATTTCAAGAGAATCTCCGCCATACGACTCCTCTCTTGGCGTCCGCCGAGTTTGTCCCAGTAGGACCAATGGGTATCATTGCTTGTTGCGTTACGGGGTACCTCATGGGCCATCTGCGCCCGGGAACAATCATGATGTTGTCGATGAGTGCCTTTACGTTAGGCAATGTTCTGGTGGCAATCGCACCGGTACATCAGACGTATTGGGCACTGACCTTCGTTTGCCTGTTGGTGATTCCTTGGGGCATGGATATGTCGTTCCCTGCGGCTACTTTGATGCTGTCCAACGCGGTAGAGCGGAAGCATCAAGGTATCGCTGCATCCCTTGTGACCACAGTAGTTAATTATAGTATTTCGTTGAGCTTGGGATTCGCCGGCACGGTCGAAGTCCATGTGAACAACGGAGGCAATACTTCTGGGGATGTTCTGAAAGGCTACAGAGGTGCCCTATACGTGGCTATTGGTCTTGGTGCACTGGGAATGGTGCTTAGTGCGAGCTACACCTTCAAAGGCTATCGAGCTGAAAGTCGATCAAAGGAGGTTGAAAGTGAGGAAAGTGGGGAATAGATGTCATGAATATGAATTAATGATTCTGTGCAATATTTTTAAAAGATTTAATAGATACACTAAGCCACTAAGTCCCAAATCAGTGGTTTTCTAACTAAGTTCACTGAACCTCGGAACAGTTTTCCCAAACGACCAATCAATCAAGCTTTCTAATAAAGTTTGTTAGCCTTCAAACACCGAGTCACCGGGTCCAGTCTGATTAGATCAATCAGATAATCCCAATGTCCGAAATAAATTTGTTCATGCTGCCGAGGTCGTATAATTCCGGGGGCTAATAGAATTAAGGTGACAGTTTACGGAGTATGTCGGACAATAAAGACCTGCGACATCAGTCCACTCCCATGTCCATGTGGGAGCGTGTAACCCTATAAGTGGTGGGCTTCAACAGCAGCAGCCCCAGCGGGGAAGCAAAAATTTTTGTAGCGCTAAAAGCGCAACAAATGCTTGCTTCCCTTGCACAGCCCAGACCCTCTTCGGTAATTGAGCACACTTTCAACCGCGCGATGTTGATCTCATTCGCCAGACGACCCCATTCAAAAAGCACTTCGGCCGCGATTACCCTTTAGCCCACTAGAAGATAAAAAGGAAGCACACGGCACGTTGCCGTGTCGATAATTGACCGGATTAAGCTTTCCGGCCAAGGTTTGATCAGATAGGACCTAGGACCCGGTGAATGTGGATGGCGCTAGTATTTTTCAATACAAGCCCGCACGCACAGACCCTTGTCCGTTAGTTCCCCAACTTAACTACCTGGACCTTAACTTGACTTTTTTCTTCTGCTTCGAGATTGAGCTCATCTTTCTAACTGGGAGTATATCTGCTGGTCATCAAAATGGGTAATAACCCTGTCTTTGCTGTGACAGGTAAGCCACTGTGTTCCTCGCATGGGAATTATGTACTGAGACAAAGGCGGCAACAGTGTTCTTCATCTGCTTCCGAGAATGCCTCGAGACAACAGTGGTTGTATCTGTCTTGCTTGCATTCCTGAAGCAGACATTGGGCGCAGAGGAAGATCGTGCGACCTATAAAAGGCTGGTGAAACAAGTATGCATGTCCCTTGGTTCTATCGCGAATTTGGTCATTTATCGTTCAATAGGTCTGGTTAGGATGTGGCCTAGGATTGTTCATTTGCCTTGCAGTTGGCTGCGGTATGATCGGTGCTTTCTACGGCCTTGGAACCGACACTTTCTCCAGCACTGAGAATATCTGGGAAGGTGTCTTGGGTATCATTGCTTCTCTAATCATCACCATCATGGGCGCAGCTCTGCTTCGAGTCTCTAAGCTGCAGGACAAGTGGCGCATGAAGCTAGCCAAAGCTTTGGCGCATGAAAACAACCCCAATGAGTCGCGCAAGGGCCGTGTCAAGAGATGGCTAGAGAAATATTCTATGTTCATCTTGCCTTTTATTACCGTGCTGCGCGAGGGTCTGGAAGCTGTCGTCTACGTTGGTGGAGTTGGGCTGGGACTGCCTGCTTCTTCGTTTCCATTGGCGGTGTTTTGCGGTCTTGCCGCAGGGTTCTTGGTTGGATATCTGATCTACAAGTAAGCGCCCTATATTACCTTGCTCGTTACAATCTGAGCTATGGGACTAACATTTTTCAAGGGGTGGTCGTGAGACTTCGATGCAGATTTTCTTGGTCATTTCTACCTGCTTCCTCTACCTTGTTGCCGGTGGTCTGTTGTCGCGTGGTGTTTGGTACTTAGAAAACAACACTTGGAACAAGATTGTTGGAGGCGACGCTTCCGAGACTGGATCTGGTGCAGGATCATACGACATCCGACAAAGCGTGTGGCACGTTAATTGCTGCAACCCCCTAATTGGTGGTGGTGGAGGCTGGGGTATCTTCAACGCCTTGCTCGGATGGACCAATTCAGCGACCTATGGCTCGGTGATCTCATACAATCTGTACTGGGTTTGTGTCATAGTCGGCTATGGCTTGATGTTCTACCGTGAGCGTCGGGGTGCTATCCCAGTTTTGGACCCAGCGATGAACAAAGTTGCAGGTTACAAGGCAAGATCCAGGGCATTTATCCTCCGCCGACCTCTCGAAGAGCCAGCTCCTGTCGAGGCGAGCGGTGCTATTGAGCACACTATTACGGAAAAGAAGGGCTCTGGACCTGGAATTTCTACCTTTGTCAAGCCTGCTGATGCATGATCGAATCATGGTGGCTGGTATGGACTAAAAGCGATTGCTCGAGAATAGAAGTTGTAGCAGCATAGCTGCGATCAGATAAAGAAATGTGAATACTAAGTTAGGACATAATCATCGACTGACAAAGGAACGTATGCAAAATTCGGTATCTTACAAGGGTTGGGCAGGTGGAATACGAACCGTACTAACGCATACTTTTACGGGCCTAGTGTTGTCTTAACAAAGTTTAGCGCCATCCTGACCCGTGGGTTCTCCTCTTCCATCCATGGCTAGCCAAAAGCCATGTTAATTTTGCCAATCAACGGCTTATACGGGATCAGATTATCTTTTCCCAATCTGATTGCCTTTTCCCTCTGTGCGATCACTATTCGGCTAAATATTCCTGCCGTACGATGATCTTAATCTTTTGTGGCCAAAGAGAACCCTCGCATGAAGGCCAAGAGGCATATCCCTTGCAGGTCCTTAATGTGTCTGTTGATTGCTGTGCCGATCTAGCCCCTATAGGCAGCTGCATTTTTCCGTACGCCATGTATGTGACATAAACATGGGTCTGTTCTTGGGTCCACTCTCGACTCAGTTATCGCTCCAACAGGCCCGAATTGACAGCCACGAGCTAACTTTTTTGACTTTTGCTTGTTTTGCCCCACCTTGTTACATGGTCAGATCGATAATCGTATCACAATGTGTAAACCCGGTTACGAGCTTTTCCATGGTAAGTTAGTCGGCGTTTTTCAAACTTATCAATCTTTTGTAGTCCAAGCGCCACATCCAACCTCATGGTTGGGTCTTTTTCTCCTTCACTCTGTTCTCCTCGCATCCGTCAGTCACTTCAACGGCGAATTCTTTAAAATGAAGAATCTGACGCCGTGTCTGTTCTTGCGACTCGCATTCCTTTACTTCTTTGTTCATTCTTGTCAAGCCAAAACTGTCACTCTTGATTTTAATGTTACATGGGTGAACGCCAACCCCGATGGCCTTGCAGAGAGGAAGGTCGTCGGTATCAACGGGCAGTGGCCACTGCCTGTGATTGAAGTGGACAAGGGAGATCAACTTATTGTCAATACCTATAATGGTCTTGGTGACAGGTCCACTTCGATCCATTGGCATGGTATGTTCCAAAATGGAACAAACAACATGGATGGAGCATCGATGGTGACTCAATGTCCTATTCCTCCCGGTTCTTCATACACCTACAATTTGACTGTCAACCAAAATGGAACGTACTGGTATCATTGCCACACCGATGCCTGTTATCCGGATGGATACCGTCAGGCATTGATCGTGCACGACAACAGCTCATACTTCAACGACATGTATGATGAAGAGTTCACAATTACTTTGAGTGACTGGTATCATGAGCTTGTTGAGGACATTATGCCGTCGTTCATCAATCTGGCCAACCCCACTGGTGCAGAGCCAATTCCTCAGGCTTTTCTCTTTAACGATACTATGAACAGTAGTATTTCCGTCGATCCTGGCAAGACCTATCTATTCCGTTTGGTCAATATCGGAGCTTTTGTTGCGCAGTATTTCTACATCGAAGATCATACCTTCCGCATCGTTGAGATTGACGGAGTATACACTGAGCCTACCGAGGCCGATATGCTCTACATCGCAGTTGCGCAGCGATACTCCATCCTTGTGACCACAAAGAACTCGACGGAGAAAAATTATCCAATCGTGACGGTTGTCGATTCAGTCCTATTGGACACCATCACACCAGACCTCAAACTGAACCAGACAAACTGGCTCGAATATAACTCCGCCGCCTCCCATCCTCAAGCCGTCATGACTGTGGACGTTGCCTCAGATCTCAACCCATACGACGACTTCACACTAGTTCCCTACGACAAGAAGCCTCTTCTACCAGAGGCCGACCTAACCATTGACCTCACAGTTATTATGGCAAACCTCGGCAACGGAGCAGGCTACGCCTTCTTCAACAACATCTCCTACACAAAGCCGAAGGTACCCACCCTCTACTCCGTCCTCTCATCCGGAAATCTCTCCACGAACGCCGAAGTTTACGGAGAATACACACACCCAATAGTACTAGGTCACAATCAAGTTGTAGACATTGTACTCAACAACGGCGACACCGGGTCCCATCCATTCCATCTCCACGGTCACCAGTTCCAAGTCATAGAGCGCTTCCCTTCATACGGAGAGCACTTCTACGACTACGCCGAGAGTGACCCAGTTACCTACGACCCGTCCAACCACGCCGCATTCCCAGACTACCCAGCGAGACGAGACACCCTCGTTCTGCCTCCGCAGGGCTACTTCGTCGTCCGCTTCGTGGCTGATAACCCCGGTGTCTGGTTCTTCCACTGTCACATTGACTGGCACTTGTCGCAGGGTCTGGGCATGACTCTGATTGAAGCACCTGAGCAAATCCAGGAACGCATGTCCATCCCAGAGCACCAGTATGAGGTCTGCGATGCGGCTGGTGTGAAATATGAAGGGAATGCCGCTGGCAACACGGAGGATTATCTTGATCTTACCGGTCAGAATAAGCAAGTTCCTTGGTTGCCTGCTGGCTTTACTGCTAAGGGTATTGTCGCCATGGTGTTTTCTTGTGTTTCAGCTTTCTTGGGTATGGCTTTTATCTCTGTTTATGGAATGTCAGGTGTTCAGCAGAGCAAAAAACAAAAGGAGGCTCAGGAAGCGGTGGTCAGCTCAGAGACATTTTGATTGTTGTGATATAGGTTTTTATCCTTTCTGTTATATACACATTTTGAACATACATAGCTCTTCTTCATGACTGCATCGCATAATGTTTTTATTCGTTGGCCTAATTCTGTTGTTTGCATAAGATATTCGGTGAGAAATATAGCGCAGTGAGATGTTTCTTTCCGTAACAATTACATGGTTGAATCGCCAAACACAGTCTTTGCATGAGGAAAAGATTTTGGCAGACCTCGAACAAGAGTTATCTCATTGTCGATATCTTGGGGTCCACTGGCTCCATAGCTCATTCCCACGCATAAAATATTCCAATCCTTTGATGTACATATCCATCTCTGGTGACAATTCATTGACGCCATCATTTCGCAGCTCATCTCGGGTCTTCTTGATGGCAAGTTCCAGTTCTCGGCAATAGCTGTACATCAATCGCTTGCAAGCTGCAAAAGGCAACTCTGTTTCATTGGCAAGGATATAGATGGCAGACAGTGGCCGAGAACCATCAGTTTGATTCTCTTGGAACACTCTCCATTCTCGCTCCCAGCTATAGATATCATTGACCACGCCCATGTGACGAAATGCAGCACGTTCCAGTGCGGATACATTTTCCAGCTCAGCATGGCTGAGGGACAACTTAGCCCCAAACCTAATGAGAGCTGTGTAGAATCTGTTTATTCACTTTTAGCTCTGGAAAAAGATATGAACTTTCAGAGTCATAACGAGGTGATACGTACGGTCTCCCTGCATCTACCTCTCTAAAACTGAGATACGACCCAAGAGTTTGTATCGAAATACGCTCCTGCGATGTCTGAGCCTGTAGAAGTTGACAAAAGCCTTGGGCAACATCATTTGCCAGAACCTCGTCGATATTTCGCATATCTTGGAAAGTATCATGGAGCATCCACTCCAGGCACAGATCCCTGTCTGGACTCGCAATTCCTAGTGCAATATTCATTACCCGCTCCCGGTAGGAGAGCATTTGTGTAAAGTCCATCTTCTCAAGTTGGTCTAACTGCCCAGTCAATAAATGTCCATTTTCAAATATGCGTCACAAGAACCAACCGTCAATTAGTAGAACCAAATAATGCATCTTGCATGTTGTTTCAATACGAACATCAAGAGTCAAAGGAAAGAAGTGACTGAAGGCTCGAGAGAACCCAATTGCAAGAAACCCCCTTTTCTCCTTCGTGCTGGCAAAATTCCAATTTTTGCCAAAATAAGGCTCAACCCGTGCTTGGATCTTCTCCCATCCTTGTGGATGTACTTTAGATTCGAGTTGGCAAGCTGGGATCTCGCAGGGGGTGTTTAATATTGTTGAATACTTTCTTGTTGGTTTGTTGGCTGGGTATGTATGACGTGAAACAATTGTGCGATTAATAGTCAAACCTCGCACATCAAATCTGGGACCACTTGCTGCTCGCTTCCATAACTGAATTCTTTGGAATTGATGCATATCGAATTTCCATGTCCGTATGTCAAAGTGTGGGTTGAAGTCGTGGGTCCTCCACCAAGAAGAACACCTGGCACGTGACCAGTCATCCCTCTGTACATGATGTGTTTGCTAAGCAGGTCAAATTGGTCAAATAATGGTTGGTGGCAGCAACCTTGCAAAAAGAGCGAGGAATACTGTAGATGGAGTAGAACAAGACTAGCCTCCCGTAGCAGGTGAAATCACGGGTGATAACGGGATGCCATTACTGGAGAGTGGCCTACAAATGAGACATTCCGGCAGGGGAAAACGACCGAAGTGACGGAATCATGATTTGGATACGAATGAGGAAATCTATAGAGCCGAATGCCCCTAGAATGACTTCTATCTCTGATTTGCGATCCACGAACTCCACTATCTTTCTAAAGAGACGACGAACCAGCACAGCAGAAGTCTGAATACAACTTGGGAGGGAGAAATTACCAAACCCAAGCATGACTGATGCAAGACGATATTCCTACGATGTTTGCTTATTTCTCATCCATGGACAGCCCGTGCGTAGCCCATAATGGACATCATCTCCCGTTGACAGCCATGGGCGGCCGAGGTCTAATTACTTGATCCAATTCATTTGACTAGTTTCGGCGCCTGCCTGGTTGATATTTTCCACTTGTCAATCACATGCAATCCTAAGCAATAAATTCCCGAGGTTGATGGAAGAGTGGATGTTTAGTGCCGTCGACATTTAAAAAGCCCAGCCTCATTGCGATACTATCATGTCAAGGTTTACACCAGTCCCTGACGGTAGATTCATCTGTTTTTTTCTTGGTTCTCTTTTGAGTCTATCTTGTTTCTATCACTGATTGACGAGGAATTGCTATACTTTTAGATATAGTCTACAGTTCATGCAAGAGCCTCTATTCTTTGGTATCTCTCAAAGAACCTTCGACAAAGATGTCATGGGATGGTTTCCCTTCAATGATATTTTTCGACATCTTAGGGACAATTGTGGAATGGAGATATTGCATCGCGAACGAACTGAATGCCGCAGCACAAAGAGCCCTACAAGATCAAGTTCGATATCTAAGTGCCGATGTGCGAGCCCGTGTCTCTGATATGTCCACTTCGAAATGGCAGGAGATCGCCGAGGAGTGGCATCGTTCATATATGAACTTCGGAGACACTTACGATACATCTAAGCCCTTTGTCTCAGTAGATGAGTACAACCGTATTTCTTTGGAAAATATTCTCACCAAACGGCTTCTCCGGGGTTTATTTAACGAGGACGATCTCAAAAATTTGACACTCGCTTGGCATCGACTTGACTCATACTCTGACAGTGTGCCAGGACTTTCGTTGCTAAGCACTAAATTTTTGACGTCTACATTATCTAATGGTAATGTAAAACTCCTCGAAGACCTACAAGAACACAATTCTTTGCCATTCAAGCACATCACTAGTGCAGAGCATTTCGGTGCTTACAAGCCGTCGCCAGAGGTCTATCATGGTGCTGCTCGCAGATTTGGTTTCAGGACTTCGCAATGTTGTCTCGTCGCAGCCCATCTGGAGGACTTGCATGCCGCCAAAAAATGTGGGTTTCAGACAATCTATCTCGAGAGACACTTGGAAGAAGCTTGGGATAGTAGCGACATTGCACGAGCCAGAGAAGAGGGGTTTGTCGACCTTTGGGTCGGAGTTGGGGGCTCAGGTCTAATTGAAGTTGCTCGATATTTTGGAATGGAAAGTGGATTTTGAATGAATTATCACTCAGTCACTCAGACGGACCCTGAATCAATAGATCCAAGCCGTTCATCTGCTCTTGTGCGGATAGAAGCTCATTTTGTCATAACGATAGTCTCTCTCTTTACTTTCTACATTTTTGGATAATAATATAAGAACCATGGCTAGATTGCGACTCCAATAGTCTCCCGTCATGATGCGACGTGAGTAAGACGTATAAATAGCCGGGAGGAAGAGCTGGAGGTACTGGTGAAGTGCGGCACTCACTGGGCCAGTCTTTTCGGCCAGAACATCTCTCTCCGCTACAGCTTCGACCATATTGAAGATGAACGAATTACCGATCACCTTGAGCGTCGTGGCGGCCTGGGGCGGCTGATCGCCCAGGTCGATCATCACCCGGCCCATCATATCCTCAAACCACATTTTGACGTATGCCACGTCCGTAGCCCTGCGCATTGTCGCACGGTCGGGTGCTCCGAACACTGTGTTAATGTTTATAAAGTTGACATGAGGACACCAACAAAGGCCCTGTTTCAATTTTCTCTTACCGGGGCATGCGACAAATCGTGCGTTGGCGGACAGGACTTGGTTCGACAATGCTTTATCGAAGACCTGCTGGACAGAATCATCGTCGCTCAGGCAAGTAATTATTACATCGGAGACTGTCGCGGCTTTCTGAATGGGTCGGCGATCCGAACACTGTCGTGAGGTAGCTCGGCTTGAAGAGCATCAGCTCGGGAGCGCGTGCGATTGTAGACAATCAACGGGATCCGTAGAGGCTGCTGGTGTGCCCAGAGATGTTTGAGGACCAACTTTCGGCACATAAAGCGTCTTATGGATATTTCCGACTTTCTCCTTGACGGATATTATAAACATAGATATGACCTATTTTAGAAGACTAACATCCAACATGGTTTGCACTGCCATGTCGTTTAGCTGGCCGTGAATAACCAAATCACGCACGGACCACTCGATCTGATGTCACTTCGACCAACCATGGTCGACCCATCTCCTTCTTTTATGCTTATCTCAATTTCTACGTCGCTAGTTTGATGCGGATCCAAACCGCCCCTTCCGTTACCTTAACTGCTGGATTCCAGACTCTTAGACAAGCAGCAGCTTTCACACCCCGCTAATCCGGTATACCACGTTTGCGAATAGGCATCGTCTTTGCAACAATTTATGGTGCCAGCATCCGTTTCTTCCGGTCACCAACCCTCTCTCAAAGTAGCTCTTCAGCGTCTTCGTTTAATCAAGGCAACCACTGGATGTTCTTTGGGCCGTTCTTTCAGTTCCACATCCTCTTTTCCAACTGAAGTCTCCGCAATGAACACATCACCGGCAACCTCTCAACGTGCTCCATGGCGTGATATACTTGACTCACATCTCCAACAAACACAAGGATATGAGTTCACAATTGCAACTATCGGCTATGATGCTCGTAACCGTCCCGTGCCTCGTCTGCGCACCTGTGGTTGCCGCGGCTTCTTCCCGGAACTTGAGCTTCACCCTAAAGGCCAGGAAGCCATGGACGAGCAAGTTGAAGGGGTGGCAACCCGCCAGTGTTTGAAAGTGACATGCTATGCTTCACCACCGATGCTCGAATGGAAAAGCTTCCTCAGCTGGAGTCTTCGGGAAATGCTATTGAGGCGGTCTTCTGGTTAAAGGATCTGATGACCCAATGGCGCATTAAGGGAACCGCATATGCAATTGGAGATCCCACTAGCAATGTTACAGAGAGTGAGAAGGCGTCCCGAGAGGAGATCAAGAAAGGCTTGCGGGTGAAAGGTCATAATGATGGTGATATTGCGAATTGGACGTGGGACAAAGCTGTCACCAAGTACTTTGCAAATCATTCACCGGTTGCGAGAGGTATGTGCTTTCTCTCCAGCTATAATTCTGTTTTGTATTTTGGTCCATAGGATGCTTATACTGACTGGCAAATGTAGGTTCTTTTCGAAACCCCCAGCCCGGGATGCCTAGATCCCAGAGTCCCGGCAATCCAGCTCTGCGCCTTGGCCAGAAAGTCACAGATCTTCATGACCACGTTTCCCGGAATAACTTCAGGGTTGTGGTGATTTACCCAAAGGAGGTTGAGCGCTTGGATCTGACAGATCAAGAGGACGGGAAGAGATGGAAATGGATACTGGGAGAGGGAGGTGCAAATGGCTCGCTTGATATTCAATGGAACGAGACTGAGGTTTGGCCATGATCGTTTGTGTCATGAAGGCCCATGCCATGGGCATAAAACACAATTGAATCGTATATATGTGGGTAAAAGATCTCCTTCGCAGACCGCTGTACCGATTATACCGAATTCTAGTATTCGGATCATTTCAAGAAGATATTTTTACTTGAGTGTTCGCCTGTTGGCTCATTCTTCTGATCTTAATGTTGGTCCTCTCCTTCCAGATTCGGCCGTATGGTCGTTTTGTCGTCGCGTATCTTCTTCCTCCTATATTTCTCCCACAACATCCCGTCGCGACGATACGATCGTAATTATCGTAACAACCCAAATCCTTCCCATCCTCGACCCTCTGGTCTATCTCATGTAAAGCAAGCTCATCCATTCTCCATCCTCGCCTCACCTCGTCATCATCCCACTAACAAAAACCTCATTTCCAGTGGATACCGACGAGATGCCTCCTGCTTGTGCTGAATGTAAAGTCAAGAAGTGCCGCTGCACCCACCACACGGTTGCTGCTCCCCTTGTCCCCGAGGCCGAGGCCAAGGTAAGTCTACATATTTTCACTCTAGGCACCTTGACTGAGCTCAGCTAATCCCTCTTACACTATAGAAAAAGATCGCCAGCGCCTCCAGTGACGATCTTTCTTTGGTGCCCTCTGAGCCCAAGACTAAGAATGATGTTGGTCCCAACAAAATGAAGCCTGTGCAGAAGCCGGCACGTGGTCCCCGTTCCGCCGCCACCGTCCCTCCTCCTGCCCTCCATGAGGTGCCCGACCAGCCCGCGGACGACATGGCTGTCGCAATCCACCTCGGGATGCACGTCGTGTACGCTCGGGAGCTCCGGCGCAACCTCGTGGCGTTCGAGATTGCCTTACAAGAGGACCTGCAGGCCCAGCGCGCTAGCATGGCCGAATTGGAAGACAGCCTGCAAGCTGGGCGTGCTCCCACGGCCGCCGCCCTCCAAGAGAGCCAGCGGGCTCACCGTGCTACCATGGCTGCAGCTCAGGCTGTTCAGCGCAAGCTCGATATGTGGGTCGAGTCCTACACCAGCGGCAATTAAGCGCACCCCGCCTCTCACCATACCTTTCGTTACCAAGGAAAATCTGGAGTCACTTATTATTGTATTTCGATCTCGGATGTCTTTTCTTTTCCTTCTTTTCTTTTGAGTTGTTTTTCTTTTGTTGTTCTCGGCCAGGGCAAAGGTCATCACGTGGATTGACCACCATTGTATTGAGGAGCCACAAATGAACAAACACTCCTCCTCCTTTGACAGTCAACGGTTGTTCTCTTAATAGTAGGCTGCCACCGAGTTGCTCCTCTTGATTGCATCTCATGGTATTTCTCATCATTGTCAAGTAACCCTGCTTCATCAATTACTCTCTCGTTCTAGCAATGATTCGAAATGACTACCACTAGACCTTATAAAATGTTTGAACGGGTATATTCTTCTCAGTGATTACTAAGTATCTATCAGACTACATTGTCCGTAGCTCACCCCGAAAGCTCGGTGAAAGCGATGATCGTGACAAACGAAGTGGGAAAAATTGTTGAATCTTCACAAGGCTTGTGATAAAGCTCCGTTTACCGGACTAATCAAAAGCAGGAGAGCAAGTATCCCAGGGATTCGGGGGATACATTTGAGTAAGTGCCCATTCTCCCTCCTAATCGATTGCTTTTATAACTAGGTTACTGAAATATCCCCCTAATCTGATGGGCTACATTGGAATACACAGTAAACGTTATTCGTGCCAACATCCCTGATGCCCGCGATCAGTACCGCTCAGTAAAGCAGTTACGGAAAGCAATTTTTAAGGTTGTGGTTAACTGCAAGGATTCAAAAATCGAGGCTCTGATTCTGAAACTTAGTGACCTCCAGCTCAAAGGTTAACGCCCGCCACTCCAATTCCCAGTGGAAGGCGCTAGTAGCCGAAAGGCTCACGGCAAAACAAAGTCGCCTACAAGGGCTAAATGACTGGCTAAATGAGGGCGAGGCACGTTGTCTTGCGGAGGTGAACGAGAAGGCCCAGGCAAAGAGCCACCAGATGCTTGTCTGCAGCGATCGCGGCGCCGAAGAGGTGATCCAGACCACATTATCGCTGAGGGTTCGAAGGAGGAAGGTGATGACATATCCGAGTATGAGTTTTGAAAGGTTCATGAGCAGGGTTACGATGGTTCTGGGTCGGACACCGAATATAGCCCGGACGATTCAGATTTGAAAGCTCCTAAGATATCGACTTGACTCGATGTCTTCAAAAGCATTTGACCGGAAGGAAGGTATGGCTGCGGTTCCCTGACAAAAGATGCTTGCAAGAGACCAGCGAGATGATCATACTCGCCACTTGATGGCGCTGTCTGCACTCGTGGATCTTGAAACAGTCAAGCTTGCACATCACAATTAACTACGGGTCTGGCACGCGAGGTCGTTTCATTTTTTTTTATATATATTGATACCCTCAAACTGTTGCTTAGGGGCTTTTTTCTACCTTCTGAATCAAGGATTTTGACTGCGAAGAGACGGTCATTGATATAGATGTATGGTAAAGTCTTCAAGATTATATGTGATATCGGGATATTGACACACTAGGTATACGAGAGACTGCGGGGGATGAAATAAAAATATCTTCACCAAGACTTAATCAGAGTTTCAAAATTTCACTTTGGGTCATGTTGATAATCCGTCCGCCGTTTATCAATGTCCGTTAAGAGCATCTAAGCTTACAGCCAAGCCTTTTAGTCACATGATCCCAGGCGAAATCATGGATTTGTTCTCTTTGTGCAGCAGCTTTATTTTTGCCTAAAACCATGAATATTTCAAAATATTCTGCCTCGCCCTTGAACACGCAGCATCGAACCGCATAATCGCGTAGTCTAGTCTGAATCGTCATGTCAATCCCCCAGTAATCGGGACGTGGACTGTATACCAGAGCTATAACAAAAACTTAACTTACTAGATCCGGGGACCATATTATTTTAGTTTGTTACAGAGGTACCCAGTACGACCTCTTGTATGGCGCAAAGCATTACGGAGGAAGTTTACAATACCATAAATACGAACCATTCCCTATCGATTCGCCCTGATCAGCCAACCACAACTGCTCATCGCCGCGGTGGGACCGCCACGGGCTCTCCCGGTCTTCTGCGGGAAGGATCGTCCGGCTTCTATTCCATAGCTCAGGTCCCTCTCTGTATTACCCCCATGTCACATTTTCTAAGTGGTCCCCGTGATCCCCGTAGTCCCCGGTCTCCGAGTCCAGGTCCCCGACAGCCGTTACGTGTCATACCTCACTTAGGAAAGGCGCCAAATGTACGTGATTACCTTGATGAAGCCCTTCGCTTGGTATTCTGGATCAAAAATATCAGTGACACCTGTTTGTTTCGGCTTTGCTTCGTCTTTTCTTCAATATTGGATCTCCCAATAACTCCACTATACATGTATTTGTTACGGTTGCCGGGAGACTCGACCTCCATGTCTCCGAGGAATGGATGTCTCGGAAGGCGATCGATCCTCTTGTTTGGAGGGTCGATTTGAAGATCATCACGACAACATGTTGAGGCCAAATTGTAGAACTATGCTATCCAATAGTGTACAGAATAAGCCAGAGCAACCCCGTTTTCGCTTTCCTTAGGGCAACACTATACACAATCTAAACAGACTGACAGCTGCAGGCATTCACCGCTCCTGTAAATCGATCCGTTTCGAACAATCTGCATAGTTATATGTAAAAAGATGCAACTGGCCCTATGATGTGCAACTGTCCGATTACCCAGATGACCCAAACCAGCTTAGTTTCATACAATGCAGTACAGGTGGGTCCCAGTTCAGTACGAGTACCTTACCAGTACCCGCTCGACTTGTTTTCTCGATGTTTCTTTTCTCCCTCCCTTCCCCTCCCCAGACTCTCCTTCACTCCTTCACCGTCACTTGTATTTTCCACTCTGCAGATCCTAGTCAACTCTTCTACATTGAGGGGTTAAAGATCACCTCCATCCGCTTTTTATTCCGGCGTCCCGACAACCGCGCTCAACCTAGCATTTTGTCCCCAGCTTTCTACCTCCACGGATTGCGATTTTGGTCGAACTCACGATTTATGACGAAACGAACACCTTGTACACCCATTTACATTTAATATCTCGGCCCTACTATCTATACATCCAACTGGCGGAAACGTGGTAACCTCAGAGACGAACATCTAAAGTGATGGCATCAATGGATGCTCTGGTGGCCTTCACCCACATGAAAGACAACCTCCCTGCATGGATTACCCGCGTATCAGAGCTTGCAGCACACACCCACACCAAACACAATGAATACTCTGCAGCCTACAGACGCCACGCGAACTTCAAACCCCGCCGACGCAAACACAGCTCCGTGTGCTCAATCCACACTGATGATCTCGTTCCAATCGCACAACGCAAAGAACCCAGCCCAGAACCGCCCGCGGCGGTGACACCCAGCGACACGCCTGATGCCGGTCAACGCTCGGGTCGCAAGAGACCCTCCGACGAAGCCCCATCCGTCGAGTCAAATGAAGAGTACGCGTTTGTGAGCACGAGGCACAATGTTATTATTGAATACGACGGTCACACACAGAAGACGCTCGAGGCAATTGTTCGGGATATCGGAGTGGCAAGGAACAACATGCGACGAGCGAAGATGGCAATGATGCCGCGTACTGGTATCCGCGCCGGTATCCTGAACCGAGGCCCGAACTTGGACATGCCAAGCACAGCATCAACGCAGGCTTCATCGCCACTTTCCTGCATCCGGAGTACCCGGACTGCACCTGGAGTTGTCGGCGTCTCTGGATCCACCGTTCTTCGGAAAGAATCGCCCTTCGACTATGCCGACAAGCAACTGGAACTCGCCCACTCGCTCTGCGAGACAGCAGCTTACCAAGTTCTCCGATCTGGCGATTGTGGAACGGAACTCGACGGGGTGGAAGAGAAATTCAAGATGCTACTTGAGGCGGCAATCAACGAGGTGGACCGCATTATGGCCGAGAAAAAGCAACAGGAAGACCTAGAAGCACAACAAGCTGATGGGACTGCGAAAGATGCACCTCCCAAACCACCCCCGACCCCTTCCGCAGCGCGACTCGCCAGAGTAGCCGCAATTGCTTCTAGCAAGCCCTCAACGACCACCGCAGACGCCATTGAAGTCGACGACAACTCCTCCCTATCGGCCGAGTCAATCGACCTCTCCGCATTCCGATCATCAAGGATCCGAGTGTAGGACTATTACCACATCACCTCATATTACCGATTTAGCGTGTCTTGAAAATCCTTCCAGTATACATTGCCAGTTGATACCTTCGATTTGTTGGGATACCATTTATTTTCTGTCTCGGATTGGTCTTTGGAGACCTTCTCTACCTGCATATTTGACTGCGATCGATTTGTGATTCTGAATTCGCGCATACCTTTCACCATTCTTTTACTTTTTTCGCTACCTGTGTTTCGCTCAACTTCCCTACTGTCCTTTGACCACACTTTCCACGGACTCGCTTTTCTTTTTTTGGGATACCATTCTCCTGTCTGTCTCTTGCATCAGCTCATGACTCATCCTGGAGAGCACGGCGTTGGCACTGGCGTTTCTATCTCCTTTTTTTGGGGGGCAACACTGATTTGGTTTCATTAAACCTAACGGAGTTTGGGATTTTCTGCGTTACCTATACCAAGCCATTTGCAGTAAATCTTCGGCTGGAAATTGACCCTTCATCGAGGTTCTACTTTCAATCTCAGGATCTTGGACTCGGGGATGGCGTACAGTAGTCTCCACAAAAGACTGGTACTACAATCGGAGGCGTAACAGCCCCGACATGACATCCTACATCCCACATATTCCACAATGATTTGATCAAGTTCCACCGCTAATCATGTACAATATATGAACGTTCTTCTCATTGGTTCTCATTTCTTGTAGGAATCCTAGACTTACTTGGCTCGGTCACGGTCCCATGCCCATGCACGACCGGTAGTACCCAGTCCCTGTCTTGAGTCCGCACTGACAAGCAGAGATCATGCAAGGCTCCGCTGGCTAATTTTCCAAGCGAGCGAATC